CATAAAGTGCAGGGTAAGGTACCTCTGTACGGAGCACGTCGTACATAGCGCATCTACGGAGCAGAACGCCAGCTCGGCCAGTGAGCTGTGTGATACTTGTACGGCGTGTGACCCCCTCGAAGGAAGAATGCAACCTTCGGCCCCCCTTTTTTCTTTATTTTCTTTTCTCCTGTCCTGTGCTCTTCCGTTCGGCAGGTGGGCTCATGTAAAGTTCAGCTAGGGTTACCCGAGGAGTATCACATTGTACTAGGTATCTTACTATGTACGGAGTGCGCGAGAAGCCTTCATCGCAACGGTGATGCCGAAGCGAACAGATAGTGGATGCTGAGTTGACGCATTTGCTTTTTCGTCATTGCTGCGCAGGTCGGATACACAATAACAGCGTTCGTGTCTCACAAGGAGGAGAGGGCTGAGGAAGTGGGAGAGCTTAGTGATTGCCGTATAAGGCCTCTTGCATGGCAATGTGTCTCAACAGTCTGGGGAGAGAGGACTCGGGATTTGGGCACATGCCGAACAGAGCTCTGCTGTGGTGGACCGTGTCGGTGAGGACTCTGGAGCCGACCGGAGACGTTACGAGGAAGCAAGACGAGGACGGCAAGAACGGGCCGTGCGCCGGCATCCGGACAATGGAGAAAAAGTCGCGCTGCTGCACTTTTGCGAATCTACGGAGTAAAGATACTGTAAGAGTACATCTTCGCTGCGGAGTCATTCGGTGTGGGGTATACACTATGTTGGCTGGCCACGCCTTCCGTAGAAGGTTTGCGAGCTACTACTCCGTATGTAAGATATGTACGGAGTAAAGATTAGGAACGGAAAAAGTAAGAAGAAAAGGGCCAGAAGCCAGTGCTGCAAGGGCTGCAAGGGCAGCGGCAACGGCAGCGGCAGCTGCCCTGGTCGCCTACACACAACCACATTTGTTTAGGTTCGCGAGTCCTGGCTAGATTCTTTCCGGGGGCCTTCCTAACAGGGACAGCGCGGGTGGTGCCATGCCTCTTTGCTAGGCAGGTGGGACCCTGCCTAGCGTTTAGGCTGGGCTTGTCGTCTGCTGCTGACAAGTTTTTGTTGCTGCGTATGCCTGCTATGTAATCCCTCCTCATCCCCTTCCCTATTGGTGCTCATGCAACTCATTACCGTATTGCGTACCGGTCGGACAGCTCAGCCAGCACGCTAGCTTGCGGTGCCCTGTATTATCTTGCATCTGCAGCAGGCCGGCCGGCTTTCAGTCCTCCCTCGTTTTCCCTCTTCCCTCTTCCCTCGTTCCGACATCCTTCTCTCCTTTCCCACCTGTCCCAAACTCCTTGGCAAGGTATGCCCCCTCCACCCCCCCTTCCCCCCCATTTGCATCGCCAGACACATGCACGAGAAAAATGGTCGCAAGGCCCTTTCCCGTTGCGGCTCGCCACCGAGACATTGTGCCTGCTCTATTACCATGTAGTCCCCCTACATGGTACAGGGTAGATTCTCGTTCTCGTTTCCCCGTTTCTCGCCTCTACGGAGGTTACAAGGGTAAGTTACTAGGGTACGAATTTGTACCGCGCACTGTTAAAAAAGTCACTGGCCTGCCATAAGCCCCTGGTCGGACCCTGGTCAGTACTTGAACCTACCCTAGTTTCTTTCGCCTGTAACCGTCGTACGTCGTACCAATCTGTCTTCTGCCACCCCCCCACATGCCGACGGCGCCTAGAAGAAACGGGCCAGGCTTCGGCCTGGTTCTGCACCAGCTACGACTATACGCGCACATCTTAAACAAGCAGCCGGTGGACGGTCCCCTTCCCCCTTCATCTCCCCGAGCCCTCAAGCGAGGTGGCGGCACACCAGCCGGATGTGTACGAGGAGTGTGATCCGAATACCACACGTCATGGGTCCTAGTGGTGGTCCTAATCTACGGAGCGAACCTCCTTCCACCCTAAGACGTTGCTTCTTCCTGCTCTAGTCAGATCGCCGTCCTCTTCATCTCGCTCCGAGTGGAGTGGAGAGAAAGGGTGGAGAGCAGCACTTCTTTTCCGCGGGCAAAAGAATACGAGTACGTCGTACTCCGTCCGTCTGAAAAAGATTCCATGATTGAAGCCTACAAAGACTCGTATCTCATTCTCCTCTCGGGCTCTGCCTCACTTTGCCCGGCCGTCTCGTTGTCTGTTGTCTGGTGCCCCTGGCCCCCACAATAATTTGTAGAAATCCGAATTGAGTGCTTTGCCGTAGCTTGTTTGAGCTTGAATGGTGCCTACGACACAATGAGACAGAAATAAAATGAAGTGAACCCCCCCCCCCCCCCTTTTCCCGAAAAGAGACAAAAAGAACAGATGGGTAAAAATAGGGAGAGCACAGTAGCCAGCCCCATGTTCTTCTCCGGCTTTTCCCACAAAAAGTAAATCAGCTTTAAACTCTCACCGGCACACCAGGCCAAACCTAATGATTTACATATCACACAAGGCGCTTGAGCCGCTCGAGACCCCGGGCTCGTATCATGAGCTTATGTCGTAGGAAGCACGGCTGCTTGGCTCTTGTCCTTGTGCCTTGCAGCTCAACTGAAATCTTACCAAAGGCCCACTCCCAATGCTATCACGGGCACACTGCCCGTATTGCTGCTACTTTTTCCAGTAGCAAGGTCTGCCATTGTCTGCATACAAGACCAGGGGGTGGCAACGGTAGGGGAAGCATAAAGCAATCAGACAAGTTGTACTCTGTTCCTTCTTGTCGCCGCCGGCTGCTGGCCAAGCCAGTGATGCATAATCGACAAACGCGAGACTGTAAAGCTACGTGCTACACGGCCATCTGGCCAATGCAAGCTGGAGGAACCCCGGATCGTAGAATGGATCCTTCCAAGGTGGGCACTCGCCACCTGGCCCTGTCGAGCGCGTTAGGTGTGGTAGTCTACAGGGGGAGGGGGTGTGCGCGCGTGTGTGTGTGTGTGTGTGTGTGTGTGTGTGTGCATATGTGCATGTGTTTGTGTGTGGGAGGGAGCTGGTGTCTGTGTGGGCTGAACAGCTCTGTGGTCGTTTGCCAGTACGTGTGGGTGTGGTGGCGACGACTGAGGGAGAGAAGAGGGGGAGAGACGGGAAAACAGGAGAGAGAAGAGGAGAGAAAAGGAGAGAGAAAAGACGAGTGAGAGGAGAGAGAGAGGATAGCTCCAACGAGGTTTAGAGGCAAAGCTGAGCGTTTACCTGCAGCCAGAGGGCCAAAATGGACCGAAGAGGAAGTCTTGGCGGACGACTTGTCCAATGCCCTGATTATATAGCAGATTAACAGCATGGTCCGGGGAGGGGGGTCAAAAAAGAGGCCCGCTTGCTCATACGGATACTCGTACGGAGTAAACCCCCCCCTCCCCTCTCCCTACCTCGATGTCAACCCTGCAGCAAAAGCGTGACCCTGGTTAAACCACCCCCATGTCAAAGGCGCCGATGATTTTAGAGTCGCACAACCTCCGTGAGCCACCGACCCGACCGACACCAACCCTACCAGTGCGTCCCTTCTCTGGAGCTACCACCGATCCACCCTTCCAACAGCACCGCAGAAGAGCTGCTCGTGCATGCTAGTAGTACGGCAACAAAAGCAAAGGCTCTCCCGGCTCCAAAAGAGTCCCACCACTACAACCGACTAGCACGAGCCTCTGGGAACGAGCGAGAGACGAGCCGCGACCCGTCGCCCCGTTTAAACGCTGTCTTGCATAGGATCACAGCCCACCTTGCCGTTTCTGTCTCTTGCCTGCTCTGCTCTGGTTTTATTATTCCTCGTTGGTCCTGCCACGGCCTCATTCTTCCTCCTTCTCTTTCTCTCTCTCTCTCTCTCTCCCTCGCTCTCGCTCTCCCCCCTTCTCCCACGCCGCACCCAGGCCAGACAACGGCCGGCACATATCCTATAAGTCTGGTGACCTCCTTGCAGCTCCCCACCAGCTTCCTCAGCCAGGAACACAGCGGCATGTCGTATCACAGGTCGTCCCAGCTTTAACCTCGCTCGCCATCGTCTGCCTTCTTGCCAGACCAGACCGGTGACGGAGAAGAGAGAGGACCGTTCGGCACAGCTGTCTCGTCGTCATCCCATCATCTCCCCCCCTCCTCCACCTCTGTCCCCCCCCTCTCCTCCCCACCCCCTTTTCCTGTATCTCTCTTCCATCCGTTCTCCTCGACTGCCAGCGACCATTCTCACTTATTGCTTCTATCAATCCCGTCTCGCACCACTCTCGTTTTCCGCCGCCGCCCGCTTCTCGCGTCTGCCCGCATGTGCATTCTCCGACTAGCTTCTGGACTCGCTCCTCGACGATAGCTTCTAGACGGGACGCATTTCCCATGGTCAAGATCAGCATCCTCTCCAACTGGCCCCTGCCAGCGGAATAGGCAACAGGTCTGTAGCATAACCAGGCTATACGATTGAGCAGCATCAGGGGGAATGACCACCACTCGCTCCTTCCCTACCAATATTTACACACTCACGTGGACAAGGACAGCCCAAACAGCCGTGAGCCTATTCTGCACGCCAAACTGCTCCCGCTGCAATCTCCACTTTGGTCACCGCGGATTTGCTTCTCTGCCCCAAACACAACGACCTCATCGAGGCTCCGCCGGGATTGCATCAAACGCGCATCTGTCCGGCGTCTGGCCAGATCGCCCCTCCGGCCTGCCGACCTAGCTCACCTCTGCCTCGCTCTCTTCTGGGCGGACGCAGCACAATTCACTAGCTCCGACCCCCGGGTTCATTCGACATTTCTCGGCCTCGACACCAAAAGGCCACACCCCTCAACTCGGACTTCACACCACCTTGTTTTTCTCGCTCTCGCCTACCCCTCTGACCCGCGTGCTAGCACAAGAGCTCCTCGATACGGCAAGGCATGCGCCAGAATCCCCGAGGGCGGTCAGTGCTGTTGTCAGATTTAAATGTCCATCTCGCCAGCCGCGAGATATTCCAATCCTACCCGCCATTGCGAAGCCGACGCCGCGTGTCCGAAGACGCCCTGACTGCGTCGTGCAAGAGAAAGACCACAGGACATCACAGCTACTGCCACATCCATGCAAACCCTAACATCGACGTATCATCTCCGTCTCGCAGAGCCACAGACCTCGCTCGGCCGGCGCCGAGACTGTTTAGATCTGGCACGCTTCTCCCTGGACCTGACCTGGGCACGGGCAGAGTCGGAACGTGCTGCTCGAGCGAAGGCCTACCCGTCTCCGCCCATGTCAGGGTCTCCTCCACTTCCGTCCAAACCAACTCACGAGGCTGGTGGCTGGAGCCAGGGACGACAACAGAGTACGAGCCACGATGCCTATCGAGGATCTGCCTTGACGACAGCAAGCATCGCAGACGTCCACAGACCTGCTATCATACAGCAGCCGCAGCAGCAGCAACAACAACAACAACAACACCGTTCCTCAGTAGATTCGTACGCCCATCCACACCCACACTCACATGCGCAACAGCATCAATATCAGCAGCAGCAGCCACCACCACCGCCAACGCAAACGCCACTCTCGTATCCGAGACCGTACTCGCTCTATTCTCGCTCTGAAGATCCCTCTGACCCCCGTTCGATGTCTTCTTCCGCCTACGCTTCGCCACAGCTCCTGGACCCAGCAATGCCGGCACACCTCCCTTACCTGCCCCCCTTGCCAGGTCCGGGACCGATGCAGCAAGGCTACCCCATTTCTGTCCCGAGCCGGCCGCCACCGCCATCACAAGTTCCTTCTCCGAATTCAGTTTCCGCTCCGGGCCCTTCGGGGAGAGAGGATTCCATCCAGCCGTTTGACTCTCCCAAGTCTCAGAGAAAGACCAAAGGGCACGTGGCATCCGCTTGCGTGCCCTGCAAAAGAGCCCATCTGCGGTAAGTCAGTTCCCAACGCCTGGTTTGATCGAGGACGTGCCGTGCCTTTGTGCTTTTGATTTTATATCTGGCTTTTTCCGTTTTTGTTTTCGTTCTTTCCCGCTTTCCAGCTTCCTCCCTGAAATGCCGATGATCTGACATAGTGGCTTTTGATTTGCAGGTGTGATTGTACGTACGACCAATTAATCGTCCAGTGTTTATTACCCCATGGCGACGAGGGGCTGGTTTAAAACCGCCCCTTGCTGCACAGCGATCAATTTCTCGATTTTACCATAAACATCTTTCCTCTCCCATTGTCGTTATCCTTCGGTGCATACCCCTTGTCACAGACATTCGATTCTCGACCCTGTCTAGACGAGTGCTTCGTTGTCAAGGCGGCGTCTGAATTTTCTTTCCAGGCTGAATTGGCCCGCAAGTTTTTATACACTAACTAACACGCGAGATAGCACAACGGCCCTGCTCTCGTTGCTTGAGCAACAACAAGGAGGATGCCTGTGTCGACGTTCAGCACAAGAAACGGGGACGTCCACGACTCCGCGAGGAGAGGGACTTGAGGTACGATCTTTCAGGGAGAGGTGGCCCAGGCGGGCATCCGGCCGAGTCGGCATTGCACAGGCCGCAGATTCTATATGGACAATCCCCTTCATCCATGGGCACAGGGTACGGTATCGCAACGCGACGAAGCAATTCTTCCTCACACAGGATAATAAAGTTTCAGCCTGCTGACTTTATGGCTCCAAGGTTTATCGAGCGCGGTGGCTTGGCCGAAGCAAACGTTTATTCGGCTCCTCCTTCGATTTCTACCATGCACCCCGTGCCAGCTGCCTATCTTACCATGAATCTGGGGATCACCAAGGCGTCCAGCTCGTTTTCAGATGCTGTCGGGCACCAAAATACGATTGGGTTGAATCTCCGGGATTTGACTCTACCTGCGGACGACAGAAGCCTACAGACACTGCTGCACCAGATGCATGACGAACGAAGACGAAAAGACCCGCAATATCTGCCACCAATTTTTCCGGAGCGAGAACAAGACAGAGTCATCCAGGCTCTCGGATTCAGTTCAGACGACATGGCCCGATTCTCGTTGGATCGGCCGGAGTATATCACGTTCCGATCTCAGGATGGCCAGCAGAGGGGATTCCGCGCGCAATTCGGACTGGCTAAACAAGATTCGATATACTTTATCGTCCTCTTATTACATGTGGAAATGCGGTCGTTCGGACATCCTACGCCGTCGCCACAGTCGCGGGAAGTGCCATACGCGTACCCGCCCTTGCAGCATCCACCTCAGCATCAAGCATTTTCCCATTCGACGCCGGTGGCGGCAACCTTTGACGTTACCCGCTCAAGGCTCGCCACCGATCTTGGGTCGGGCCCTGCTCTACACCCACCGCCTCCCTCGGGACCAGTGATGGCGGTCCTCAGCCCCGCTTTGCCCTCCACCTATTCCGCCTTCTCGAGTAGATCTGAGTATCTGGCAGGGCCCTCTTCTTATCAGACTCCAAGAAGTGCGCCAGGCCTAGTTGCACAGCCTCATCAGCAGCAACCACCATCTAGCTACCAGCTGCCACCGATACGCAGCCGACACGAAGCCAGACCGTTGGAGTTTCTTCCCACGACGAGAGACGACAAGACGCGGGTCGACATAGGCGGACTGATTGACAAACCGGAGCCTTTAGACAGACGCCCGAGCCGTTGACATCAAAAGACAACGACTCCGAGACCGAAGCTCTTCGAACGAGTACACTTCTAGGTGTCGAACTTTTAAAGAACGCGCTGATTCAACCGACATCCATACCTTTTGCTTGATTGAGTATGTTATTGCATAGTATTGCCGGTCCGAGAATACAAAAGGGGGGAGCATGCTAGCGAACGGCGGTATCAGTCTGGCATTTTGGTATAGAATTTCCTATTCCTTCGAGTTTGTTCTTCTACTTGGTTTGCTTCCCATGATCCCGAACTTCTGGGACTGTGGCCTGTCTGTTAGGTGCAGCAGATCTACTACAGGAGCATGTTGTAAGATACCAACCTTTGTTATTTGTTCTTGATCTCGGCCGTTATGACTTTCTTATCGGAAAAGCGCGCAATGCCATTGATTGTTGGCAGCCATATTTGGGAGGGCAAGATCTGGACTCAGTGGGGAGGGGGGAGGGTGCGGGTATAGGGAACTATAAAAGGGGCGGAATAGCTGAGCAATATGCACCGTTTAGTTGTGCCGGAGATCTCTCTGCTCGTTTTTGTTGGGCTGCTTTTTTCCAGTTTTTCGAGTTTCCAGGGTAGTTCCTCTTCTGATCTATGCTTTCTAATTTTCATGTCCCCTTTTTGTTCAATCGGTATTTGGTATCTGTTTGTGCCCTTTAGGTTGACTTTTGGATTTTGCACTCGGGTTCGGTTTTGCCATATCCTGGGGGAGCGCTTGTTGGTTATGGATTTATATTTGATTTCTGTTTTTTTACCGGTGGTCTTTATGATGGATATTGTGGGTAGCTCTTATACTATTATCATCCGAGACCGAGCTTCTAGAATAGGGAGGCAATGAGAGACCGGATATGTCTTGCCCACTATTGGGCTTCAAGATCCTTAAAGTGTGCCAGCCAGCACGCATAGTGAACATGATGAAAATGAGGGTTGAGAAGAAAAGTATTTCAAAAACGAGCAGAGAAAGTCCCACTACGGTATATCCACTACGGTATATCAATCTGTTGGGCAATGAGAGGAGAAGTAAGATAGAGACAAGACAGACAAGACGACTAAGTAAAGAAGAGACAAGATCTAAGTAGCAAACAGTCTATACGTGCTCAACGCTGAGCTTCTTGCTGATGGCCGTCTGCGGCCCACGAACCATGATGGAAAGGCCGACTGGCGTTTTTCCGCGGACGAGGGAGATGTCCTTTTTGTATTCGAAGCCGAACTTGCTGTAGAACCGGTTGTTGGTCGCGGAGCTCGACTCGAGGTAGATCGGGCGTTTTTCTGCATCGGCCTTGGCAATCGGATTAGCACAAAGACCCACGCTTGCTTTCGTTCCCAGACTTCTTCTCCGTCGGTCCGCCTCTCTCACCTTGACAAACACGTGTTCGAGCAGCTTTTGGGCGTAGCCGCGACGTCGGGCGCTGGGCTTCGTCCCCAGATACAGCAGGTAGTAGCTGTTGTCAGCGTGTTTGGAGCTGCTGCCGCTGCTGCTGCCGCTGCCACCGCCCATGACCTCGATCTTGGTCTGGTGCAGCAGCGGCATCAGCTCGTCGTAGTAGCGTCGGTGGCCCTCGGGCGACAGCTGGAGGTGCAGACGCCAAAGGCCGCTGCGCAGGCTTGTCCACCAGCCATCGACGCTTTGGCCGGGGCCCAGCCAGAGTGCCACGCCATCGTAGTCGGGGCCGATGGTGGTGACGATGCCGTTGAGTGCCACCGACGCCACGATGTAGGTCATGATGTTGACGTGCAGCCGCCAGCGGTCCTCGGCTGAGTGAAGCCGGCCACCGCGACCGCGGCCACGACCAAGACCAGGACCTCGCTCCTCGTCCGCGGACGGGACCAGGTACAGCGACAAGGCATCGGCGGCAAAGGCGTGCGACAGCGACAGAGCGGCCTCGCGACACTCCGACATGCCGATGACCCGCACGGTGTCCTGCCACTGGGCCGGCACGAGAGACGGGGGCACCGGCAGATCGTGGTCATCCGAGACGGCGGAGGCAGAAACGGTCGTGATGGTGGTACTGCTGCTCAACGACGCCATGCTGGGCTTCGTCTGAAATACAATGTCAGTTTCGCTGTCGGAAGAAGAGCGGGATCCAGGTGCTGCCACATACGGAAGAGCGTCTAATGTCTAATTTATATTTTCTATGCCGTCTCCTGTATGCTCTCTCGAGAGTTGCGATCGTGAAATGGGCATAAAGCGAGCCGGATGACGAAGGCAGTGGAGGGATGTGCGGATTTCAAGAGACATTCGTCTATCTGTGCAGAGGAGCAGATAAGAGCTGTGAGAGATTCGGGGTGCAATCGAAGCAAAGTGCAGGCAGTCCAGACGTCGCTTGTGTGGCAGAGTGAAGGTGTTGCTTTGGTAAATACGAATGGACCAGAGGCAGCTGAGTTTTGGAGGATGCCCCCAACAAGTTTGATGGGTTTGCAGTATCTTGGTGTCTGCAATACGGAAAGTGACAAGATGGTAAGGCTACAGACGAAGAAAAGGAGAGAGAAGGAGAAAGAGGGCAAGAGGACGACAAAAGGGGCGATCAACCGGTTTTGGGGAGCCGTCGGGCAACCAACGGCCCTGAAGGACGATACGACAGCAATGGGACAACATGGCGTGCAGGGGGGCCACAGCATGCAGCTTTGGCGCACTGCAGCACACCTGACTCTGGACGTGAAGAGGATGAACTGTCTGCGAGGCTTGGGAGAGAGACCGCCCTTTCGGCCGCATACTGCATGACGCCATACAGAATGGCCGACAGCTGAGCATAGACAGAGATGGCCTGTGGCGGGAGAGCAGAACGACGGTGGAGAACGGTGTACGAGCACATGCACGTTGCTCAGGTGATGTCCTCGTATGCAGACAGACACAGGCGTGGCCTCGGCAAGGCTCAGACGTGGTGCTGCTGGCTGAGACTCGGAGACTCTGGGACTCTCGATCATGCATTAGTCTGGACCAAGCAGGGCCTGTTACGTGGCCGTCGGTGTGTTGGCAGAAACGCTGGGAGCCGGCCGGGGTTGCACGAGATTGGCTTACAGTCTCACACCTCGCACAGATTTGTCGCACAGGGCGTGGAGAGAGAAGGCGATGGGTGGCTGTGGCAGATTCGGCTTTCTCGTCTATGTTCCGGTCTCATATGCATGGTTTTCTTTTTCCTGGCTGGCGCGTGACACTTTACAGGACGGGAGACGCATGCGTGGTGGATTCAGCTCTGTACAGGCAAAAAAGGGAACAAGGATTAGGTGGCAGGTATCTTTTTTTTCTTTTTCTTTTTCTTTTTCGTCATCGTTTCTTCTTTTTTTGCAGTGCTCCCAGCGTGGAGAGCGGATATCGGGCGCACGGAAGCAGAGAGACATGGCCGGCAGTGGCGAAGTAGAACAGCCGTGCAGCAAAGACAGTCGCGCTGTCTACATCCGCCGGATCTCCTGCTCATTGGTGAACTTGTCCAGGCCCGAGTCCAGGTTCTGCCACCACTCAAAGAGCATCGAGTTACAGATCAGCTTGAACCACGGCGTGAAGCTCAGCTTGGGGTCCTCAAATAAGGCCTTGAGCTCGTCTGGCGTCACGTAGCGCGTTGCCTGCACCTCATTTTCGTTCACCGCCAGGTCAACCTTGGCCTTGATGAACAGGATGTAGTCGACTACATGCTTAGTCAGCATGTACCAAGACCAACCAAGACAACTGGAACAGAACAACAAAAGCAAGAAATACATACTCTCGTGCTCGCCCCATTTGCCATCGCTAGGCGCTTTGTAGTGTATGCGAGTCAGGAAGCGGAAGTCGTCGATGGGCACCTGCGCCGCCGGTATGCCCAGCTCGTGGTCCAGCTTGCGCTGGGCCGCCCGCTTGACGCCGGCGACCGACTCTGGAAGTGTGGCACCGGTCTCGCTCGGCATGGCCAGCGGGTGCGAGCAGCACGTGTTGGTCCACATGTCGGGAAACGTGATCTTTTCCGTTGCCCTTTGCTGCAGCAGCAGCCGGTTCTGCTCGTCAAACAGGAAGACGGAAAAAGCCCGGTGCAGCAGGCCGCGGTCAATGTTGGTCATAAGATGGCCTGGAATTTGTTAGTCATCGTCCTGTCTCTTACACATGCGTCATCTCCTTGCATCCCCTTCTCTCTCAGGACACGTACAGATCTTCTTGCTCGCCTTGCCAATTGGGGCGTCATTCTCGTCCAGAACAATGCACGCCTCGTCCATCAGCCTAATCTGCTCCTCGTCATGGCCCTCGAGGGCCTCACCGCTGGTGTCAATGTCTGGGAACAGCTTCAGGATGGTGTCTGCCGTGATGCCCGTCATCGTGGCCGTTGTGGTCGTCGCTACGGTTGTTGTTGTAGACATGCTTGCGCGGCGGTAAGGGTGAAAATCGCAAGAGAGGAGGGGGCGTTTGAATGTTGCGCAAGAGAAAGCTCTCAGGATCGGTGCTGCTCTCGGCAAGTTGTAGGCAGCCCTGGTGCTCTGTCTCCAGATGGGCTTGAGCATAGGGGAAAGAGGCAGTAAGGAAGGCTGCCAATAGAAATCACTCGATTTCAGTCTCTGCGGCACAGAAGAAGCGGACGAAAACGGGAGAGCAGAGACAGGTCACTTGCTGGCGATATTTCTGCATCGAGACGGGCACAAGTAAGATTATGTTCGTTGAGCCATCGGTCAGCTGGCAGATGCACTAGCTGCATCCAGTAAGCGGGGTTGCTCCCATCCCGGCTGAGCCCACCAATTCAATGGTATCGTGGAACATGCTATCAAGCCCAGTGCGCAGACTCGGCTGCCCACTGGATACATGACGGCTTCGCTAACGACCGCGATAGGCAGAATGCATTGGGCGGACTGTAAGTGCATGCTATCGGAGGCGGTCGAGGCCGGCAGAATATGTCACCGCCAAAATTTTAGCAACTAAGCTCTTTTTTCGCCCGGCAGGATCATTTCGGTTGCAGGAAGCATATCCCCGTTGGAAGACCAGAAATCGAGCCAATATGCGGAAGAGGAGGTCAACCGCTCCGGAAGGAGACGGTGTAGCCAGGAAGAGGATTCGAGTGGTGCACGAGGCACCGACGTTTGAAGCCATTCTCTCGGCGAGACAACTGATGCAGCTCCTGTCCTTTGACCAGGACATCCAGAAGGCTCGCCATGGTGAGCCAACTTTCCCTTGTTCTGGGGAGCTGGGCGCTAATTTCAATCGCAGGACTGCAATCGTTCAAAGTGCTTCTAGACCGCATCAATGACGCCGAAAAGCGCACGCCAGAAGATGTCGCCATTCTGCATGGCTACCTCCGATCGACCAGTCCGAGGACGGAGAGCAACGGTGACAACGGCGATGATGCAGACAACACCGAACCCGTCTTTCTCGCAGATATCATGGACAGCTGGAGCTTTGCTGCAAAACTGGACAACGACAGCGTCAGGTCGGCCGTGCCCGTGGTGCTGGCTCTGCTGCTCAAGTATATATCACATGTGCTCGAGCTGGCTCCCATTGGCCTCGGAATCTGCCGCACGCTGCTTCTGCCGCAGCAGCTGGACTTGATCGCCAAGAACCTGTCGGCCGAAAAGAGCAAGGAGTTTATCATATCACCGACTTTGCGCATGCTGCGCGAGGTCGTCACGTTTGATGGTGGTGCCGTGGCCAAGGCCCTTTTCCGTGCGCGAAACTTCACATTCCGCCTGCTGGCCCGGAACATGGGCATCAAGTTCCTGGGAGAAGGCATCGAAGACGCAAAGAGGACATCGGCGCGGACAAACGCGGTCCGATTCTTCCTGGCGACTCTCAAGTTCCTCCACCCTGAGGCCAAGGCCGAACTTCTCTCTCAGCGCGATATTGTCGGAGCCTTGACGAGGACGATCAGAGACGACCCACCGTACGTGGTGCATGATCTTCTGGAGAGCCTGCAGAGCCATGTGATGCGCGACAGGAAGTTGTCGAGAATGGTAAAGGCAAGGCTGCTCAACTCGGCAACGCTCGTTCAGATTGCCAGCCTCTACAGTTATGCACACGACAACAGCGCGGCTGCTGATGACGAGGAATCTGGTGGAGCCAACCGGACTTCCGTCTCGGATGCTGCTCACCAGTTTCTGCTGCACGCATGCACGTCGCCAACCGCGGGTGTTCTGCGAGACCAGTACGGCTGCTACCCCAAGGGCGCAGAGCCGGACACAGCTCCATCAACTGTCTCGACAGCCAACACAGATCCCCTGGGCAGCGGAGGCGGAAGTGGTCTCGACCGAATCGTGTGGATGGACAAGTTTATCAACGAGGTGCCTGTGCACAATCTGGCTCTGTCCGACCTCATCGCCACATTGCGGCCGTGGTACAGCACGCGGCAGAGCGAGCTGCTGATCGCCGTTTTCAAGGAAGCCCCAGAGCTCATAGCCTGGTACTTTATCAACAAGAAGTCGTTCACCTTCGAGCCCAAGATCTCGGCCACCTGGGTCGGCTTCTCTACGCTCTTGTTCAATACCATCCGCGTGGACTTGCCCCCGTACTTTGGCAGCCGGCAGAAGTATGCACACATTCCGCCGCCGACTTCGGTCGTCGTGGACAACATCCTTCCCCTGCCCCTGTCACAGAAGATTCTTGGGCGTTGCCTGAACCACAAGTCGAAGCTGGCCCCGTTCTTCGCCGTCCGCTTGCTCGCAATCTCCCTCGAGAAGCTTCGCGCGGCTCTCCAGATGCACGACGAGGCCGCAAAGAGTTACCCGGCCGAGTCCCTCTGGGCGGAGTCTTCTCGCAGGGTCATCGACGAGTTCTGCCGTCGGTGTTCGCCCATGAAAGACATCATCAACACCTACCGGGGTATTGCCGAAGACGATCTTCTCTACCGCGAGGCGGCCAGCCGCGTGCTGCGTCTCTGCTACGAAGTCACCCCCCAGGTGGCCTTACTGGCCAGGTTTGACGTGTCCTCCTCTCTCTTCACCGTACTTCGCCAGGCGAATCAGTACGAAGGCTCACCCCAGGACAAGGTGCTCAAGCTGATGGAGCTCGAAAATCTCCTGGCCATTGCCGGATACTCGCCGGCTATGCGGTGGTTTTCCAAGGCGGAAGGCCTCACTACGTCGCCGTTTGTGGCGCTCGTCAAGGTCTACACAGAAGCGCCTGCCGACTTGGTTCTGAACAAAGTTCGAGAGATGCTCGAATTCGTGGCAAGAGAGCAGGAAATCGTGCTGTCTGCAGCCGGCTCTTCTGGCCTGTCAGCACTGTTCGGCAGCTTGCAGCAACTACTACAAACAGGTGCAACACCCTCAACCGACTCTGTCTGGACGTTTGTCGACAATTGTGCCGTCCGCTGTGCCATGGCTCCGATCAAGTACATTGAAATGCTGCAAGACCTTTCCGGGGAGGGAGCGAAAAGCGGCGATGCAGTCGATCCGATCACGATGACCATAGCCGAGCAGCTGTCCTTTGCTACTGCCAACGGTGCAAGCGAAGCCACGCTGAACTCCCTTGCCGACTTTGTTCTGCGGTATTTTGAGGGTTGCAGCGGCAGCAAAACGTCTCTCAAACCCATTTTCAAGAAAGCTTCGAGTGCCTTCCCAGATGGATCACGTGCTGCGGCTAAGCTGGCTAAAGGCCTGCCAAAACGGTCCTCCAAGGCCAAAGAACGGTCGAGTCCGGCGTCGGGTGAGGATGCCGCTGCGGACGACAGCAAGACATCCGAGAAGGCAGGAGGCGCCAAAGATAACTTGGACGACCAGGAGTCATTAGAGGATCTGCTGGAGCTGGCGCCGGTTTCCGAGCTGGACAACGCAGCACTCGCCAAATGGGCCAATCGGCCGGCCGACGAGCTGGTCGAAGAAGGCTATGCGGCATCGCTGATCATGCTGCTGGCATCCGAGCACACCAGCATACGGAAAGAGGCGCTTGTGAACCTGGCCAAGATGGCGGCCAAGATCCGAGAGTCGACGTATGCCGAGAAGGACCAGACCTGGCTGCTGCTGTCCGAGCTGGTTGCGTCTGCTCGGGCATGGACGGCCGACCAGGACACGGCGAACCTGCCTCTGCCCAGCCATATCCTGTCGTTTGCATGCCATGCCTTGGATGCGCTGCGCAATCCGTTGCACCGGCTCTACGGCAAGGTGAACGCATTCTTGACGGCCGGCCCGATTTGGCGACTCGGAAACTTCCCACTCGTGCACAACATTGTGCATGACGGGCCGACGGAAGACGACTCCTACTACGCCGAGATTAACTGGCTGCTGGCCTATCTGCTCGACAGCCTGCGGACGCCGGCAGACGTCGGCCTCTTCCGGACGCGGAGACTCTTTGAGACCATGCTGTCGGTGGCCTCGAACCCATACCTGCGCTTCCCACTTCGGCGACAGGTGCTGCGGATCCTGTGCCGGGCAGCATCGATCGAGGGCGGCAGCACCACATTGATCACGCGGTCCGGCATCATCAGCTGGCTTGCTGCGCGCAAGGCGACAGCGGCCGGCGAGGACGACAAGCCCATGGCGGCAGAACGTGCCACAGATGCCAAGGGCGACGGAGAGGAGGCACGCATTGTTCGGGCACTCCTGCAGAGGCTGTGGGAAACCAGCGACCAGGAGCGCGTGGAAAACTGGAGCATGCACGGCATACAGGAAAGCATCCGTAATTTACGTACTTCATAGAAGGGTGGTGTGCATGGTCGGCTTATACGGAGTAGCAATGTTCAAAAGCGTGTTAGATTGTTGGAACGTCCTTTTTTGGTCGCAGGGGAATCATTAGTCATGACCTCCACTTTGTGCACGGACCACGTGCTTTCACCCATTAGGTGGCGGATTAGACTGGCTGGCCGACATCGTCTTTGGGGGCGCCTGACTCTATCGGTCGCTCCTGCCAGCCAAACCATCTTGCCTGCTTAGGCCATTTGCCATTTTCATCCGACTCGAAGCATCACAAAAAAAAAGAAATAAAAACAAACGCATAAAAAACCACACACACAACGAGGAAGAAGCCATTTGAAAGCACATTCTGCGCACATCTCTGCACGATCCCATCCAGCTGACCTCACCGCACCGCGAGCACGTCGAGTATTCGTCCTGCTGCGTCGCATCGCACACGCCGAATATTGGCAGTGGCTAGCCCTCGCGCCTAAATTTTGTCCTCTTCTGGACGCCTCTCCACGATTCCCTCTTACTTTTGACCTCTCTACGTCCATCTGGAAAGTTGTCGGCCGTCTTGCAAACACTCACCGCCATCTGGCCCTATTGCCTCTCTGCTTTGCCCAACTCGACGCCCCCTTCCGCTCTGGACCTCGAGTCTGTATCTATCGGCCTATATTTGCCTCTCCCTCGGCCGGAACGAAGCCTCACCCAAAAAGGGCAGCAAGCGCTGACCCTGCTCTACCACCCAAACTCGAATGTTCTCTTTCCCCCTATAACAATGGCTTCCAGGTACACCCCAGAAGCACTTCTTCGCCTCCGTCTATCGCCATTATGTGTCAAGCCGCCCAATCTGCCGCCTCCTGAACAATGGATGGGGTGAGAAACTACCCACCTCCTTTTTGATATACAAGAGTCATTTTGTGTATCCACAACCATACCACATACTTTGTATGATCTCCAGTCTGGCCTTGGCAGCTAATGTGGTCGTTTGATTTGGCGTACAGGCAACCAACAGACTACACGCGCACGCAGGTTCGAACAGCCACCGACAAGCCCAAGAACAATGATGTGTCCCTTCCATTAGATGCTGCAAATCGCCGGCCCGCAGGTGATCGGCATAATCAGCGAAATGCGTCCGGTAAGAGCTCTGCATGTGGCATGCTGCCTGCTGCCGCCTGCTGCCTCGGTCCGGACCCCTCCATGCTAATTGGCGGCTTAGGCTCCGAAGAAATCGTGCTAGGTCCTCCCAAGTTGGGTTTTGCCTCAACATCCCTTCGCACTGCCGGAATCAAACTTGCTGGGGACTTGGACCGGGCGTCTCGGGACGCGGATACGCGGGACCGGTTCGGAGTGCGAGGACGAAACGATGCATCGGATGCCAGCAACTTTAATAACGGCAGCGGGGGATATGGGAACGGCAACGGTGATCGCACACGTGACGGCCGCAATAACCGGCGCCGGGGCGATGCAGACCAAGACGGTGAAGGATGGAGCACGGTCAAGCCTCGTAAGAGCTTCGGCCACGAAGGTGCCGAGCGGTTCCACGGCCGCATGGGCGGTGGTGGTAGTGGCGTCAGTGGCGGCGGCATTGAACGGTTTGGGCGTGACGGCAAGCCGAGAGAGCGAGACGATGGTGATGTCGGTGGTCGAGACCGCCCTCGCCGTACATTTGATCGTGATGTGACGCGAGACCGGGACGGCGGGGACGAAAACGATGGACCCCGTCGAAATGGCGTCTTGGGGGGTCGAGGACCCTGGTTCAAGGATAGCAATGGCGGCTCGACGGAGGAACGGCCAGAGCGAACGGATCGTACGGATCGTACAGACCGTACGGAACGCAACAGCCAGCGAGAGCGTATTGACCGCACAAAGAACTGGCGGGAGCGTGATCCTGATCTCCAGCCGATGGATAATTACAGAGAGAAGAACAACCACAACGAACGTGGTGGCGGCAACGGCCACGACCGCCGATGGGACCGGGACCGGGACCGAGATCATTACCAGCACCGGGTCGAACGGGAGCCCGAGTGGCTTGACGAGCCTGCTCCCTTGGGGAAGACGAGATGATTGGGGGTGGTAGTGGCGGACACACGGAGGAGGATCTGCGGCGGTTCATGGAGGCCATGAAAGGACGAAGCGGTGGATCTACAGCCAAAAAGGCTGGAAGCCCAGACGAGCCTCGCGAGGGTGAGGCCGGCAACAAGTCGTTTCGACCAGAGCCGGCGCCGGCCATCGACCATGGCCCCGACCGATTTTTCGAGCAATTTACCAAGAGCTCAAAGGCAGAGGATGCCAGCGTTGCCGGCGGTGTGGCCGAAGCCAAGAAGGAGGCAGCCAAGGCAAAGGGGGCGTCGCGTTTCACGTCTTTCTTCTCCGCGCAGGAAGACAACCGGCGACAGACAGATACCCCAACGCATAGCACCAGTGTGCCACAGCAGTCGCCGCCGTCCGGCGGACCACCGGGGCCAATCCCCCCGCCCGATGCAGCCGAGAAGGAAGCCTTTCAGGTCCTGCTGCTGAAGCTACAGCGACAGACACTGCAGGGCAGCAGTGCATCACCCGGAGCTGCAACCGTGGGAAATCTGGCAGGGATTCCGTCTGCCAGCAAAGGAACTCCACCTAGTGTTGGTGGCTACCAGGAGCCTTCGAGCGGAGGTGTGCCGGCGACACACGAGAGTCGCCAGAGGAGCACGATAGCGTCGCCGAACCCGATGTACCCTCCCCGACAGGTTGGCCTAGAGCAGCAGAGAGACGACCCGCGGTTCCGGGGCGGCATGCCACCTCCGGGACCTCCCCTGCCGCAACAGATCCTGCACGAGATGCTCATGCAGCGTCCGTCAGGCCTATCTTCGAACCAGTCGCCGCCGGCATCGGTGCGTCCCGAGCAGATGATCCAGGAACTGCTGGCCCAGCGACAGCACGCGTCCAGCCAGGAAGCAGGGCTCCGGATGGGGCCGGGACCCGGACTTGGACCAGGACTGGAGCCCGGCCAAGGACTGCGGTCCTCCGGGCCAGGGCCCAACGGGTCTCTTTCAAGCGCACAGAGCGACTTTCTTGTGCAGTTGATGCGCAACGGGGGTGAAGCGCGGCGACAGGAAGAGCTGTTGATGCGGATGCCGCAGCCGCGGAAGCAGGTGAACATTCCGTCGATTCCAGACCGGGCAGCCGACATGGCAGCCGACTTTGCCCGTGAGAGAGAGCGGATAAACGGCCCACCCCAGCAGCGACAGCAGATGCGTCCGGCTCAGTACGTGGACGAGCAGTATTCCCGACAGGAAGTGGAGAGTCGCCAGCAGACGCAGCCGACACAGATTCTGCAACGTCCTCCACCGCCTCCGGGTTTGGAGCAGGTGCTGCAGCATGGACAGCTGCCACCGTTCCTCCAGGTCGGCGGTGGTGGCCGGCTGCCACAGCAACAGCAGCAACAGCAACAGCAGCAACAACAACAGCAGCAGCAACAGCAACAACAGCAGTCCCAGCAGGGCCCTCAACAGCCGATGATTCCACCACCACCTGGACTTGGCGTCGGCCTCCAGGGCAATGCGCCAAATCGGCAGCAGATGCCCAACATGCCCAACGGACCTAACATGGCAGGACTGCCCAACATGGCCAGCATGGCTAACATGGCCAACATGCCGAATCTGGCCAACATGCCGGCCATGGGCCTGCACAACATCCCGCCAAACATGTTTCCTCCCAACTTTCCGCAGCAGGGTCCGTTCCCGCAGGACGGGATTCCGGGTGGCCCACCACGAAACATGCCTCCACCGCCTCCGGGATTCTATCCTGGACCGCCCGGATTCATGCCGCCACCGGGCATGGGGTTCCAGGGTCTCCAGGGCATCCAGGGCATCCAGGGCATTCAGGGCCTCCAAGGCATTCAGGGCCTCCAAGGCCTCCAAGGCCCGCCAGACGGGATGGGATTTCCCTTTGATGGCCGTGGAATGCCGCCTATGCCTCCGGGCGTTGGGTTTCGCCGGCCGTAAGTGCCTTACATTTTTTGTGGTCCCAGGAGCCAGAGACGGACAAGTCGACTCGCCTGGGAGAAGGACTGGAAGGACGGGATATCAACCCTTTATTGAGGCTATGTTATGTACTATGTAACCTAGCTGCGCTGTCGTCTCAATCAAGCCAACGTCCGTCTGCACGTGCAAGTCTACAATAGAGTGAACCTTTAGGACAGAATTGAAGCAAACGGAAAGGGTAAGCGTCAGGGGTATACAAGACACGTTCCGACGTCTGCTGTCATCGATGACGGCCATCAGTGCTGATCCTGGCTGGGAGAGCGACGTCGTTTCGGCTGTCTCGAAGGCGAGTCTTTGGACTGCTGAGTCTGGTGAATCGGCGGTGTCTGGACCAGCTGTGCTGCAGCTCGGGTTGAGGCAGACGGCCGAGCGGTGGTTTCTGCCGACGCAGCTTCGATGCGCGCACTTGCTGAGGGCGACGATGTCCGTCGCTTCTTGGCGGCCGGCTGCTCGTCCAGGACTGACTGCGACGACGACGAGGGCCGTGAAGGCTGTGCAAGCGCATCGGAGCTGCTGGTTCCTGGCAGGTTCAGGGCGCGTTCGAGTCTGTCGATGGCCTTCTTGCTCTGTCTGATCGTCTGCTGGCCCTTCGGCGTCGATGTCTGTTCGCCGGGTTCGGATAGCGTGTCCAGGTCAAGAAACATAAACCCCCGGGGCTGAGACTCGGGGGCCTCTCGGAGTGGCATCATTTCGGTCAGCCATTTCGATGGGAGGAGAGTGCTGTCTTGCCCAGGATCGCTCGAGCTGTCCGAGGATGCAGGATTGGAGCCGGACCTATTTCGCGGCATCGTGACGTGTTGGGCAGTAGTGGCAGCAGCAGCAGCAGCAACAAGCAAGACAGGGTGTATGCTGGTCGTGTGAAAAAGGAGCTAGGAGCCTGCAAGGACAGCACAACCGACTTTATATGTGCTCGTTGCGTACGTGTGCTTACTCTTCTCCTCCCAACGTCGTGTCCGGGCACAAGTCTGTTTTAGGGACAGACCAAATGTGCATAAACGTCCGTCGAAGAAGCGATGGGCCTCCTGCAAGCAGTCCAGCCCGACCAATGAGTGGACGTGAAGGAATGACAGGCATCAGAAAAGAGACGAACCGACTGTTTTTTTTTTCCCCCGATACGAAATACGAACGGGAGGCCTTGCGGCTCAGCTGAGAGACCACATGGTGGAGACCGTCCAGCCAAAGGGACTAGTTTTCAGAGGATCGCAAGGCAACAATGAGAGTAACGACATGTCAGAAGTGCAGTGCCAGTGCCTGGCTTCCGGCTTTAAAAGTGGGTCACATGACGGATGGGGACGCGTTCATGGAGGAAGTCGCGACCACTATGCAACGACTTCCTTCCCTTGCAGAGCAGTGACGATGCAAAAGAGATACTGCAAGTGTGATTTGTGACAGGAAATTGCCGTTTGTCATCCGCCGGATCCCATTCCATCATCCGCGAGACAGCCGGTGCGGCACAGCGCCAGAGGAGTGGGCGACACTGCATGCAGCCGATTTCTGTCTGACCGGTGAGCGTGGAGGCGCAGTTTTCCGAGCACAGCGAGTCTTATCGCCACCGACTGTATTGAGGCCATTCGTCATTGTAGGCGAGATGGATTTCGAGGCAGAGACGAGGGGGACCAAGCGAAAGGCGGACGATGGTGTGGGTGCGTCGGGGCCGCGGCGAATCAAGGCAAGCCGCCACGTGCACCGTCCCGGCCGTGCTGTCTCTGCTGACCGACGTTGCAGGCGCTCGACCCGGACGTGGTGAACAAGATTGCGGCGGGCGAGATCATCATCGCGCCGGTGCACGCGCTCAAGGAGCTGGTCGAGAACGCGGTAGACGCGGGCTCGACGATGCTGGAGGTGCTCGTCAAGGACGGCGGCCTGAAGCTGCTGCAGATCACGGACAACGGATGCGGCATCGATGTGAGGGCCATTCCGTCTGGTCGTCTGTCCAAGCTGTGCTGACATGAAGCAGAAGGGCGACCTGCCGATTCTGTGCGAGCGCTTCACGACGTCCAAGCTGCAGACGTTTGACGATCTCGGCTCGATCGCGACATACGGCTTCCGGGGCGAAGCGCTGGCCAGCATCAGTCACATTGCCCATCTGACGGTGACGACGCGAACACGGGACGACGTGTCGGCCTGGCGAGCCTGCTACGAGGCCGGCCGTCTGGCGCCACCGAAGCCGGGCCAGGACGCCGAGCCGAAGCGGGTGGCCGGCCGCCAGGGCACCCAGATCGCCGTCGAGGACCTGTTTTACAACGTGCCGACACGTCGACGTGCCTTTCGCTCCGCCGCCGACGAGCACAATAAGATCGTCGACATGCTCGGCCGCTACGCCGTCCACTGCGCCGGCGTCGCCTTTTCCTGCAAGAAGCACGGCGAGTCGTCCGCCAGCATCGCCGTCCCGGCCGTCGCCACTACGGTCGATCGCATCCGCCACGTCTACGGCGGCGCCATGGCGGCCGAGCTGCTCGCCCTCGACACGGCTGACGTCCGCTGGGGCTTCCGGGCTCGTGGCCAAGCCTCCAGCGCGAACCACTCCCTCAAGCGGACCACCCTGCTGCTCTTTATCAACAACCGCTGCGTCGAGTCGGCCAACATCCGCAAGGCCCTCGACGACCTGTATGCCACCTTTCTGCCCCGACACGGCCATCCGTTCGTCTACCTCAGTCTCGATATCGACCCGCAGCGCGTCGACGTCAACGTCCATCCGACCAAGCGCGAGGTCCATTTTCTGAACGAGGACGAGATCACCCGCGCCGTCTGCGACCACATCGCCTCCAAGCTGGCCGACGTCGACACCAGCCGCACCTTTGCCACCCAGACACTCTTGCCCACACGACTGCCCGCTCCCAGTCCGGCTTTGGCCGTCAAGAAGACACCGGCCCGGCCGTACGAGAACAACCTCGTCCGGACAGACTCCAACTTGCGCAAGATCACCAGCATGTTCACGCCCACATCACCGATGACCGTGTCATGTCCTGCAGCAGCAGAGACCGCCCCATCCGACGCTTCGGTCCATCCGGGTCGCCAGCCCGCATACGACGTGGTCGAGCGCGAACCATCGGTCAACTGGCTCAGGAGCGTGCGCGAGCTCAAGGAGGCCGTCGTCGCCGACGCCCACGGCGGCCTGACCGACCTCTTTCGCCACTACAGCTTTGTCGGCATCGTCGACGACCGGCGCCGTCTGGCTGCCATCCAGAGCGGCGTCAAGCTGTACCTCCTCGACTACGGTCGTGCCTGCTTCGAGCTGTTCTACCAGCTGGGCCTCAACGACTTTGGCAACTTTGGCCTCATCCGCTTCAGTCCGCCGCTCGATCTCGCTCAGCTGCTGCGCATGGCCCTCCGGCTCGCGCCCGGCAACGATGGCCATACGCCTAGCCCGGACGACACCAGCGCTGTCGATGCCGTGCTCGCGCAGCTCGTCGAGCGCCGCCAGATGCTGCTCGAATACTTCTCGCTCGAACTCACGCCCACCGGCGAACTCCTCAGCATCCCTATGCTGATTAAGGGCTATACCCCACCGCTGACTAAGCTGCCCCACTTCCTCCTCCGTCTCGGACCCGCCGTCTGTTGGACGGACGAGAAGGCCTGCTTCGACACGCTGCTGCGCGAGCTGGCCCGCTTCTACGTGCCGGAGCAGCTGCCCAACGAGGACGATGACGATGGCGGTGTTGACGACGACGACGGCGACGGCGACGACAGCGATGGCGAAATGCGGGCCCGCCGAGCACATGTTCGCCATGCAGTCGAACACGTCTTCCTGCCGGCCTTCAAGGCCCAGCTGATCTGTACGGCGTCGCTGATGCAGGCAGGCTTGGTCGAGGTGGCCAATCTCAAGGGCCTCTATCGCGTGTTTGAGCGCTGTTGAGCCGCTCCCCAGCTTCATAATCTGCTATTGTATTTCTCTATGTCGCACGAGCGCCCACTGGCAGCCTCTGGTGTATGTAAGCTTCTGCTGATGTAATCAAACACAGACAGTACAGCGAGAGGAAGCCCGATCACACGCGGAACATGTTTTAATATACAAAAAGACTCCAGTTCTTGCCTTTGCCATCATTCTCGTGCCGTCCCTGGTGTCGTTTTATTTGTTTTCGCTGTCCCACTCAGGGTTCTGTGCTGTTAGCAGAGGCCACAGAATTCAAATAATACTCATGATAAAACCCCCAAACGCACCTTTCTTAGAATCACCAATCCCTCGAGAGTGTTGCTCAGGCTGATGTACTCCTCGTCCTCGAGCTCGGCTCGCTCGCCGTACGCCAGCAGCACCGGCGTGCTCTGGGTCTGCCAGCCGGTAATCGTCTTCGGCCGACCGGCCTGGCCAACCACATCGACGGCCTGACCGACCCGCACGTTGACCGTGACCGGCTTGAGGTCCTCGTCCAGCGTGACGAGGAAGCGCGGGTGCATCGCCGTGACGAGAAAGTAGAGCAGGTAGTGCGAGTGCGACGTGATAAACTGCTTCGCATCAAGCATGGCCACCAGCACCGCCAGCAGGCCCGCTGCCGAGACCCGCGATAGGATCTGCCGGTCCGTGTGGAACGGACTCAACGAGAGCGTGCCCTTGCCCATGTGCAGCAGCCCCTGAGCAATCCGTACCATGAAGAGCGCCTCCTGGTCGCGATGGTAGTAGCTCGCCAGCTGTCGCAGCAGCTGCGCCAAACGCGCATTGTTCGTGCCTGCGCCCAAGAGTCCCATCGCAAAGATGGCACTCATCGCCACGTCGCTGTCGTTGTCGTGCGAGTATCGCGACAGCGTGTCATACACCTTCATCTGCGGGTTGCTCGGGCTGATCAGCCCCATTGCCAGCGGCACCGCTCGCCGGATGTTGGGCTCGCCGTAGTGCATCAGGTGTCCAAAGTGCCGCAGCACCATCTCCTGGCCCACGTCCTCGCCCATCGCAATCAGACCGATGCCCAGAACCGCATACGCCTGCAGCAGCTCGTCGCCCTTCTTGTCCTCCGACTCCTCCAGGTGCTCGTTGCACATGTGCAGCAGCTCCTGGATCTTCAGCACCGCTCCCGTGCCTGCCCATGCACACACCGTCGCCAGCACTGCCATCGGCTTGGCCACCGGGTGGTCCACCGCCTTGAGCGTCTCCAGGATCACGTCCACCTCCTCCTGCCGCCCAAAGAAGAGCAGCCCCAGGCCCAGGCCCAGGAACCGTGTCCATTTGTCCGTCAGCTGCGGCTTGCGGTCGTCGTCCAGCAGCGTCGTGATGATGGCCTCGCTCGTGTCCGCGTGCGACGATCCCACAAAGATCAGCCCGCACGCCAGCGCTGCCATTGCAGACGTCTGCATGTCGTTGGACGTGTCCGTGATGATCGGCAGCAGCCGGTCCAGCAGCATGTCGTTGTGCGAGCCCGCGTACGCCAGCCCGAGCCCCATGATACACGACATTCGGATCAGCGGGTTCTTGTGCTCCAGCTTCTCCGGGTCGCTCAGCAGCGCAAACGCCGGCTCCGAGTCCAGATGCACGCCCGAGCTCATGATGCCGATACCAAGCATGGCACCCGCCTGAATCTGCTCCTCCTCCACGTACGTGTACTTGTCGATCTTGTCCAGCCCGTTCTCAATGTCCCACAGCATCAGCGTCCCCAGCGACGCCACCGTCGACGTCATGCCCTCGTCCTTGGTCTTCCACACCCAGCTCTCCTTGTCCTGCTCCACCAACATCATGTTGTCTTTGCCGAACCCGGCGTTTACAAACGCGTTCACAAATGCCGCCGCCAGGTTGTGTCGTGCCGAGTCGATGTTCGTCATGTTCGACACCCGGCTGCTCTCCAGATGGCTCTTGTAGATGTCTTCCGTCGTCTTCGGATCCAGAATGTTGAGCTCCTTGCCCAGCAGCTTGAAGTGCTCCGACAGCCGCACGTTGGACAGGCACTCCACAAGCTCCTGGTCCTCCATGTCTGCCGTATCCAGGCAGATCCGCTGCCGCGCAATCAGGAACGCCAGCTGCTTCTTCAGAGCCGCGTCCTCCGTCTGCTCAAAGTCCAGCTTGATCAGGTCCATGTCGTTCAGCCGGATCGCAAGAACCATCGCCTGCGTGTACTGCTTATACTCCTTGTATATGTCGTGCGCAACACGCAGGAACTGCTCGTTGTCCGGGTACGTCAGGAGGTTGACCATCGACACCATGTACAGACACACACGTGCATACGTGTCCTGGTCCACAAACTCGGGCAGCTTCTCGATGATCTCCATCTCGCTCATCAGATCAACCGCATCTGCCTCCGCATTGCTCTTCAGAAAGAGGGGCACCAGAACCAGCGCCAGATCTACGAGGTCCGTCGTCGCTTCTTCTGCCGTTATCCGCTTGCCGTACACCTCACCAATCTCAAGCGCAAGGTGTCGCACGTACTCATGACCCCATGACCCAATGTCTTGCGTGGGCGCCAGAAGTCGGTATTTGAGCGTGTCCTGGCGGCCCTCGTCTGAATACGTCATGCCGATCACAGACAGCACGTCGGCCAACGACGTCTTGTCATTGCCTGTCGGCCATTCGTCATGCAGCTTCGTCATCGTTTCGTAGTGTGGCCGGAGAAACTTGAGCGGCTTAGGTACTGCTGTCATCGAAGACGTTGACGTCTTGATGAAGTTCTTCATCGCCTCCAGCGCCGGCTTGTAGAGAGTCGTGTCCGATTCCTGTTCCATGTGTTGTGGCCCATTATCAGCGCCGATTCTTTGCTTAGTAGCCGCAACCTCTTAACCTCACTTACCGTCAGTCTCTCCACGAGCATCTCCAGTTCACTTTTCAGCTGCTGGTCCTCTTCGCTCAGCTCTTCGGCTGGAAGGGACAGACCGTCAGTTCAGCATTTGACACAACGCAAATGCGTCATACATATACAGCACAACAGAAGTGAAGGCAATTCTCTTACAGTCGTCCTTCTCGTCCTTCTTTCCATTCGTGACCGGCTTGGTATCCTTGTCTTTAGGGACCTCTTGGCTCTTGCTGTCAACAGCTTTGGCCTTGCCCTTGTCGCCGGCCTTGGACACATCGTTGTCTTGCGCCATGATGAGTGCGCCCGTGCTAGAAACGTCTCGGGTATAAGGCTATCTTTGTTTTAGAAAACCCTGCCGGTGAGGAGGCTGAGCAGATGCGAAAGTCGCCTCCTTTAGCTGCGTAGCTGCAGTAGAAGGAGGAGGAAATGGCAACTGGAGAGTCCGGTGGGAACTCCTTCGCTCACTTTGGCTTGTTGAAAGAAGCGTTCCGAGTTCGGGCAAAGGAGCGCAAGCGTTGTGCAATCGTCTGCTTCGTGTTTTCAAATGAAGTTGATGGTGGGAGCAGCAACAACAAACACAAAATAGACAAATTTCGTGGAGGGGAGGAGAAGCTTGGGAAAACGGGTGGTTGCCGTTAGCTTGCTGTTGCTTCCATTACGCGAGGCTTTGCCGCCTAGCCTCAGCTACAAATAATATTATTAGTAATCGCACCACGGTTCGGCTCTACAAATCACCGACCATCCCCTCCATCTTATCTTATCGGCGTCGACCTTTTTTCTTGAACCTGCGGAGCAATAATACAGAAACCTTGAAAGTGTTAATTGCCTGAACAGGAGCAGCTTACGCACGAATCGTGATTTTGAATAGTTCTGTGGACACATTTGGTATCCTCTCGTCTTCAAAATCGGCCGCTGTCATGAAATTAGACACAAAGCATCTGCGCTACCTCACACCAGAGGATTGGCGAGTTTTGACTGCGGTATGAATGTCTGTGCCCCATATTCAAGGACAATCACTTATTGTGTCTTCGATTTCTAGGTGGAACTGGGAAGCAAGAATCATGAGATTGTTCCCACATCTATCATCGATAGGACCGCACGGCTCCGTGGTGGTAGCAGTGGTGTGAACAGAAGTATCTCGACACTTGCCAAGGCTGGTTTGATCGGACGAGTCAAAGAAGCGTCTTACGACGGGTACCGGTTGACATATGGTGGCCTGGACTACCTTTCTCTGCACACGCACGTGCAGCGCGATGTAGTATACAGCGTCGGCCACCGGGTTGGTGTGGGGAAGGAGAGCGACATTGTCATGGTAGCCGATCCAAAGGGCCGCCAACTGATTCTCAAGATCCACCGACTGGGTCGCATTTCGTTCCGCACCGTCAAGTCAAATCGCGACTACTTAAAAAAGCGCCAGTCTCGGGGGTCGTGGATGTACCTCTCCCGGCTGTCGGCCATGAAGGAGTATGCCTTCATGGTCGCTCTGCGCGAGCAAGGGTTCATTGTGCCCGAGCCTATCGCCCAATCACGACACACAATTGTCATGTCCTTTATTGACGATGCGCTTCCGCTGCGCCAAGTATCCAGTGTTCCTGACCCGGCCGGTCTCTATGCGGAATTAATAGGCCTCATTCTTCGTCTGGCTAGCCACGGCTTGATTCATGGCGACTTCAACGAGTTCAACATTCTCATTCAGGAGCAAAAGGTCGAAAAGGACGTAGCCGGAGGGGAGTCCGGCGGCTCAAATGGCACAGATGACGAGGAAGTCATTCTCGTCCCCGTTCTCATCGATTTCCCGCAGATGCTGTCTATGGAACACAAGAACGCCGAAATGTACTTCGACCGTGATGTGGCCTGTGTGAAGCGCTTTTTCGAGCGTCGCTTCCACTTTGTGAGCACACAGCCTGGACCATTTTTCAAAGAAGCACAATCATATATTGGTCGCAACGGTGCACATCGCATTGATGCTGCCGTTGAAGCTACTGGCTTCACAAAGAAAATGACCAAGGATCTGGAAGCTGCCATTTTGGAACAAGCTACCATTTCTAATGAAAACGGTGGCCCAGATGATGACGATGATGATGACGACAGTGACGACGACGAGGCCGATGAAGAAGATGATGACGAAACAGAAATTGGAACAGAACAAACGCGTGAAGAACCTGTTACGGTGTTTGATGGAGAGGATACTTCAGTTCATGAGATCACTGTAAGTTTGCCGAAGCTTGGCTTAAAGACAGAGACATGACGAGATGGAGGGCAGTTGAAAGACGATTTATGTTTAATATTGCGAGCAAACTTTGCTTTGTTCTAACATACATGCACCCTGTTACCCGTGGCCAACCCCATATGTGGGCAGATAGGGCAATTTGCCCATGTCTGTGGCCGTACTCCGTACATGCTTGAAGAATATTAGAAGAATGAACATTGGAAATGAGGCAAAAAATTTCCTCCTGCCCTCCTTTTCAATGCAACAAGCAGATAAAAACATGTATTTTCTTCTGTCCTTCCAAAGAAATCGTATTTGCATTTTAGACACTCATGTCTGGATTGTGGGACACTCGCATCGCCCTCCCAAATCGATATCTTGAAACAGGTTAAATCATTTTCAGTCTGTGTCGATGGTGAGGATAGAAAATAATCCCAGGCGTTCAAAATTTGAGAATAAAAACAAGACAAGAACGAAAACATAATAACAGGGAAACAAAAGGCTTGAGCACATCTGGAAAAAGAAGGAATTTTGCTGTTTGGTGTGCTTATGGTGGCTTGAAATGGAGCAAGCTTAAACATCAATTGCTTCAACAGAAGAAGGCTTTGGTGAGCCACAAAATTCGGATCCTGCAATCGAAGGTTCAATGACTGTAGCACCCTCGTCTGCCGAGCCCTCCTCGGAAGAGGCAGAGTGTACGTCATTGACTTCTTCCTGTCTATTAATTATTCTGTTAGTAAAATCCTATTGCGACTGAAACCGCCGAAAGCCATACTGGTGGCTGCGAGTAGAATTGCGATCAGAAGAGTGAGTTTTGCGCGGGCGGAAAGCCGACCGGAAAGGACCATGGCTATAAAAGATATTAATCTCAGTCAGCTTTGCGCTTATTGAGACTGAGCAAACGACACCTCGGCTGGACGAGTAGATACTGTACCTGTGTCCAGTGCTTCCCTGAGGACGGCGGTTCCATACAGCAGGCCCGTAGATAGAAGGGTTCATCCCGACCGCGTGTGTGCCATAGGCGCCAATGTTGTATTCATTCGTGCGGTATTGGCGGCGCTCGGCAGTGATTCGCTTGAGCTCTTTTTGCGAAGGTGTGTCGGCATAGCGGACTTGCATGACGAAGTGGTCTTGGCCGACTGTGATGCCGTTGAAATGCTTGATCACTTTCTCACAAATGTCGCGAGTATCGAATCTGTATCCGACATGGTTAGAAAATGGGACGGAAGAGATAAAATATTGGCTGTGATCATACCGCGCAAAGCCAACACCACGGCTGTTTCCCATGGAATCGCGGAGAATCTTGCTGGAGACAACATGGAAAGGCTCGAAAATGTGATTCAACATCTAGATATATGAATGAGCATGAGAAAGTGGGAATAATGGTACAAAATACAGGCTGTACTGACGGCTTCGTTGATGTCTTTCGGCAGGTTCGAGATATACAGGTTGGTCGAAGACTCATCACCCTCTGCTTTCAGGCGAGCATTGAAACTTTCCTGAGTAGAGAAAGTGATCAGAAAGCTATACCGTATAAAGGAAAGCAAAGATGGTTAACTCACTCTGGCAAAACCAACCTCATATCCAAGACGATAAAAGCCACGAATGCACTTCTCGGAATTCTTCACATCACGGAACTTGGCAAAACCAAATCTAATGAATGGTTAGAAATAAAGTGTGCACATAAGAACGGTACAAAGGTCAGATAAGCTTACCCCTTGCAAGCACCAGTGGCTGTGTCAATGATGGCCTTCGACTGCTCGACCTCTCCAAAGCGTTCTGCATATCGCAGAAGAAGTTCATCGTCAGTCGTAGGATGAAGTCCACGAATGTAAACATTCCTATTACCCTGAATGCGGTTCTTAAGGCACTGTTCCATAGGCTTGACGTGGTCGGTCCAAACCGCGGGGACCGCCTTGGGAACTGGTGGGTCCACGGCGAGCAGACGCTCAATTTCAGGATCGATGGCAATCTTGGCCTGATTGCCGGGAACATATGTGGTTGTATCACGAGGAGATGGCGTCGTGAATGACGACCGCTCAAGCGACGCGACTCGAGTGCCACCGTTGCGGTCAGAAATATGACCAAAATACGGCGTGGTCGGAGTGGACTCGGTTGCAGAGGTCGAGTATGAGCTTCGGCGATTCTCCAAGATGGGAAGATCGCGCGGGACACGATCACCATAGGCCATTGGACGTCCCGGAGTGAGGGGAATCATTGAGCCCGTGGCATATGCAGCAGGGTACCCGCCGGCGGAATATTGGATGGGGTATGCAGCCGTCCCATATGCATGATGCTCAGCAAGAATTGGGTGAAGCGGGCCAGCATACGGTGCAGCAAAAAGAATGCTGCCGTCAGCACCAGTGACAAAGGTGCCGGGATTGATGCCATGCATGGCCGGACCAGCAGGAGCCATGTTGCCATTGGCGAGTCCCATTGCGCGGAATTGGGTCATGAGGCCGCCAAGGCCATCTTCCTGCAAATGAGCGGGAGTACCAGTTGCTCCCTGATGGTGAAGAGCAGCATCAGAGTTGCCGACAAAAATAGGGGTGTTTCTTCCACGGCGTGCATGGCCGCCATTCTCCGCGGGCTGCTGTTGAAAAACTGCCATTGTGTGATGTCTCTGTTCATGAAGCCGGTTCGTTAGTATCTCGAAGATGCTATGGAGAAGGGAGAGCTGTCATGAAAGACACATTCAAGGCAGCTGGTTAGAGGGATGCTTCTCACTGGTAGAAAGACTCTTGTGAGCTAAATATCTAGTGGCTACTCTGAAAGCAGGACTTTGAATATTCTGTTGTGCAACAGAGGCTGCTGATATGTTAGTACCAAAGACACTTATCTCGATGAGAGGAAGAGGGGAAGTGCAGGGGAAAGACGAGTGAAAATAGAACTAAGTAAGATGAAGCCCTGAAGCAAGTGAAGAAGAGGAGGAGGCTGGGAATTCGAGATATGAGGAGGGCACAGAAAGAAAACAGATTGGGATGGTGAAAGAAGAGATGGAGTAGATGCTTCAACGACCGAAGAGTAGAAAGGAGGAGGAAGAGAGAAAAGTACAATACCTTTACGTCTATTTGGAAAACCTGTTTCGAGGGAAAGTTTGAAGAATTTGCTGATGATGCAAGAGAAAAACGGGAAGGGATGATGGAAAGGAAGGATATAGAAAAAATATTTATAGTTCTTGCCAGAAGTAAAAATGCTTGGAAGGTCTAAATGAAGGTAGGAAGGGGGACAATGGCTGGTATTGTTGATGTACAGTCAATGGAAGGAAGGAAGGTCGTCGACCTGGCGCAATGTGCAGGACGGGAACACAAGAGGAAGGCATGAATCAAGGGGGCGGAAAAAGTAAATAGCACAAAACGATGAATAATTAATCATGTGGAACTTGCACCTGCCTCCGGCACAGGACACTGGTATCATCCCGGCCACCTCCTTCCTGTCATACACACTAGACTCCTCTTATCGATTAGAAGAAACGAGGAAGAAGGGATAGATGACGAAGGAGAAGAGAGTATGTTATAGGACATGCAACTACATTACTGGGGAGAGGATAAAGCGAGGTCAAAAACAGAGTCAAAAGACACGAGACGGTGAGTTGACGGATCGTACGTCGCAAAAATTGAGAAGAGGGGGTGCACGAATAAGAAACTGTGGACTGGGAAGGAGGAAGGAAGCTTAGATCTGGCCATAGATTTAAATCGGAAGCTGCATCTGTAGGAGGAAAGAGCTGTTCTCTGTTCTGGCCCCAATATCCACTCCCCACGACTGACGCACCACCAGCGTAGCCTTTTTGCTATGTTTGATGTGCTTCCACGGTGCTACTGTTTCTAGGATGTCAACCTATATATTGCTCCGCCATTAAATCTACTCAACATGTTAGCTACTCAAAGTTAGCTCTGGCTGTGCTGGGGCGATATTGCAATGCTGAAGAGGATGGGCCTGGAATCTACACTAGGCACGCGATTCTTCTTGAGTTGAGACTCTAGGGAAGGAGCACTCGGAAAAGGTGGACCAGGCCGAGGCAGACAGATGGAGAGGTAGACAGGACGATAATGGGAAGGAAGTACGTGCGGTGGGGGGGCACAATCGAAAAATCAGACAAGCAGGCACGCGACAAATTAAGGAAGGTGCGGCTGGATACACCAAAGGAACCTTTCCACCACAGAAATACTTTCCCCAGAACACTTATTGACACTGTCTCCCCGGGGCAAATGGCGTTTTGAATTTCCAACGTCGGTGGCACTTTCCTTATGTGACGAAAGACACGAGCAGAATAGGAACAGGCTTGGGCCTATTTCGATAGCTGGGCCCCGAATAGTGCCCGCGAGATGAAGCGGGCTCGGTGTTATCTCAGAGTCTATACTGTATTTGGCGGCTCTGCTTCATTGTTCTCTTGTTCTCTTTCATGTACGTTTGGGCTTATAAGCTGCTACGGTGGTGGCCATTGGGGAAACCGAGGCGGAAAAGGCAACATCTTTGATTTCAAACAATGGCTGGCGCACTCTGTACGAAAACAATAGGTTGCTTATTGGATAATCAGGAAAGTGCAACGGAGGGCCTCCCGCTGGAGCCTATGCAAGACGGCTTTTTTCGTCTTTTATTTGCTAGTCCTGCACAAGAGGTGACACGAAAAAGCACACCAGAATAGCAGCCCCTTGGCCAAGCAAGGAAAGAACACACACCATGAAACAATGAGGCTGCCTTCAGGGCGCATTGGGGTGCGAGGAGATGATAAGAAAGATTCGGTCACTTTTACAACTGCCCGGCAGAGTATAATGATATGTGTGTTTTTCCAAAATTGTATGCATTTTGCTTCAAGACCAGGGCTAGTATATGAAAACGACAGCCTGAGAAATCATTTTCTGAAACGTTTCAATCCAACAAGGGCAGAACACAATAAGCCAAGAGGACGTGGTGGGGGAAGGAGGAAGGGGGAAATAGGGAGGGGGGATCTTCGCCATATCGGTCGACGCGGTTTCTGAAAAGACGTGTCGAGATTAAACAGGAAGAAAATTCTAGCAAAGCTTGAAAGAAAAAGGGCAAAAAGCCAAAGAATAAAGATCTCAGCAACATTACCCAGCTCCTGACTCCTCTATGCCATTCGCAGTCGATAAATACGATAAATCTCCTGGCTAACTCTGGCTGCTTTCGCGAATTGCCCATGCCGCATCGTTTGTTTATTTCGTAACTGTCGCCGGCCGCTTTCGACTTCGCTCATCACCAAACGTCCTCCTGCACATGGAGTGGTTAGTCGTGGACAAAGATAGTAGTGCGGCCTGGACATATGCTTGCTTACCTGGTATTGGTTAGATGCGCGCATGTTCTTGATGATCTCCTCAGCCTTAGCATCAGAAATGCCACGCTGGCTGACCATGATCTGGCCCAGCACAACGTTCACCTCGCGGGCCATACTGGCCGCATCACCGCACACGTAGATATAAGCCTTGTTCTCTAGCAGCTTGTTGACCTCCTCACTGCGCTCCTTGAGACGGTGCTGGACGTATACCTTCTTAGAGCCTTCCCGCGAAAAGGCCGTGATGACCTCGAAGCCGTCGCCTAGGGCCTTCTTGTACTCTTTCCACTCGTCCTGGTAGACAAAGTCGTCGGTCGACTTCCGGCAGCCAAAGAAGAGCAGCGTGCGGCCAACAATCTCACCGGAAGCAGCTTGCTGGGCGCGTTCTTGAACAAAGGCACGGAAGGGAGCCACACCAGTGCCGGGGCCAATGAGGATGATGTCCTTGGACGGGTCGGATGGCAGCTTGAAGTTGGAGTGGCGGACGTGCACAGGGACGCGGATACCATCGTACTTGTTGCGGGGACCGGCAATCTCGTAGGTCAGGCCAAATGCGGCAGGGTTCGAGTCGTTGTTCTGCTTCTGCTTCAGGGCGAGGAGGTAGTTGGTCGTGACGCCGCGGAAGGCATCGTCGCGGCCAGGAATCACTTGCGACTCGACAACGGCTGTGATGGAAATCTTCTTGGGCTGCACCAGCGAGGAAGACGAGATGGAGTAGAAACGGGGCTGAAGCTTGTTGATGTCCTCGATAAAGGCCGTGAAAGGGGCGTTGGTCCACTTCTGGCCCTTGCCGACACGCTCGAGCAAGCTGGCAATGTTGAGGTGGTGGGAGCTGACCTTCTCCTGGAAGTAGTCCTTGTCACTACCGAGCTTGGTCATCTCGGCCTTGGAGGCCTCGTCGGGGGCAAAAGCGGCAAGCGTGGCTACAAATTGGCGAGACACCGGGGCGCAGATCTCCATGTGATAGCGGACAATAGCATCATACGTGGTAGGCGTAGGAAAGGGAACCTTGGCCGTGGGCTCCAGAGCCTGGACGCTGATGATATCGTTGTGCTTGTCGCCGTAGCCGAGGACATTGAGGAAGCGGTCGACCTCAACACCGGGGTTGGAGGGCCAGATAGCAATGTGATCACCAGTTTGGTAGGACAAATTGGAGCCGCTGATGTCGATCTCGATGTGCAGACAGTTGCGGTCCTTGCCACCGAACAGCTCTTTGGACTCAACGATGGGGGCAATATAGGGGTTGTGGACGTTGAAAGGGCCCTTGGCAGTGCCCTCGAGGTGCATCTTGTTCGGCTCGCCGAGGTAGACCGAGGCGTCCTCGAGAGTCAGGCTGTCGACCGTGGAAATGCCGAAGATGGGTTCGTAGACGGCCTCGCGCTCCTCCAGACCCAGCTTCTCGGCGAGGGCAGCCCACATGGGCTCCTTCCAAGCCAAGAAGTCCTCCTCCATTGTGCCGGCGCCGTCATCACCCTCACCAGCAGCGCCGATGCGGTGGGCACCGAGCTTCTGAAGAGTCTTGTCAACCTTGCGGACCATGAAGTTGAAGTGCTCGTACGTGTTGTTGCCGAGACCGAAAGCGACGTAGTTGAGGTTGGCTAGGGCCGGTTCGGACGATTGGGAAAAGGCTGGCTCGTCGGCAGCGATGAATTCAATAAACTCCACCGCGTTGTCAGTCGGCTCGCCCTCGCCGTAGGTGGCCATGACGAACATGACGACATGATCGGACGGGATAGCATCCAGGGTTTCGTAGTCGTAGTCTTCCAGGTCGGCCACCATGGTCTCAAGGCCAAATCGGCTCTTGCCCTCCTTCGAGAGGCGCGAGGCATAGTCCTCGGCCGTTCCAGTCTGGGAGCCGTAAAAGATGACACAGTTCTTGCCTGACTCCTCCATTGCGGCCACTATATCCCTCGTCTTGCCAGCCTTGACGCCAATGGCATTGCCACTACTGCCATACGGGTCTTTAGGTTTAGCCCATAGTTTGCCCTTAGTGAAAAAAGCCAGAGTACCGAGGAGAATGGCAGCGAGGACGAACATGTCCAGCGTGTCCAGTTCTGCCATCGTTGCGGTGGTAGGCGGACGACGGAAGAGAGTAGCAGTGGTGGATGTTAGAAAAGGTGAGAATGCGGTACGCTTCTTTTTTCCCCTCAAGACTGGCTTCCCCGTTGGGGAATTTATCTGTAGTATTGTATTTGGCGCCCAGAGGTGATTTGGCTGACTGAGCACCTACCGCTTATCTAATCGGTGCGAGATACGAGTACGGAGTATGTACGTCGTATGCGCAGCTGATGACAAGGATGAGGGCAAACACCGAGAAGTTGACGGAGAGACGACGTGGTGGGTTGTTATAGGGCACCACGCTGTCATTCTAGGGTAAGGTGGGGGAAGAGGGGGAAACGAGGAGAGATTGGAGGACGGGGATGGAGGACGAGAGAATGGACGGAAACCGCGAGGGCGCCGAACTAATAGATGGCGTCCCAAGGCGAAATAATAAGGCCAATTGAGAAGGGTTCGACACAAGGCTAGATATGCACAGAACAAGCCAGTTGGTCAAATCGTACGTTTGGTCAGTGTCGACTGACCCGACACATCTATCACAACTATCAAGAGCACGCCGGCAACGGACAGCACGGGCAAGAAGGCGGCAGTTCGAAGAGTAGAAGGAACGGCCGACGGGGAAGTACTCCGTAAGAGGTTAGGGGGCTCAGCACAGGTAGCAGAAACCGGCAAGTGCGGGCAAGTGCGGATAACGCTTTGACGCCTAAACGGCATACGCTGGGAGGTATGCTTCGTCTAAAGTGGCGGGGCAGGATCGGCAAAAATGTCCCGACGGGCGGCTGGCCCGTCGGAACTGGCGAGTACGGAGTACGACGTATGTACCACGATAACCGAGAAGAGAAGCCAGTCTGTTCAGGCGGGCTTTGCCCCCATGTCCCCATGCTCCCCTGCCCCGGGAACGGGTTGGTCCTGGATGCCGATGGGAGGGTTACAGGGTGAGGCGTGTGGATAATGGTTGCAGTACGGAGTAATAAGAAACGTCGCAACGGCAATGTATATCATCGTGATGTTCCTGTCTACTCTATGGCGAGCTGCATGCATACGCCGTATGGACGCGAACACGAAGTACGTCGTACTCGCAGGAACTGTGGGACTATGGACGCTCTGGTTGCCTGTCCTAGGGCTATTCGGTCTAGCCATCGGAACGCCCGACGGACTGTATGGTGTGCGAGCAGCAAAGACAGACTGTCTTTTTTGCCCGCTCGGGAGCGATCAACTGCCGCTGATAGCAGTACGGGGGCCAGATGTACCCCGTAGAAGGCAATATATATTTGAAACTCGTAGTTTTCAACCCGCTTGGGACAGCTAGGCTTTATTCTTGTTCTTCCGTTTTTTGCCTTCCCTCCGAGTCAATGTGTTAGAGCTATTGATGATCTATCCCTCAGACAGCGACCATGTGGGGATAGGCGCGTCCTCACTGTACTCCACAAGTAGCGATTCCCGTATACTACGACGTATGTAGTCTACAAGTGGCAAGCACACTGTATATTTCGGATGGAAAGGAACGGATGGAAAGGAAGTAAAGGAAAGAGCAGAAAACAAGCATAGTGAATAAGCTTTGGGCGCGTTGGGCTACAATGGTTGCATATGTGACTGTCCATCCACCCGTTCTCTTGGATACAGCCAAGCTGAAATCGAAAGATGGCTGGAGTGGAAACCAACCTCGTTTTGCTAGAGGTCGCATGCCCTTTGCACGCGGCCACCTGTGGAGGAGCCGAGGCATATCATGTCCACCTGGCCAACAGCTCAGCTACGATCGTGCCAAATTCGGCAGCCAAGTAAGTGCTTACCACCCCTCCTAGACATGGGAGATACTGCATGTAGTTGCGAAAGACGGAGTAGACGGAACTGGTAGCGGCAAATCAGCAGACAGACGACAGCGAAGCACCCATCTCGCCGTCCACGGCTTTATATTCGGGTGTCGAGAGCCAATTCTGTCCCTGGCTCGGGTCTCCAAGACCGCATTGCGTCTTGCTAATGTGTCTAGCTCGTATATTTGTAGGACGACAAGCTGTGGCGTCACATGCCCAGGGCGAAGAGAAACACAACACATTGTGTCCGGGTTTGTTCCGCCTGTGAGGAGCCGCTGGTGTCTCCCTTCAGGCAGCAGCAGCAGCAGCAGCAGGTGGTCATACGCCTGGCTGGCCAGCCGCGCGCGATTGATGATCCATTGGATCTGATCTCAAACAACACTGGTGTTTTTTTTTTTTTTTTTTTGCAACCTTGAAAAGCCAAGAGGCAAGAGCACACCAGCCATTGGGCAGTAGTGGTGGGGTGCATTCGCACCTGCCTCCTCGCCCCTTTTTGGTACCCAAAAGTAGCCAATACTATGCATGGGTAAGGATTGACAGCCCGACCCGCCTTGGCCTGTCCTGATTGGCTGTCGACGCCACCTGTGCCTGCATGAGGGACGCTCCCGGTCAGCGGTGCTGGAGCAGGTGCGATTAAGCAGGAAAAAAAAAGAAAAGAAAGGGCCAAAAGAGGGAAGGAGAGGAAGAAAAAGAAAAGAAAGCAGTAGACTGAAAAAAAAAGAGGCGAGACAAGACAAAAGGGTCGGTCGAGAAGCCATGACACAACTGATCTCGACGAACCTGGTCCTCCGCGTGTGCAGAGCATGGATCTACAAGTACTCGACATTGGCATCCTTAGAACCGCAGCCGGCCGCTTAGTGGATAATCGCCCAATCACCGTCTAGCTCGACCGACTCTCGATTTTCGCGCGCCTTTGCACAAGGAGGAACAACCCAACGCCATCGGTCTGGCTATTCTCTGCCACCACCCCCTCCTTCCGTGCTCCGACGATTGCGGCCAAGGGAAGCTGCAGAGAGTGCTGCAGACAGCTGCAGCAAGCCGAGCCCGGTCAGACTACGAGGCCACGGGCACAGGCAACGGAACGACGGGCGCCTTGCGCTCGAACATGGGAAGTTGGGTGGTTGAGGCTGACAAAACATGGGTGAGTCGTCGCTTTTCTCTGCTGTCGTGGGCCTCGAGCGGCTGTGAAACGAGGAGAGTGGAGGGGCGGGCTGTTCCCTTGTCTATTGGCGTATTTGGTGGTGTGCTTCGGGTCCGCTTCTGTGGACGGGAAGACAGACGAGGCCAGCCTTGCCTGGTGGTGATGCATTCGTACTCACACGCACACTCACACTCACACTTACGCCTACACTCGTCATCTTTACGTGATCTGAAAACTGACTTAGGACGACGATTCTGCCTCTTTAGCTCCGTCCCAGACGCTGCCCGAACATGCATCTGAACAGCTCAAGTTTTCCGCTACACCCGTCACGCGCCTAGTCGAAGAAGAGGAAGAAGACGACGGCTGGAACAGGACGCTCCGACCGGCAGCCCTCGAACTTCCGCCGGCCGGCCCGCGACTGGCACCGCTATCGCAGAGGATCGCCCATTCGCGCGAGTCCAGCGCGGAGAAACTCGTACAGCTGCAGTCAGCAGCAGCTGGCATCGCAGGTACTGCTTCTGTGCCATCGCCATCAGGTCTACACGCGCCGTCCCCCCGGACAGCCCTGAACGGGGTGATTGAACGCGTCGTTGATCCCAAGGCTGCAGCGTATGGCCACCACCGACAGACGTCGATCGTCCACGGCATACAGCACTCGCGGAATGGAAGTCATTCTAGCTCGACTTCCAGCCCTCTCAGCCCACAGATGATAGCAGCCGCTGGTGCCGCTCTAGTTGCCGAACGATCGGAAATGCAGCCTTCTGCTATGCGTCTTGAAGGAGACGTGTCGGTGCCGGCAGCGGCCATTTCTCCGTCGCCGAGCGTGACGTCGACGTCGCGTCCCCCGACAGCGATGTCGGGCACGACGGCGGTCTCGGTACCCATGTCTGCGTCAGGAAGTGGAGGTGGAAATGGGGGTGGGAGCGGGACCGGAACCGGAACCGGAACAGCCGGTGGAGGCGGCGGACTTGGCGCCGGCCCTGGTCCCGTGGTCCCAGAGAGAACGTCATCTGTGGCGGATGGCGGGACGCCCAGCCATGCTCCAGCGCAACGGAAACTCGAGCGTATGCACAGCGGAAAGTACCGCCATGAGCATTCGCACCATCATTCGCACTCACGCCACCACAAGGACGACCAAAAGACGGTGGGCGAATATGCGCTCCACGTGCTCTTCACCTCTGTGAGTGACGGGCGAGAGGCAGGCGGCGGCCAGAGCAACTGGACGGGGAATGTGAGCTGACCGTGGACTGTTGTTGCAGTTTATCGCGATTGCGGAAGAGAAGCTGAGCGAGTGCGTGTCGTCTCCCTTTGAGTCGGAGCCGCACGTGGAGCAGATCTGCGGGCCCGGAGTCGATGCGGCGTTTGATCACCACCTCGCAGCACTTGGGCACATTGCCAAGCAGAAGCCCAAGCCGCTGATCGACTCGATGATGCTGTGGCGCAAGAACAAGAGCGATGCGGCCAACGAGGCACGAGCACAGCTGCAGCAGGCGCGAGCACAGATGGGGCCGACGCCGCTGCAGCGACGCAACACGGAGCCGCTGCAGATGCTGTCAGCCAACGGAGCGCTAGACAGCGGAGGGCTAGGCTCGACGACGCTGGCGGTGAAGCAGGAGGTAGTGGCCCAAGCGGAGCGGTGCTCGACGGTGTCGATCTACGTGCTGTGCCGGGTGCTGTTGGAGGTGATCACACAGAGCAGCCTGGCATCGATCACGCCGGAGATGGAAGACAAGTTGGAGGCGATCATCTTTGGGCAGCTGAAGATGGCGGACGCGGAGCAGCTGATGATGTCGCCGCTGCGCAAGGCGAATTGGAACCTGTTTGCGGAGCTGCTGGGGGCGATGAGCGAGATCAGCTTTACGTCGGTGACGGGCCGGTTCATCAACGACTTTGAGCGGGCGGTGCAGGAGACGAACGCGCGCAGTCCGGTGCTGGCGAGCCGCAGCGACGCGGAGGACCGGATGGAGCTGGTGCTGAGCGGGATGAAGCATGTGCGGCTCAAGCTGGCGCCGGCAGAGGCGTGGGATCAGTCGTGCGATTTCATGGTGGCTCTGGGTCGGCTCTTCAGCCGTTGTCACGGGCAGAAGGTCAAGGCAGCGTTCTGCTACATTTTGGACCAGCTGATGCTGCCGGTGGCGGCGCGGGCGAGCAACAGCGACTTCACGCGGCCAAAATGGGGCGAGGTGCTGAGCACGATTGGGCCGCGGCTGGCGCAGATGTACATGAAGCCACGGCACTGGTCGGGAGCGTTTCCGCTGACGGCGACGATGTTGTGCGCGTCGCCACCGGAAAGCTTCAGTACGCAGTGGCTGCAGCTGGTGTATCCGCTGCAAGCGCGGCTGAAGGACCGGGTTTCGAAGCCGCTGTGCCTGCAGGTGCTATCGCGGCTGGTGTGGACGTATCTGTACCGGACGACGGACAGCCAGGCGAGCACGGTGCGGAAGCTAGAGGAGGTGCTGAAGCTGGTGCTGCCGAACACGAAGCGACCGATCGTGGCGGCAGAATGGTCGGTGGTGGAGCCGCTGATCCAGATCATTCGGCTGATCGGGTTCAAGCACCCGGACTACTGCTTCAAGTCGATCATCTTCCCACTAGTGAACGCGGAGCTGTACGGGTCGTCGCCGGGACGCGAGGTGCGGGTCGAGCAGCTGGAGCCGGACAAGATCGTGGTGGGCATCCGGGCCTTTCTAGCAGTGGTAGGCGACCTGGAACGCGGCGAGAAGGGACGGCCGCCATTTCCGCAGACCTACGGGGGTCCGCCGACGATGTCGGGCGATGGGTATGGCGATGGTGACGCAGGAAGTGGCAGTGGCAGTGGCAGCAACAACGAGGACGACGCGTTGGGGCGGCCGATCGCGATGGCAGCGCTGAGTGACAGCGTGCGCGAGCACTGCGTCCGGTTCTGCGAGATTCTGGGCCGGATAGCGATCCTCTGCGACGGGCTGTTTGGTGGTCAGGCGGCACTGGACGAGAAGCACGGGGCGACGAGCACGAATGCGGGGCCGAAGACGCCGGGGCCGACGGAGACGACGTTCAACTTTACGCGGCGCGAGGAGCAGCACGCAAACGCGCTGGAGCAGCAGAAGGCGGCGTTCTACGAGCTGCTGCACGTGGCGGTGCAGGCACTGCCGCGCTGTCTGTCGGCGGCAGAGATGCCATTCCGCGGGCTGGTCAAGCTGCTCTGCACGGGAACGGCACACACAGAGGCGCAGATTGCCGAGGCATCGGCACAATCGCTGCGGGCGATTGCACGGCAGCAGTCACACGCACGGCAGGTGACGACGAGCTTCTCACGCTTCATCTTCACATTCGACAGCCAGTACGTCCCGGTATCGGACTCGGGGATGCTGGGGGCCGAGCAGATCGAGACGACGGTGCGGCTATACGTGGAACTGCTGCAGATCTGGATCGAGGAGATCCGGCGGCGGGTCGAGGTCGAGGAGGCCGACGTGGCCGGCATCTTGGCCGAGGCTGACCAGGTGGAAGCGCACGGGCTCTTCTTCCTGTGTTCGCAGTCGCGACGAGTGCGACGCCAGGCGATCACGGTACTGCGACTGAAGGACGAGTTCGCGACAGCGCTGAATCGCAGAGCTCGGACGGACGAGCAGCAGCAGCAGCAGCAGCAGCCGCGTGTGATTGAGGTGCTGGAGAAGGAGGCAGCGGCGATCATGGATCTGAACGATGAGTTTCTGACGGTGGCCGAGCGCAGTCGGCTGCAGCGGGGGCTGAAGAACGGCGGGCGTCATGGGGCGGTGCTGGAGCTGTGCACGAGCGACCTGTCGTACGATGCGACGCTGTGGTTCAAGCTGTTCCCAAACCTAGTTCGTGTTGTCAGCGACCGGTGTCCGGCTGCGGTGACTGTGGCACGTGACCTGGTGTGTGGCCGGATCCTGGAGATGTACAAGGCCGTGACGATCATCTCGGAGCCTCACCGCGGCCTGTTTTCCGGAATCGAGCAGCAGCAACAGCAGCAACAGCAACAGCAGAACGGGCGGAACAACAGCCTGGCCAACAACAATAGCTACAACGGGTACAGCCAGCAGCCGGCAGCGCTACAGCTGCCAGAAAACCCAGAGCAGCTGGTAGAGCAGTGGCGGCTGTTTCTGATGTTTGCATGCACGACGCTGTCGGAGCCGGGAAGCGGTCATCCGGGCGAGAGCGTGGACGAGCAGACGCAGAGCACGGACGAGCATCCGACCACGACGCAGACGCAGACGCAGACCGAGAAGATTGTCAAGATTGGGTCGGCACGCATGCTGTTCAAGTATCTGAATCCGCTGCTGTCGGCCACGTCGACGTCGGTGCGCGAGTCGGTGGTGGCGGGCATGGCTTCGATCAATGCACATAGCTACCGGACGCTGCTGCAGGAGCTTCAGGGTCATGTGTCGCGCTGCAACGACGAGGCGCGGGCACGCATTCACCAGCGGACGCACAGTGGCCCCAAGCGTAACCGCAAGATGGATCTGCTGCGCACAGAGATCACGCACGTGTACCGGCTGACGGCACACTTTTTGCAGGAGCCGTTTGTGTACGGCGACGACTGGGTGTTGGGTAACCTGGTGACGTACACGCGCGACATCAAGCTTTTTCTCAACGACGGCGCCGTCCAGCTGGACATGGAGTTTCAACGTCTGCGCCGCCATTACTGTGGCCTGATGGAGGAGCTGTACCGGGGCATCAGCCGGTCACGTGATCCGTCGCGCTGGATGACGTTTGAGGCGCGCAAGTCGGCCTTTTCGCTGATGGAGGACTGGTGCGGCTTCTCGCCGCAAGTAGGCGGAAATGGCGGAAACAACAATGCGCGCAGCCGTATGGCCCTCTCGGCCGAGCCCGAGCGCAGCACACGGACGGCGGCGATGGAGATTGAGAAGCGCCACCTGCGGACGGCCGCGCTGAGCGCCATGGCCGCGCTGTGTGGCGGACCGATCGGCGTGACGCTCGCCAGCGGAGCGACGCTGCAGTTTGACGTGCGGCGCATGTTTGCCTGGATCGAAGGCATCTTTGCGTCAGGCAATGACCGGATGCGCGCTATCGGCCGCACGGCTCTGCAGAACCTGATCGTGCACAACAAGGAGCACGCCTTTCTGCTGGAACACAGCATCGGACGCTGCTATGCGACCGAGCTGCCACGCGTTCTCGAGAGCTACTTTGAAGTCGTGACCCAGGTCCTGCTCGACCACGCCGACTACCCGACGCCGTTCTGGCGCCTGCTCGGCCTCTGTCTCTTCATGCTGGGCAACGAGCAGAGCGAGGTGCGGTCGCGGTCGGTTCTGTTGCTGCGGGCGCTAGACGTGCGGCATCGCCAGCGAGAGAGGGAGAAAGCCCAGAACCAGAGCCAGAGCCAAAGCCAGAGCCAGAGCCAGAGCCAGAACCAGAACCAGAACCAGAACCAGCTGCAGCTGAACCAGCTTGGTCAGACGCTTAGTCAGCAAACACAAGCTCCAGCTAAGCTGCAGGACTTTGACATCAGCGTGGCCGACAAGACCAAGGCGGTCTACAAATTAGCCCAGTACAAGATCTCGGAGCGCGTGTCCAAGCAGCACACGGACCTGGCCTTTTACATCTTCTCCGAGTTCACGGCCTACTTCAAGGAGCTGCAGCCGGCCGCCCAGCGCAACGTCGTGGCCGTCATCCTGCCGTGGGTGCAGGCAGTCGAGCTCAAGGTCGAGCCGGGCGGTGGCCCGACAGCCGAGTCGTACGTGCTTCTGGCCAACCTGCTGGAGATGACAATCAAGAGCAGCGGCGCGCTGCACAACGAGATCCAGGCCCTGTGGCAGGCCCTGGCCACGGGACCACACCCGGGCAACGTGCGGCTGATTCTCGACTTTATCATAGCCCTCTGTCTAGAGCGTCGCGAGCAGAGCTTTGTCGAGTACGCGAAGCAGGTGGTGGTCTTTCTGGCCAGCACCAGCAGCAAGGTGGTCGACTTTCTGCTGATGCAGATCACGCCTACCGCCATGGTGCCGAGCGAGAATAGCAGTGAGGCGGCCAGGCCGGGGGACGGGACGACGACGACGACGGCGACGACGATAACGACGATAACGACGATGACGACAACGTCGGTGCCACCCCTCGCGCAACAGATGTTCCCCTACTGCGCGGACCTGAACGAGGCGCTGCCGGTCGGCACGAAGCAGGCGGGCTTCTCGCTCGGACAGCTGTCACTGATCCTGCTGGTTGACTTGATGGTGTCACCAGTGCGGCTGGCGGCCGACCAGGTGCCGGTGCTGCTGCAGGTCGTCACGGTGCTGTGGGACCACTACACGCCGTTAGTGCAGGAGCAGGCGCGCGAGATGCTCGTGCACCTAGTGCACGAGCTGGTCATCTCGGGCATCGACGACAAGGAGACGAGCGCGGCCGACGGCGACGAGAGCGGGGCGGCCACAGCCTTTGAGGATCTCGTCGAGCGAGTCCGGCGCCATGACCGGTCTGTCGTGTGGGCCTATGAAGACAGCAACGGCAAAGGCAGCAGCAGCAGCAACGGCGGCAGCGAAGGAGAGGGCGTGGCCGATGTCGGCACCGAGGTCGGCAGCAGCAAGGTGCCGGCCAGCATGGAGCGGCTGACAGGCGAGATGGTGCAGACGTTTGAGACGGCCTTTCCCGGGATCAAGGAGCAGTGGGCGCGGCTGTCGCTGACGTGGGCGACGTCGTGTCCGGTGCGCCATCTGGCCTGCCGGTCCTTCCAGATCTTCCGCTGCATCTTGACGTCGCTGGACCAGTGCATGCTGGCCGAGATGCTGGCGCGGCTATCCAACACGATCGCGGATGAGGACGGGGAGATCCGGACGTTTTCGATGGAGATTTTGACGACGCTCAAGACGCTGATTGTCAAGCTGGACGGCGACCGGCTGCTGGCCTTTCCGCAGCTCTTCTGGACCATGTGCGCCTGTCTGGAATCGATCAACGAGGGCGAGTTTGTCGAGGCGGTCGAGATGCTGGACGGCTTTCTGGGCAAGCTGGACCTGCAGTCGGCGGCCGTGCGCCAGCGACTGCTGGACGGCCAGCCAGCTCGATGGGACGGCGCCTTCGAGGGCCTGCAGCCGCTACTGTACAAGGGCCTGCGGTCGTCGCGCTGTCTGGACGCGACGCTGCGGGCGCTCGGCCGCGTGGTGCAGCTGCCGAGCGACGCGCTGGTCGGCGATGACGACCGGCTTTTCCTAGCCCTGGTGGCGAGCCTGCCGCGAATGTTGGAGGAGCAAGAGTCCGAGAGGGGCGGCGAGTCCGAGAACATGGCGTACACGCGCACGCTGCTGGCTCAGGCGACGGCCCAGGGCCACGGACAGATCGCGGCCGTGCTGGAGACGTACCTGCAGTCGGCCCACGGCGACGAGACAGAGTTTGCGGCGCAGATGTTTGCGGCCCTGCACGGCGACCAGTTTTTGCCACGACTCGACTTTGCACTGATCTCGATGTTGATGGGAATGCTGACTAATAGTCGACCCTGGGTTCGGCTCAAGACGATGCGGCTGCTCTGCGTCTTCATCCCGCGCACCGACATGCGGCAGCCCGAGATTGCTGGCCACGGATCCGATCTGCTGTCGCCGCTGCTGCGGCTGCTGCCCACCGAATACTGCATGGAGGCGCTGCAGGTGCTGGATAACATCATGACCATGTCGGGCTCGTCCATGGACAAGCACCACATCCGGATGAGCATGACGCGGTCGACGTCACGGGCCATCCGCAAGCAGTACGAGCGCACACAGAGCCTGTTTGGCATCCCGGAGGAATCGGGCTGGGCCATCCCAATGCCAGCCCGCAAGACCGACGCCACGCGCGCCAACATCCGCCGCGTCTTTTACAGCTGTGGAGAGCTGAGCGGTGGGACTGGCGACGGCAGAAACGGCAGCAGAAACGACAGCAGCAGCAACATCAACAACAACAACGACAACAACAACAACAAGCCGATCCTCGGCGACCAGCCAACCGATTCCACGCCGCCGGTCGAGTTCCACGCCGAGGACTATGGCTTTGCGTCGATGGAGCGCAACGACGCGATGCTGTCGGACGAGACAGGCCTTCGCAGCGACGGGGTGGGCAGAAACATGCATATCCACATGAGTGCTGCCGGAGGTGACCTGGTGACGAAGCTAGACAGTCTGGACGACTTCTTCGACGACGACAACAGTGGCGGGCGGCTTCTGATGGTTGGCGGCAGCGGTGCTTCGGGCGCGCAGCTGTACGACGAGATCGTGCCGTTGCTGCACCAGGCATCGGCCAATCCGGCCATGACGACTCATCTGCACAACCAGGCCTTTGCCGATCGGCCGCCCGGATCGCGAGATGGTGGCAGCATGGCGACGAGCACGCCCAACAGCGTCGGTGCCAACATGATGACGCCGGCTGCCTTCAGTCCCGGCTCGACGCTGCGTCTTAGCCCCGGCTCGACCGGCTCAAGCATGACACGACCAGCTTTGCACATGCGCTCGGTCACATCGCCATCGGCGCCTTCGGCTGCTGCTGCGTACATGCGCGACCTTGTGTCGGACGACGAGCCCGACGAGGTTGTCTTTTCGGACGGCGAGGACGACCGGTCGTGGGTCGGCAGTCTGGGCGGGGGTCCGGGGCGAGGACTGGCCGGAAACAGCGCCTTGCCGGTCAGCATTGTGGCCAGCAACACGACCACCCCCAGCGAGGGTTCTTTCTTCTTCGAGACCATGATTCGGCCGCTGGCCCAGAGCACTCGGTCGCGCATGCGAAGACTGACGGGCAGCCGGTCGCGCGATGAGCGAGCCGCCATCGATCTTGGATTGGGCGGCGGCAACAATGCGAACACCAACATGAACACGGCCTCTGTCCCCATGGGCGTCACCAGCAGCGCGCCCGGTGCTCCCGGCGTGCCGGCGCTGCCAGCAATGCCTAGCATGGGCAGCTTGCCGGGGACGCCACAGCCCAAGGTGCCGAATGCGTATCTGACAAAGGGGCCGTCGAGCGATATGTTGTAGTGGAGTGTGGGTGGTGTATTACCAGTCCGTGTCTATACGTTGCAGTGCATTTCGAGATGAGCATGTCATGACAGTACGAAGAATGGCTGAAGGCGCACAAAGGGACTGTTTTCATTCTGTTGTGCTTCCTGTTCTGTGATAGTATGCTGGGAGTCTGGAGTTGGGTGGATTGTTTTGGTGGTATTGAATGAGTGAGTGATGTGTGTGTGTGTGTGTGTGTGTGTGTGTGTGCATGTCTGACTGTGCCACTGTGCCACTGTGACTGACTGTATCTTGGATTGATCCCCATCTGGCCATCGTCCTCACGGTAGACTCTCCACTATCCGGAGCTCTGCCTCGAGGCTCGATCCCGTCGTCGCCCACTGCCGCAGCCGCCCAGCCACTCTGCTGCGCAGCCTGCCCATGTCGTCCCGCCGGGTCGTCGTCCTCGTCGCCGTCCCTTCCGTTGCCGCCACCCGCGCCACAATATCCGGACACGTGTCAGCCACGGCCAGCACCACCAGACAGGCCAGACAGCTCTGGCACTGCGACCAGAGATACGGCGACCGACGGCCCAACAGCGGCAGCACATGGCGCAGATACGCCACGCACGAGTCCACGCACACGACACACTTGTCCAGCACGGCCAGCGGGATTTGTTGTTGTTGTTGTTGTTGTTGTTGTTGTTGGTGGCCTGCAACGCCCAGCACAAACGGCCGGTGGATGAGATGCCGCGCCTCGTAGTAGCGTGCTCGCAGGACGCTCACCCGCTCATGCAGCGCCATCTCGGCCGCCATCGTTGCCGGACAGCAGCCGTCGCGGTGTTCCGGATCGTCTTCGCCCTCGGCATCCTCCTCGTCATCTCCACCGTCCGGTTTGTCCGCCTCATCGTCGCTGTCGTCGTCCTCCAACAACTTCGCCTGCAGCGGCGGCCGCAGATGCTCCGGAATGCTGTTGTGCCACGCCTCCAGTTGTCGGTTCAGCTCCGTGCTGATGGGCAGGATCTTGTTGAGCTGGCTGATGTCGTCAAGCCCGCCCATCGGACTCGGCTCGTGCTGCCCGCTCCATCCTGCTCGTCCGCTGGCAGCCGCACTGCTGCTGCCGTCGTCCTGTCCGCCCGTCTCGCCTTCCTCCTCGACTGCAAAGTACAGCAGGCTGTGGATCCGGTTCAGCAGCCGACGCACCGACGTCTCCGCCACAAACGTGATCATCACGTCGCTCTCGCCCGTGTCCGTGTAGTTGGGCAGCGGCAACTCGTCCGCCAGCGGCTCCACTCCGCTGCGCAGCAGCACAAATTCCGCCATCCGGTCACTATCCTGTCAGCCCGAGACTATCCCGTCGTCTGTCTATGTCTGGCTTGCTTACCTCTCCAGCATGAAACACACCCAGAACACCCGAATCAGCTTCTCGTCCGATTCTGGTGCTGACCCGTCGCGCTGCCGTCTGTGTCCAACTGTCAGCAATGTGCCTGGAAAGGTGATACGCCACTCCCGCGACTCACCCGTTGAAGATGTGCAGGAAGAACCGGCTGGCCAGATAAGTCAGCCGCGCGTTGTGCAGCGGACGTCCCATGTGTGAAAAGTATGCTGCTGCCAGCAGGAGGGCCTGACATGTCTTGAGCGACGTTGGCGGCCCCAGCGTCCACACGGCGTGGTGCATGATGATGCCGAGAGCCGGCTGGAAGAGTGCCTGCGCGAGTCGGTCCCGGTCCGTCTGTCGGGTGCCGGAGACCGGTGTTGAAGGAGCGGAGACAGCAGTCTCTGCCGCTGCCGCTGCTGCTGCCGCCACCCGGCTGTCCTGCCTGGGTGCCAGACATCCCAGCGCCCAGACGCAGAGGCAGATGGCCTTTTCGATGGACCCGCCACCGGCTGCCCCTGTGTCTGGTTCAAAGGCCTGGGCAGCCTGCGCGGCCCAGACGCCAAACTCGCTGCGTCGGAACAGCGGCGCCGCCGGATGCACCATCATAAAGTAGTTCTCCGAGAGCCAGTCCAGCAGAGACGGGTCGTCATTCAAGGCATTTAGAACGACGGGTGGCAGCCAGAGAAGGTGTTGCTGTTGCTGTTGTAGTTGCTGCTGCTGCCGCTGTTGCTGTCGGACGACATCCAAGCCAGTCGGCAGTGGCTGAGCCCTTTCAATCTCATAAAAGTACGTTCTCGGGAAGCCGAAGCGCGGTGAAGCCAGGGGCGTCGCCACTGGAACTGGAGCACGATGTCCAGTGCTTCGGCCACGTGCACTGGTGCTCCTGCTGCCGCTTCCACTGCCTCGGCTGCCTCGTCCCCGCAGTCGGGCCTGGCTCGTATCGCCGCGTCGGTCGGCGATGTTGCTGAGCGCCTGCTGCACCACTGCCAGCGACAGCAGCGTGTTGGGCGCCGTCGTGTGGTCGATCGGAATCAGGAACTGCACATGGTCGTGGGCCGGCACCGGCTCTTGGGCTTGGGCCTGGGCCTGGGCCTGACGTGCATACGACGCCGCCTCGGTCGAGTTCAGGTACGGCACACTAGTGCCATAGGGCAATGCGACATGGCCGCCAGAAACAGTCCCTGGAGCCCCTGCAAACTCGCGCAGCCGCTGGTTCTGCTCCTCGAGAAGGGCCTCGATCCGGCCTAGTCGCTCGGCAAGGGCCTCATTGGAAGACGCAGACGGCAGGTCGCCACCAAGGCTGACGCACATCAGCGTACATCGGTCCGCAACAGAAACCCCAGATGAAAAAGAAAAGGGACTCACCGGTCCGTCGCAAGGTCCTGGTAGTGACAGTCGGCATTCGACTCTCTGCAGGTCGAACACGGCCGCTCGCCGTCGCACCGACGTTTCCGATGACGGCAGAAATCGCATGCCACGATGGCACCTAAAAGACCGGGGCCGAGGGCGCAACAGTCAGCGCACTGCATAGGGGGGTTCGGGATGGGCACGCACGCTTTCTCGTATACATCGCAACGGCCAGAAGAGGCAAAGAAGTGTGAGAAAATTCTGCTCCCCAGCCGAGTTTCGAGAAGGATAAGGGGCTTCCTGTCGTCCGTTCTTTCCTCTTTTTCGTTCCTTCCTCTTTTGCTCCTTCGCCCTCTTGTTTTCTCTCTTTCTTTCTCTATTTCTTTCCGTCCCTCCTTCCTTTTATGGTGTACCCTCTCTGTGATGGCCGACTTTTGCTTCTTGTTCTTCAACTTGTCCTTCAGCCGGACGTTCTGGGCTTTAATATCTGTCAACAACTCAAGCACTATCGCCGCAAATGCAACCGCCCACCGATCCATCTGGCTTTAGCGCCAGGACCGCCACGATAACGGAGAAGGCTCTTAAACCATCCTTCTGCGAGCTTCTCCCAGACACTGGTCCGTGAGGCCGCCGTCGATGAAAGCACTTACACCTATGGGAGCCTCGTTTCACGTGTACGCAAGCACACGGATGCCTGCATGGGGCGACGAGACGACGCAGCAATGGGCCGGCGAGCCAATGAGGCGGCGATACAACGAGACGACTACCCGGCGGAGCCTTCTGCAAGGTCGGATGGGCTGATGGACTGGAGCCGTGCGAAAGGAGGCGAGAGATCTGGTCGGCTGCAACCCAGCATATGGCCAGTGTCAGGTTCTACGCAGGAGATCGTGTTGCCACAGACGCCGGGATATATTCCTGCCTCGGCTCGCGTGGCCCCTGGGCAGGCCGGCCAGAGATGGCGAAGTTCGCGACATACCCACGAACCCGCGAAGAGTCGACGAGGTCCATATCACGTGACCCGCTGCATGGCCGGAAGGCTGTCGTTGGCCGTTTTCTGGCGGTCATGGCGGATGGGCCGGTAGGCCGCGAGCCTATCGACGCCAACAGGCCCCAGCGCCGGCTGCCAATCCATCTCGCCAGGCCAGCGCCAGATACAGCCTGGCTTCGTCGTCTAGAATTCCAAATTGCCAGATTACCCAGCTAATCCCTGCTTTTGCCATTTGGCCACGACAGCACGACGGACTAACCGAACGCGCGCAGAGCGTTCCTGGCTAGCTGCCTCTGCGGCCTGAAGCAACAGCCCGAAGTACGTGCGCAAGAGAGCGGCGAGCAGTGCTACGATTGGGCCCTGTCACCGTGTCGAACAGGGTCCGAAGAGCCCGGGGGGGTAGAACTGCACCGGGTTATGCATCTTTTCAGAGTTTTCAGCTCTTCTACTCCGTTCTCGTCCGTGCCTCTAGTTAGCGTCGCCAGCTTCCTCGAGCCGAGCATTCCCGTCTAGGTTGCCGCCAAGTGAAGGCCGTCTGAATGCCTCAATACGGCTAGTCAATCGACCTTCTAGCGTGCTTCTGTCGTCACCTCCGCTCTGCTGCTCCTTAGCAGTCGGCCAGTTCGCTACTATCTAACCGCGCTGGCTCCAGAGTACCCCATATGCTCTGCCACGCTGGGGCCCAGCTCAACGCGCCGAAAGCTCGCGAACGGGCGAGAGCCCCAGCTTTACGACTATTAGGCTAGGTATCCCCGCCAAACTCTCCACTAGCAACGAAGAAGGGGAAAAACCAGAAACTTTCTCCAGGTTCCGATTGACATCATCGTGATGAGGTGGGCATGAGACGTGGTTGCCGTCCGGGGCTGAGGAGAGGCTCACCCCTTCCCCTTTTTCCTAAATGCCGATGCAAAAGCCGGCCATCCAAGTGGTGACAGGTCACAGCATACGCAATTGAGCCGTGTCTCGGTCGAAGCACGGAGTACGGAGCACGGAGTACAACCACACAGTTTGGCACAGAGCGGTCAGCAATGCCTAGCTGACACCACCTGCATAAATACAAGTACTATGTATATATACGCCGCCTCCCTGTGCCCCCTCGCCCCCTCGCCCCCTTCTGCCTCGCCAAGGTCACTTTCCACGGACTTCTGCCTCTGCCTATCGATTTAACTGGCCTCTCAGCATTTCAGGACTTGGGTCCGGTTGACTTCGTCCGCTCTACACACAGAAAAAGAAAAGTCCAGGCCCCTTTGAATGATCCACGCCTCCACCCACACCGAGCATGTGTTGTTGGAACAGATGACAACGGGGTTGGTGAGAAAGCGTGATGGTCGCCGAAGAGCTAGTCCTCCCAACCGTGCAAGATCATTAGCGCTACTTAGCACTGTTCACTCATTCACAGAACAATAACGACAGCCTTTGGCTGACTCGTCGTGTGCTCTAGACAAGTCCTGCTCTCCGTCACGCTTCAAAGAGCTGCTCGGACCACATCGTTGCAAGAGATAAGAGTTTCTGAAGCTTTGCCGCAGCCCGAGGTTGCAACGCGGCCAAGCATGCACCCAAAGCACAGCCAAAAAAAATATCAGCACAATGCAACGGCTGGTTGGCGCTAGTACAAACAATGCGATGCTGCTGAGCCAAGTCCTCGTAAAAACCGAGCATAGCACACACGGGCCGAATTATAGAGTCCCCCAAAATGACAGGTCCCGAAAATGCCAAGCAATCCCGGAACCCGGCACCGTATACGCAGATGGCGCAGAACCTCCTTTTCTCGAATCCTGTCCAAGGACAACCTCTTTCCAAGTTCGCTGTGACTGCCAAGGACGGATGTAGGCCAATGAGCAAGTCGGACTTATCTCAGCGGCGTTGTACTCCACGTGACAATCTAGAGCAACAAAGACGGCAGGACGTCAAGTTTCTATCGTATGTGACAGGGGAACGGCACTGGCGCTAATGACCACCGAAACCCGCACTATTGCCAAATCGCTCGACTCTGTTTTTTCGGCTGGACAAGAGTCTCTTCCACCTTCATCCTCCTTCTCCAAGCCCCGAGAGAATGACCAGAGGATTAGGAAAGATGTCGTTTGACAAAGACAACTCGACAACGGACCCGTTCGCCGGTGATGCGGAGAAGCAGATGCCCAAAGAAAACTCCCACCCAGTTGAAGAAGCCAGCACACAGCGTTGTCGTGGCCGTTTCGGTGGCGTGTTGGGAAGTTTGTTGACTGTCGAGAAGGGTGACTTGTCTGATCCGGGAAAGGAACACAACCTGAAATGGTACCAGCGGCTACTGGCTGCTGGCATGGAGACGAATGGCATTGAGCCGGTACCCGTCGCCAACCGGACGAACAACCAGCACTGGAATCTGTTCACTCTCTTCTTCACCAGCATGCTCTCTCTTCTGCCGTGAGAACCCTTTTTCGATCCCAAAGTCGAGGCGCTTCGTGGTCGTCGAGCCGAGCTAACAGAAACCAGTCTCCCGACAGGTATGCTGGCCACCTTGAGCTATGGCCTCAGCCTGCGTGACGCCTCTCTCGTCATCCTCTTCTTCGGCCTATTGACTTCCATTCCGCCCGCTTTCCTGGGTATTGGCGGAACCCAAACCGGCATGCGCCAACAGATCCAGGCTCGGTACTCGTTCGGGTATGTGAATCTCCCCTCGTCGTGATAACGAGAGACGTAACCGGCAGCAGACTGACTAAAAGTGTGAACAGATTATACCCCGCTGTTGTCCCTCTTATTCTGAATGCCGCGACGATCACCGGCTTCACCCTCATCTCCGCCGTGGTCGGTGGGCAGACCATCTCGGCCCTCAATCCGGATCATGTGAGCGTCAAGGTCGGCATCGTCATCATCTGTCTCGTGAGCTTCTCCGCGGCCCTTCTTGGCTACCGCGCATTGCACTGGCTGGAGACCTGGTCGTGGATTCCCAACCTCATTTCCCTAGTAGTTGCTGTGGGTTGTGGTGGTAAGTACCTGCACCTGCAGTCCGACACCCTACCTGCGACGGCTTCCCAGGTCCTGTCCTATGGTAGTATCGTCGCAGGCTATTTCCTGACATTTAGCGGTACCACTTCCGACTATTCCACATACCACAACCCAAATGTGTCCAAGTAAGTCTCTGGCCTTGCCGTACCTCCCTATGTAATTAGTAGGCAACAGGTGCTGACAACGGCCCAGGACCAAACTCTTCTGCTATATGTATTTCGGCATATTGTTACCGTCTATACCACTGCTCGTCCTGGGTGCCGCAATTGGTGGTGCTGTTCCAAACGTGCCTTCGTGGAGCGTTGCAAACGATAGAAGCAGTGTGGGGGGTGTCCTATATGAGATGTTGCGTCCAGCCCACGGCTTTGGGAAATTTCTCGTCGTGTTGCTTGCCCTCAGCAGCATCGGAAACATCGCCATATCGTCATACTCAATGGCACTGAATATGCAGATGATGCTTCCCATTTTCTCCCGCGTTCATCGCTTTATCTTCATCCTCATCGCGATGGCTATTGTCATCCCCTGTGCGATCAAAGCTGCCCAAGCGTGGGAGGAGAGCCTCGAAAACTTCCTGGCCATTATTGGCTATTGGGCAGGCTGCTTTTCCGTCGTGCTGATCGAAGAGCTGACAATCTTCCGTCGCATGGACTTTTCGTCTTATGACATAACCATTTGGAATGTTGGCAGCAAGTTACCGACTGGCATACCCGCTATTGTTGCGTCGATTCTCTCATTCGGTCTTGTTGTCCCAGGCATGGATGAAGTTTGGTACACTGGTCCAATCGCTAAGAAATCCGGAGACATCGGGTTTGAGATGGCTTTCGCCATCACTGGAGTGTTCTACCTCCCTCTTCGCTGGGTTGAAATCAAATGGCGGGGTCGCCTCTAGATAGGAGCGAATTGGCCGATTCAGTGAGAGCCAAAGGGAAACGACGGGAGCCACTGTAACTCGCAGGGGCCAGGAAGAGCGGGCGTGGCATTTTTCCTTCTTCGTGCGTTGAGGTATATCGCTTGGATGCCAGGTGTGCCGGACTTGAGGTGTGCAGCTAGAGTTGTCTTTATCTGTGTAGATTGCTTCAGATAGATCAACGATTGAATCTTCCACACAGAACAACATCTTCTCCAAGCTGTTGCCACTTGACATCCGCGAGACGCGCAGCTGGTACAGCCCGGTTATCGGCACCATGGACGCGGTTTGGGGACACCATCACACCGCCACGGCCCAGCCATACCGGCGCGATAGTGACAATGACAGAACGGACGAGATGGGTGTTGGTGGGTTCCAGAAGCGTGTTAATAATATTCCCACCGCCCTCAATCATGATGCTGCGCAGGCCGTGACTAGCCACACTGTCTAAGACGTCATCCCATCGGAACCGGTCAGATGGCTCAGGCGGCGCGGTAGCAGTTGCGGCAGAACCGTGCACTGTGCTCAGAATGATGTACTTTCCACCATGGCTCTCGAGAAGTTTCTGTTTTGCAGCGTCCGGCTGTTGCACAGCAGTAACAATATAGGGAGCCAAGCCTTGCCCGCGGCGGGCAGTGGCCAAGACGCGGCTTTCGTGTGCGAGTGGCCAGCGGTCGTGCGGATCGATGACAATTGGACGCGGCTGATGCGCAGAGACAGATGCTGCTCCGTCGGTATCGTCCGCAATGCGGCAGTTGAGACCTGGGTCGTCTGCTACTGCAGTTCCGACGCCGACACAAATGGCGTCATGGCGACTGCGCAAGTAGTGTGTCATGGCCTTGGACTGTGGGCCCGATAAGGCGGTACGCACACCCGGAGCCAGGGACAGTGACGAGTCAAGAGACGTAGCAAAGGTGAGGGTAACAAAAGGCTTCTGTCCGACTAGTAGGGTTGCATCGATAGCAGGTAGGTAAGGCTCCAGCTTGGCAACATCCTCCTTTGGGAAAAAAAGGGCTTCAGCCATAGCGGAGGAAGGCTTGCGAATGGTTCCAGCCTCGATATCTTGTTGTGGGATATGAGAAAGTGTGAGAAGTGCCAGAGACTGGATGAAGTTGAAGCCGGACGACACAAATCGTATGAAGTGCTGAAAATGCCCAGTAGAATTCCAAAAGGGAAGGCACCAAGAAAGGAAAAGAGAATAGTGCTATAAAGGAAAGACCATGCTAACACTGTCCTTCCTATTTTTGATCCAACTTCCCAGAAAGGACGAAGCCGCGAACTTCAGCAGCGATGAGATCAATAGAATTGCGTAAAGATGCTATGAGGGCAAGCCAAAACGAAGTACAGCCACAGGTGGGAAAGAATGAGAGCTGCCATAAATGGCGGAACACACATTAATATTCAGAATAGGCAGGGGAGAAGACCGGCAAGGAAGCGGATTTCTCTAAATTGCCTGCCGGAAAGCTTCACGCTAAGCAAACCATCGCTCAATTGCCCCACTCTAATATCATCTGGCTACGAGTAAATGTTCGCCTGCATGGTATCTTACGAGTAAGACAGAAGCAAGTCAGTACGGAGTACTCGTACATAGTACTCCGTACTGTGGCGTACGTTGGGCGCAAGTACGCTGTGAAAGTGCTACTTGGCTAGGAAAGATGCCTCCGAGGGAATATGCATTGAGCAGGGCACTGCCCCGATACGTAAATTATGGATTCGATTACTTTATGCAGCTATGTGGAATTAGGCAGGCATCAACTACCGCACGAAATGATCGGCACGACGTACTCCGTCATACATCGATGCCTTGCTGAGCCACGACGTCAACACAACTTGCGATACTAAAGATACCTTGCTCGTGGGTTGTTATCGATAAAGTCGAATGCCAGAACCGCGCAACATGGCGCGGAAACTCACGTGAAAGCGGAGAACAATGCCGGAAAGCATCAATCAGCTGAGACACGTACAGTTTTGGAAACAGTCTCATCGGCAAGCATGGATGGCACCGAGCAGTCAAGTCCGAGACTTCCAGATATTACGAGCTCTTCCCCCTTCCGGTCTTTGACTTCCCGAAAATCGTCAGCGCCAAGGGCCCTGTCACGAAACTTGCAGCGTATTTTTTCCCCGGCACAGCCCCACGGCAGAGCTAGACGGAAAAGCCGCCTTTGTCACCTGCCCACTGCAACCCAAAGCTCAACTCTTAGTGTCGTTGGAAGGCGCAAGAGGGGCAAAAGAACACCGGCTTTCTTACGACGCCGAGACGTACTTAAATGACTGATATCGCCTTCTGCTGCGCATCCCCTTGGCATTCGTCGCCTTTCCCTATTTTCCATCTCTTCCATCCGGGACTCGCCCAGGGTCTCGCTGCAAATAACTGCACCATCGTCGGCCTCGCGTCAAATCATTCGCGTCAAAACGCCAAAACCGCCGTTCGCCCCATCGCTGACCGAGCTGTTCCACCGCACATCCCACAATCCCGCCACCATGCCGGATAAGACCGACAAGCCCCCTGCATACCCCGGCGAGCCGCAGGCGCCAACAGCAGCTTACCACAACGGCTCCAACGCCTACGGTCCAGGTCCCAGCGTTGCCTACGATCAAGCCCCCTACCAGCAGGGCCCCCAGATGGGCTACCATCAACAACAGCCGCAGCCGCAGCCACAGTACGGCCAGCAGCCGTATGGCGGTCCTCAACAGTACGGTGGCCCGCAACAGTACGGTGGCCCGCAGCAGTACGGCCCACCGCCGGCCGGCTACGGATACTACCAGCAGCAGCCTCAGCAACAGCAGCAGCCCGGCTATTACGGCAACAATGGCAAAAGCAGCAGCGACAGCTGTCTGACGGCGCTGCTGGCGTCGGCGGCGTGCTGCTGCTGTCTCGACTGCCTGTTTTAGTTTTAGACGGTACGCGGCAACGCCGACGCTCATCAAAAGAAAAGGAACGAGAGATGCAGGATGAGCTGAGAGAAGACAATATGGGCGGGCCATGCCGGCATCGAAGGCATGGGGGCACACCCGTGACACGGCGCCTCTGTGTTTACGGGGTGGACGAACACTGACTAGGTTGGGCCTTGTCATGATATTTAGTACCCTCGGCATGATAATGTCGACGATGTGCAACATCCGGTCCTATGGGCTCTTCCATACCTGGTCGACTGCTGGATCGGCAAACTGTGCTATACTTTCTTTTTTCACATTTCCTTGTTTTCTTTGCGCTACAATACTCGGTTTAATACTGCTTTCCCTCATGCATTTTACATCCTCTATATCCCGGGTTGTTGTACAGATACATCTGAATACATATATATACGATCGAGCCTGGTTGGTCATCGGCGTGGCGACTATAACCTTTGGCTGGCGTCTGAGTGGTTATACAATCTTTACTGTTTTTATCCAGATGATTATTCCCTCCTTATTGTCTTACTTTGCAAAGTGTGATCGCCCAAGGCATGTAGACAACACGACGATTGACAATTCAACACAAGTGTTACAGCACTTGCAAGCTCTTCTAGCTCACAATGCATGCTCCTTTTTGCCACACGATCGCTCGTCCATGTACTAGATGATGCTGTTCGAGTATGTACAGGCTGTGAACCGTGTCAACAAGCCACAGCTTACAAAAAGAAAACAGAAGCGTGCAGCAACGTCGGCCTAGTATGCCTTCAAACCGCACGGCAGGCACAATGCGAAAGGCCGTTTGCGTACTCGTACTCGTACAAGTCACCATGTATCAGTTCGGTATCGATTATCTCGCTGCCTTGCCCGACCATAGGGTCGGTTACAAGAAGCCGGGGAAAGTGGAGAAGCGGCAGGATACAGTCAGCCGGTCGCCTGTCTCCTGCACGTTGGTAGCCTCCCGGAAACGCTCTCCCAGCTGAATGTCGGCGTCTGCACAGCCGAGATCGGATACGACCTTGTATATATTCTTGGTTGCGCGGATGGGCTTGAAGCCCATCTTAGACGCCGCACAAGGCGCAGGGCAAGAAGCACTGTGGATAACAACCCTTTCGTAAGGCCGAGAACAGCGCCGCGAGCTTGCGGCCCCGTATGCTCGGCACACTCATTTGTGCTTTTAGCTTATCTTGGGCAGGCGTAGAGGCATTATTTGCACCAGCTGCCCGCCACGTCACTAGAAGATACTATGTAGGTAATAAATAGTAGAAAGCAGGAAGAAGCAATTATAGTAATAAAAGCCCCCAAAAACAACCGATTGCCGGCTTGTCCTTCAGCTTTGGTTGCCCATCCTGCGGGGTGCGTAATTTGACATGATGGTATCCTACTACAGAGACGGTACCACGGGTGCTAGGGAAGACGGCTGGAGACAGGGGTGCAGAGCCAAGCGAAATTTGGCGGCTTCCCGTTGCTGGGGGCAGCCGAAGAACCGGAAAACCGCTCTGTCTTTGTAGACGAGCATCCACGTCCATCTTTTTCGTATTTTCACATGTGAGCATATACTGACGGGAGATGCAGCTGTCGCGGCCGATCTGCCTTCAGCAGAACATAGCAGCATCACAAGCCATGCCGTCTACACATGTCCACACACCGAAAAAGGGGCCTGCAGTTCACTAGCGATCAACGATGCCTCAGCTCAGATATCCACGGGGGCTGTGGGGATCGTGCTCCGTCCGTACTCCGTAGTGGCCTCTCGGGCAATAAGATGGTATTTCCATTACCAACCCATCCCATTCCTACTTTGCGATGTTGTACGGAGTACCATAGTACAAGCACATGCACAAGTTTGGCGGCAGATCGCCTGCCGACAGCCATTGGGTAATCGTACTTTCTCAGATTGACGGTACGTTTCAGAAAGGGCCTAAAAGAGGCGGAAAGCTGGCGGTTGCGGTTGCCATGGTTGCTGTTTTGGGAGCGCCAGCGCCAACGGAAAAGTAACCCCTGTTCGCGTGTGGTCGAATTAACCAATATAGGCACAGGACAATGCTAATAGCGCTGAGATCGATGCAATAGAAGAGGGAAGGGGCGGCTGCCACCGAGTGGAGCTCGACGTCATGGGCCGATGCAGCCAATGAGAAGCGGGCAGACGGAACTTCGCGCCGCACAAACCAGTCTAGTTTCAGGAGCGATCAGTCGAGAGCGAACGGAAGGGGAAGGAAGGAGGGCCAAATACGGAGTGGAAATAAACCCGTAAAACAAGAATATGCGTATCGCGTCGTCCACCAAGGCAGTAATGCCTGCTTGCGGGAGACAAAAGCAGGCATCGCCGTCTTTGTCTCTATCCGGCCTCCTCCTCCCTTCTTTTTGTCCTACGCTGCTTTGTCCTCTCGTGTTCCTCCTCCTCCTCGCCGGCTGTCTCGCTTTTTCTGATGGCTTCCGCCCCTTCTCGTCGACACGAGCCGAATCTAGACTTCGTTTCCCAGCGTTGAAACCCTCGACATTCCTTGCATCGATCCTGATTCGCGACGAGGACTTACTTTTTGGATCCTGCAGCATTTTTTCGCTATATCGTTTACGGTGACATCCCGGTCACCTTCACTTTCCGATCACATTCGCTTCCGATCATACATATCTAGTCTTTCAGCTGGCCGGCACCAATCCCGACTTGCAGCAAGCTAGGCCCGTCGATCACTCGTCACGCGAGCCAGCTACACGTCCACAACTTTGTCGTCGGCAAGGACGTGCTGCAGTGACTCGCAGATCGCAGCGTGCATGTAACACATACCTGCGTCACTTCGGCAGATTTTGGCCGTCTTCTCGTCCTCTGAACATAGTATCTTACATTAGCATATATCCGTCTCCATCTTTTCTGGCAACGACCGCCTCGAAATATAGAGGGCCCAGCAGCCACTCGCTTGCCTGGTCTTGCCTCTTAATAAGAGCTGGTTGGAACCAGTTCCTGGCCCTATCACCTCTCAGCATCTTTAATTTCCTCTCTTGAACGGGCATCATGTCCTCGACTACGAGCAGCACTGCTGCTGCCACTTCGAGCAGCAGTTCGGAAAGCGGATCGGCCCAGAGCTCGGCTGGCCTTAGCGTCGTTGCCTTCTTCACAGCGTTGTCGACTTCGTTGGTTATTTTTGCCGTCCAGTTGGGCGTCTTCCTACTCCTCAGAAACAAACTGGCCCGCATTTTGTCAGTATCCTACCGCTCTCGTGAGCCTCGGAAGAAATGCACTGCAGATCTGCTAACCGAGTCTCCATTCCAACAGCAAGCCCAAATCTTTTCTTGTTCCTGAGCGCGAGCGAACAGACCCTCCCCCAGCTAGGCCTTGGACTCTGGTGGCAGCGCTCCTGCGCTTCGACGATCGCGAGATAATCAAAAAGAGTGGGCTCGACGCCTTCTTCTTTCTACGTTACCTGCAGACACTGTTATTTATATTTGTCCCCATCGCCCTCATTGTCATCCCTATCCTCGTCCCCATCAACTACGTTGGCGGCCTAGGCCAATCGTTCACTGCAATCGATGCAGCAGCCAACTCCTCGGTTCCCACCGGCCTGGATACCATTGCGTGGGGCAATGTGAAGCCTGTCAACTACAAACGCCATTGGGCACATCTGATTTTGGCTGTGCTTGTCATCCTCTGGGTCTGCTTTATATTCTTCTGCGAGATGCGTGTTTACATCAAGGTTCGCCAGGACTACCTCACCAGTGCGGAGCACCGCCTGCGTGCATCGGCCAATACAGTCTTGGTCTCTGGCATCCCTGAAAAGTGGCTTACCGAAGCGGCCCTTCGCGGCTTGTTTGACGTTTTCCCCGGTGGTATTAGAAATATCTGGTTGACACGGGACTACACCAAACTGCTGGACAAGGTCCACGAACGCGAAAACATTCACGAACTGCTCGAGGCTGCTGAGAGTGAGCTCATCCGCAACGCCAAGAAGAGCCAGCTTAAGAAGCGTGCTGCCGACGAGAAAAAGGAACGCAAGAAGTTCAAGGCAGGACACGCCTCCAAAGCCGATCGCGAGGAACGTCTGCGGCATGAAGACGAGGAGGCTCAGCGGATGGCACAAGGCGAAGGTGGCATGAGCGTTGGGCATCGTGCCGTGCCTCAAATCGACGGGATAGATGATGCCAGCACCCGCAAAAGCAGCACCGAGGCTGCAAGTCAACCGATGCAGCGCCAAAAATCAATACTCAACCGGGTTTCCGGATTCGGCCTAGGTTTCTCCAAGGTTGGCTATGGCATCAGCCACGGCATTGTGGGCGGCGCTAAGACGCTGCAGCAGGGTGTCGACAGCCAGCTCGAACGGACGGGAGGCTTTGATTTTGTTAAGACTGCCAATCAGCAGGTGCCCGGCCCATCGTTGCGTCCTACCACGCGAGACTCGGATCATCCTCGCGTTGGTGTCCGGATCATGGACAGCCCAGAGAGCTCGCCTCCGTTACAAGAGACCAGAACGGGCCATCATTCAAAGCCGTCGGACGTCTCTTCACTGATCAGCCGGCCCAACGAGTCGACAGCGCAGGGTAACACTACGCGCAAAGTCACAAACTGGGAGGATGCCATCGCCATTGAGAACAGCAAATGGTGGCAGTTCTGGAAGCCGCCCAGCGGTGCCTATGCCTCGCCTATTCCGCAAGGATATGAGGCAGATGAGTTTCTTCTAGACGGGGCCGAGACGGAGAAAGAAGGCAAAGCCAAGTCTATCTGGACCCAGATTTGCACAAACATGCCCTTCTTCCGCAGTGAGGACGATGACAATGACTATCCGGTAGCCGAAAACGCAGACTACCCGGGCGATGAGAAGGAGGACGAATTTGCCGAGTGGAGAAAGTGGCTTCAGCCCTCGGATCGTCCGACGTGCCGCCTGCCCATTTTCAGCTGGACTCCGAACTGGCTGCCTGGCCTGCCTCTGATCAACAAGAAGGTCGACACCATCTACTACTGCCGCAAGGAGCTTGCCCGGCTGAACATGGAAATCGAAGAAGACCAGCAGGACCGGAACCACAAACGGTACCCGATCATGAAGTCGGCCTTCATTCAATTTAACAACCAGGTCGCGGCCCACATGGCCTGCCAGAGCATCACGCACCATGTGCCCATGCAGATGGCGCCCCGCGTCGTTGAGATCTCGCCCGACGATGTCATCTGGGACAACATGGCCATACGCTGGTGGGACCAATGGCTGCGCACGTTTATTGTCATTAGCGTCGTCTTTGGCATGACCATCTTGTGGGCGTTCCCTGTGGCGTTCTCCTCGTCCCTGTCCCAGATCGACTCGCTCGTCGCAAAGTACCCGTGGCTGGGTTTTATTGAGGACAATCCGGTGACGTACGACGTGGCTAAGGCTGTTGCCGGCGTGCTCCCCGCTTTGATCCTCTCCATTCTTCTGGCGCTGGTGCCCGTCATCCTCGACCTTCTCTCCAGTTTCCAGGGCGCCAAGACCGGGTCGCAGAAAGCAGAATATGTGCAGATATACTACTTCTTCTTCCTCTTCGTCCAGGTTTTTCTCGTCGTTTCCATCGCTAGCGGCGCCGTTGCCACTCTGCAAGATACGGTGACAAATGTGCAAGGCATCCCCCAGATTCTGGCCAAGAACCTGCCAAAGGCCGCGAACTACTTTTTCAGCTACATGATTCTCCAAGCGATGTCGACCAGTTCGGGTACACTCCTACAGGTCAAGGTCCTGCTGGTGTGGTACATCCTGGCTCGCTTGGTTGACGACACTGCTCGCAGCAAGTGGAGGCGCCAGACGGAACTTCCAAACATCAGCTGGGGCTCCTTCTTCCCTGTGTACACCAACTTTGCTTGCATTGCGCTTGTGTACTCCATTATCGCTCCCCTGATCTCGATATTTGCTATCATCACGTTTGCGCTGCTCTGGTTTGCCCATCGCTACAACATGATCTACGTCAATCGCTTCAAGATCGACACTGGCGGCGTGCTTTATCCGCGGGCCATCAACCAGACGTTTACCGGCCTCTATTTCATGGAGCTCTGTCTGATTGGCCTCTTCTTTCTCGTCCGCGATGAAAACGACGACACTGTTTGCGTGCCGCAAGCCAGTATCATGATCGTGGCGTTGATTCTCACGGCGCTCTACCAGATCCTGCTCAACTGGTCTTTCGGGCCACTTTTGCGGTACCTGCCCATCACATTCGAGGACGAGGCTGTTCTCCGTGACGAGGTCTTCCAGCGGGCACTGGACCGACGCATGGGCCTCGTCGGCGATGACGTCGGATCGGACGACGAAGCGGCAACGCTCACAGCGGCCGACAGCCAAGTCACTGGGGTTGCGAGCACCATTCCTAGCGGCAACGGTGATGGCGTGGAGCTGAAGACCCTGAAAGGACGAGGCCACCAAAACTCCTTTGGACTTTCGAACCGCCTGAATCCTGTCCGCGGTATTGCTCAGGCAGGCGCCTGGGCGGCTCAGGGAGGCAAAAAGGTACGATACGCTACACTTGGCAAAGCAGAGCATAATTTGCAATTGGCGTCCAAGTTTCGTCAAGAGCGTCGCCAGAAAGATCTGGAGGCCCAGAGGGCTATGGGGGAGGCTCTTTATGGAGGGTACAACGACGAGATTGAAGACCTGACGCCCGAGGAGCGCGACGCTCTCGTTCGAGAGGCTTTCAAACACTCGGCTCTGCGGGCGCGTCGTCCGACTGTCTGGCTTCCTCGGGATGACATTGGAGTCAGTGACGACGAGATCCGACATGCATGCAACTTGAGCGACTACATCTGGATCAGCAACGAGGGAACAGCATTGGATAGCAAGGTTCGCGTGGTCTACGGCCGTGCGCCGCCAGACTTCTCGGACATTGAGCTGATCAACCTGTGATTGCTATTGGCACGACTCTCCTTTCCGGCCCTCTGGGCTTGACGACTGTTACGAGGTTTCCATATAACAAGTAGATTTGGGCCGTTACGGCGCATGTTCAATAGCTAATTTTGGGCGAGGAGGCTTTTTGCATGGAGATTTGTTTTTCTTCAGGAATAGCGTATGCACCAGAGCAGACACCCCAAACAGACCTAAGACTGTATCTTTTAGGTATTTGTAGCTTATATGCAGCACTTGCTCTTACAACATTCGACTTATGTGAAGCACACGTGACTTGTCAAAATATGGTGCTACCAATTGAGCCAATAGCGAGCTAGCATAATACCCGCTTTTAAATCTCCGGATTGGAACGAGAAGTTTTGTGACTTTGAAGAATTGAGAGGGATGGTGTCTTGCAACGAAACAGCAGATTAACCGACTTCCGGCACTGCTCGCCCACAACAGCAGACAGACAGCACACCGCCGGTCAGCCATGGCAGCAAATGCAGCATCGGCGGCGAAGGGGGTGGCGGCCACGGCAGGGTCCAATTTCCGGGTGGGCGGGGCTAAAGTGTTTCTGTGAGTTGAGCGCGGGACGAAAGCAAGACGGAGCAGAAGGCGACGAGGGAGAAGGACGATACGATGGCAGGATGCAGATGCACGACAATTCTGACGCTGGCAGTCCCGGACACGTGATCAAGATGCTACCACCGCGACGGATCGTGTCGCCGTACTTTGCAACGTTCCAGGTGCCGCTGCGGTTCAACAAGCTCGACCTGCGCGACTACCTGTACCACGCCTACGGCGTGGAGGTGCGCAACGTGCGATCGTGGCTGACGCCGCAGCTGCCGCGACGGCGTTTCAGCGACGGTGGCAGCACGCCGCTCGGTGGTGCCGACGACTTGGACCTGCGCGACGCCAAGTCCTTTGGCCGTGGGCCGTGGTACCGGCCGCAGCCGATCAAGCGGATGATGGTAGAGCTGGTCAAGCCGTTTGCCTATCCAGAGGCGCCGGCCGAGCCGACCGAGGCTCAGCGCGGCACCGACGACGATCCGCGCGCTGGCTGGGACTACGACATGCACCGCCGCCTCGCCCTGCAGCAAAAGTCCCAGGAACAGAGCCACAGCCTGCGCGTGCACGAGAAGGAGTTTCCTCTGCGCGACCAGGAAGAGCACGTGCCCGCCTTCCGGGTCGGCCTGGCCAAGCAGGCCCGCGAGCTCGTGCTCGGCGAGCGCGCCTGGCGCAGCTCCGCCAAGCTGGACGCCCGCTGGGACGCACTCGAGGCGGCCGAAACGAAGAGCGGTGCCGGCGGCCCGGCCAGGTCGTCATAGCGAATACGATCGGGAGACAGGAGGCAAGCACGGGCAGGGCAGAACAGTCTGGCAGGCGAGAGCCACGGACCCCATTCCATGCCTGCAGCAGGTCCGGGACCACTGGCACAACACTCTTGCTCGTCCCAGATCGAGCTTCAATGGGGACGCATTCTTCCGTCTCGCTTCTGTATTCCTCCCTCTCTTTGTATGATATAGACGGTTCTCGGCGTGTATCTAAGGGCAGGCAAGAAAATAAAGTACAAAAGGAAACATCTCGCATCCCGTCCGACACGTGCTCGCCAGATCTACGCTGGGAAGGTGCGAAACTCTGTTGATTCAAGAGATGTTCTAGGTTCGAAAAGGAAGTCACAAGGTTCCGTCTTCTCCCAGCAACCGTTTTGAGGCAGTCGCAACCGAGACAGCCTCACCCCTTCTCTATCGAGAACTTTGCTGCCCAGAGTCAATAGGCTAGCCCGTAGAAAAAACAACACTCTTCCTCTCTTCCTAGCAACTGTCAACAAGACGTGAGCTCACTGCATTTGTCTTACTCTCGCTGTCTGTTTCAATATTTCCACATGTCCGGACACTCGCCTCGAGGCGAGATGGACGCAGACAAGCAGCCATGTCCGCTACATATCGTCAAGAGAGACAGCGATGCATCCTGTTCCAGCAGCAAGAACAGCCGTCCCGGCCAGCGGAAGTCCAGCAGTGGCACGGACGAGAGCCAGGGGAGCGTTCGCGAGGTGACCGGCATGGATCTGCCTCTGGCAATTCCGAAGAAACGAAAGGGCCTGATGTTCCGTCATGGCGAGCGCTTCAATTCCGGCGCTTCGGTCGCGAGTCACAGAAGAGCCCTGAACTATACCGACAACTTCGAGGACCGTGATGACAGCAGCAGCGACAGTGGCGAGGAGGGCAGAAGACTGATTCACACAGCTGAAGCTGACGGCTTTACCTCTGTGCGACTGCGATATTTGCAGGACGAGCAGAGCTCCGAGCGTAAGTTTTTCTTTTTTGACAAACTAGCAATGGCCGAGGAATATGGCCAGGAGAGAGTGTAAGAGCTGACTCCGGATGTGATAGCAGATGGCCATAGAGAAAGGCTAACATCTCAACCACCACGGCCGATCCCTGAACGGGTCCCTTCTCCCTACTTCAATTTGGTAGACACCATGCACTCGAGGAGAGCTGAATCTGAAGCCGAAGCTGGAAAAGAAGCCGAAAATGATAGCTATCTCCATCAGATGGACATCATGAGACACGGCCCTCCGCAGACGGAGGAATTTGGTCTCTGTGATGACGAGAATCGATCCAGACGTGGCATTGAAACTAGAGACGACATGCTCCGCCGGTGTCCGTCATATGAGTATATGCCGCGAACAGGCTTATCCCCTACCCCTACATCTCACACATATGGAAGGCTAGCATCGACAAACACATTGCCAGAAGTTGAGACAGTTCCTCTTGGTCCATTGGAACGATCGGCAACAACTTTCCCCTTTAGAAGCCAACAGCATCATCAGCACCATCAGCAGCAATACTACCAACATCAACCTCACAACCCTCAGGCTCAACCACACTTTCGGCCGAGCTTGCCCTACTTACTTTCAGAGCCCGTTCCGGACCCGGATCCCCAGATGCTCACGCCCGTCATTACAGTCACGCCTGAGCGCAGATCTGTGGGTGGGACTGTGAACCGCTTTTGGGTCGCAGTTGAGCTGCATGCACAAATCACGCGGCCGTTAGATGGGGGGTTTTCACGTGATTACCCCTTCCACCACAGCAGCCGGCAGTCCTCGATAAGTGTATCTTCTTTCAAGAACAACGCGGGTATGTATATATTGCATATTTCGCATGTTGAACTGCGGAACATACCTACTGAACGAAATGGATTGTAGGCCTCTATCGATACGGATATATATCCGATATGAATATCGAGGTTCTTCCGACTGCCAAAAGTGAGATTCTAGAAGTCATAGGGAAGAGTCCCAGCCTTATGTTAGTAGGACCACGATATGAACACCTTGTGTGCCCTAGTGGCTTTATTGCTAACCAATCTATAGAACACTGCTTCCTGGATCTCGGCGTCTTCTTGTGGCCCACGTCCAACTTGACACCAAAAAAGGCACGCCCCAGATGCCGGCTAATGATTACTGGGCCCATCGTCAACGGCAGAATTCCGACAGGCTCATTGAAGACTTGGAAGTGCAACTAGGAGCAACATCTCAAGAATATATGCACATCCGACTCACGTACACGCACTCTGGCTTTCCAAAACGGGAGATTGGGCGAGATGTGCTGGGACGGGATGGCGGATGCGTCTCGGTGCGGACGACGATTGAAACCACGGCCACAGCTGTGATCATGCAGCAGAACGCCTGCTCGCCCTGGTCGCCTCCGCCACCGCCGTCGAGCAGTCCGCTTTCGGGAATTGTGGCCAGACACTGGGGGCCAGCCGCGGCCGCGGACATGGCGCAAAGAATGGCAGCCACGTCAATGGTACGGATGGCGAGGAAGTCGGCAAATCCAATGCGGCCGTGGGATTCGTTCGATCCGCACTTTTCAGCAGAGCGGCAGAGGACACCGGAGATGGCAGATTCCGGCGAGCAGGAAGAGGTTACGCCCCGAGCAGCATTGCAACAGCGCGAATCGGGGCCCAAAGACGACGAGTCTTCTCCCAGACGGGCACCGACACCTGTAGGCAAGATCTGGAGACAGATTCGACGGGTATCGTCCACGGGGATGCGATCGACGTCCCGCCAACATGCCCAAATGTCGCAAGACGAACTCAGGTCATCGTCTTTAGCCAAGCTGCGGGTAGGGGAAGACTCACCGCTGCCGGGCTGCTTTCCGCCACGGACCAAAAATGCCAAAGAGCCGGCAGAAGGGCTGAGGCAGGCAATTCCCGACACGGCACCTCGCGCGATCAGGCGTCCAGTCGGGATTGACACGACGAATCTGCAGAGCCTCAGCCACCGGGTGTCGGACATGAGCCTTGGCAGCGAGAATATCAGAGAGAGGCAGCCGACATACAGCGGGATGCGAAGCAGCAGCCGCAGCAGCAGTATGAGTAAGAAGTCGGGAAAGTGGTCGTGGACAGGATGGTTTGCGTAATTATCAGATAAGAGGACGCGGGGGCAAAGCATGGATAGAAAGGGACAGTGCTTTTGAGTGTGAGATACAGCATTAGAGGAAGCGTGGCATGCTGCTAGTTGACTTTGTTACTGTCTGTCTGTTCGAGTGCCACTCGTGGTTTGTGCCTCCAAATAGGATATCCGTCATCGTCAAACTCAGCCCATTGGAAGAAGGAACAGCCCGGGTTGTCAGGGATGTTGCCGGCATGGCACATCCAGAAGTAGCGGCCGTAGTTGTCTTTCTTTTTCATAACAACACGAAGGACAGCGGAGATTCGACAGCGGCACTGGGGGGTGTTGTTGGGATGGAACTCGGGGCGATAATGGCGGTAGGTGATGTTGATGCGCTTGTTGCCGGCGATAGGATGAAGGTCGATAGAGGTAGTGGGGGCGATGCAGTGCTTCCACTGCTCCTGCATCTCGGCGTGCATGACGAGCAGGGAGTTATGGGGAAGATGGATGCTGATCTGGCCAGCAGCGTCGTCGAAGTTGTTCAGGTTGTCGTTGTTGTCGTTGTTGCCGTTGTTGAGGCTGCGGTCACGTGCAATGACGCGACGGACACGAAATTCGCGAGTGACGCCGAGGGACAGCGACCCGATGACGGCGCGTGGGCCAAGGTAGGTAAGCTGGTCGCTGTGCCAGCCGACGGACTGCTGAGGGCCGCTGTAGCAGTTGACAAAGGCGGCGTTGGGACACCAGGGACCGGGATGCTGGTGGCGCAGCTTGCAGCCGCCGGGATAGCGGGCGGCGATGCGCTGGCGGACAGCAGTATTGACGGCGGCCTGAACTATGGGGCGGACAGCGGCCAGCTGTGGCGTGCTGGGGCGAACGTTGTCGATGCGGGAGCCGTTGTAGAGGTAGGGTGTGGTGGAGGTCGGAACCGACGTGACATCCAGGCCGTCATCGACGAAGAAGCCCATTGTGTGGGGACTCGTGACGACCTGCTCGAACAGCTGAAAGCGCGGAGTGGCAAAAGAGGGTGCCTCGGCCAGCATCTCATGCAGCAGCGCATTGGCCGTGTCGGCTGGCAAGAAGTTGTGCAGCAGAGTGCAAGGCGTGTGAGCCTCGACGTCGACGGGGTCGAAGAGATCCAGCGTGCGACCGCGTCGAGAGAGAAGCGGCTGGACCTGGAGGACCTGCTTTGTCTGCGTCGACTGCGTGGCAAATCCGCGCAGCGATGTCTGCTGGATGGCACCACTGCTGGCACGCGGCCGCTTTCGTCGTGCTGCTGCTGCTGCTGGTCCTCTCTGGAGCGTTTCGGCGGCGGCAGCGACGGAGCCGTCGTGGGCCAGCAATACATCCAGCAGCACGTCCTGGTCCATGTCGCCATCCAGCAGCGAGGCCAGCAATGCCAGCTTGACCTCTGTCGGGGCGTCGTCATCGTCAATTCCCGGCCGATTGCAAAGTCTCGTCGACGGCTCGTCAGCCGGGCGCTTCTTTCTCGTCACAAAGGCATCCATGGCTTCCGGTATTTCGAGCAGGTCTGCCCATATCTGGCACGGATCAAGAGAAGAGGCGACAGCGCAAAAGAGTCTGCTCCGATCGAGAATCGGAATGGTCAGTTTAAAAGCAACGAGATGGTGGGGTCAAGATATATAGCTCGCGAAGGAGACGCGAAAGCACGTGATCCAATTAAGGTACAAACACGCCCCTTGGAGCTGCCTCGTTTTGAGCAGTGTCCACCACAGCGATCGAGCTCTCGCCGAGCACGTCGTACACCCACACAGTACCAGCACACAGCGATCATGTCTGGCCGCAACAGGAAACGAGCCCGCGCAGACGAGGACGCCGAGATGGCCGACGATGCGGCGCCGATGGCGGCCGGCTCGCCTTTTGCCAAGAAGCGACTGCGGCTGGCGAGCGCTGCGGCGGCGCTCACAGCAGCACCGACGACGCCCCAGACGCCGCGGACGGTACATACGATAGCGTCGGCGATCACAGGCGCGCTCGCGTACGGGGCAAACCAGGTGAGGCGGACGGAGTGCGAGCTGGACGGGACAAGAAGAGAAAAGGGCGAGGCGTACGATGCGTACGACGAGTACGATGTCGACCAAAACAAAGACACGCTCGTCGATTCGGCCGTCGGTTCGACCACGCCGTCGCGGCGGAAGAAACGCGACCCTCTCGGCAACCTGGCCATCGACGGGACCGACCGGCTGAAGAGCGGCCTTGACCTGGGTCTGTCGCGGAGCCAACGGGTGCGCAACACGCTTAAGAAGTTTGAAGAACGTGTACAGGGCGGCGGTGGTGGTAGGAGTCGGGCACGAGATCGGACGAGCGGCACCGCAACGGCAGCGACAAGACCAAAGTCACCGGTCAAGGCCCGGACCGTTCTGCGTGGGAAGCCGGAGTCGGTAAAGGAGGGACAGGAAAAGATGCAGAGAGACCAAAACGACAACGACGACGACGACGACGACGAGGTGTGTGCCATCTGCGGCAAGCCCGAGTCGGAACCGCCCAACGAGATCCTCTTCTGCGACCGCTGCGACCTGGCCGTCCACCAGCAGTGCTACGACGTGCCGGTCATCCCGGTGGGTGACTGGCTGTGCAAGACGTGTACGTCCGGAGGCGTGGCCGAGGGAGTGGCCGAGAGCGGCGTGCCGTTGCAGCCCAAGGCAGAGTTTGCACAGCAGAAACCACCATCACAGACCATTGCCCACTTTGAGCAGCATCTGCAGGGGCTGCAGCGCGTGCTGCTAGACCGCTGCACCGGCCGCCGACGGCTGCGGCTGCGCGGCCAGGACGAGGCCTGCGACAAGGTGCGCCAGCTGGTCGAGCAGACAGTGGTGGCGGGCGAGGGCAACTCGATGCTCGTCATCGGGGCTCGCGGCATCGGCAAGACAGCCCTGGTCGAGACGGTGCTAGACCGCATGGCGACCGAACATGGCGACGCCTTTCACGTCGTGCGCCTCAGCGGCTTCGTCCACACGGACGACCGGCTGGCGCTGCGAGAGATCTGGCGCCAGCTGGGCCGAGAGATGGCCGTGGAAGATGAGGTCGTGAGCAAGGTGAGTTTGGGGGCTCTCTTTTTTTTTTTTTTTTTTTTTCTTTTTTTTCCTCTTTTCTTTCTAACAAACACCCAGACCACCAGCCATGCTGACACGCTAGCATCGCTACTCGCCCTGCTCTCGCACCCGTCCGAGATGGGCGAGGCTGTGACCACCGACAGCAGCTCGGCCGACCCCAATAGCGCAGTCACTTCACGTTCTGTCATCTTCGTCATGGACGAGTTCGACCTCTTCGCGACGCACCCGCGGCAGACGCTGCTCTACAACCTCTTTGACATTGCCCAGGCTCGCAAGGCGCCCATCGCCGTGCTCGGCCTGACCACCAAGATCGACGTCGTCGAGAGCCTGGAGAAGCGGGTCAAGAGCCGGTTCAGCCACCGGTACGTCTACCTGTCGCTGCCGCGCAGCCTGCCCGACTACTGGGACGTCTGTCGCCAGGGGCTCGTCGTCGACGACGAGGACGACGCCCGGCGCGAGCACATGGACACCGCCCTGGCCGGCTTCTCCGCCTTCCAGCAGTGGTGGAACCAGATGATCGAGGTGGGTGTTGCTGTTCTCTGGTCACGTGTGCTTACATATGCTTACGTAATAGAATCGGCGCCGTGAGCCGGCTCTACAGAGCCAGCTCGAGTTCCACTACCACAGCAGCAAATCGGTGCCGGCCTTCTGGACAGCCTGCATCATGCCGCTGGCAGCGGTGTCGGCAGCGGCGCCGCGCCTGCAGATGCCGGCCGTCGGCAGCGACAGCACAACCCCGATCGGCTCGCTGGAGGCGCCCGACTCGAAGCTGCAGCTGCTGGCATCGCTGTCAGAGCTGGAGCTGGCGCTGCTGATCGCGGCCGCCCGTCTAGATATTGTGCTCAGCACGGACACGGTCAACTTTGCCATGGCGTACGACGAGTATGTCTCGCTGATGGGCAAGCAGCGCGTGCAGTCGTCGCTGGCGTCGTCGGCTCCGGCCATTGGGGCTGCCGTGGCCGCCGCGACCCGACGAACACCCGGACGTCCGGCCGGTTCCAGTTCCGGTTCTGGCATCGTCGTCGGCGGTGGCGCGCGCGTGTGGGGTCGCGGTGTGGCAGCACGGGCATGGGAGCGGCTGGCCTCGCTGGGACTGCTGCTCCCGGCCGGTCTCGGCGGTGCTGGTGGTGCTGGAGCGACGGGTGGGCTGGAAGGACGGAGCATGTGGCGGGCCGAGGTGGCACTCGAGGAAATCCCGGCAGCAAAGGGCATCCGGCTGGGCACGATGCTGTCTCGATGGTGCAAGGAGATCTGAGTGGGCGGTGGAAGGACGAAAAGGTAGAGCCATCTGGCTGCTCACGATTGGATAGAAAGAGAAAAGGAGCCTGTTGGACGTGCAGCGTTTTACGTCAGCGATGCTGTCAGAAATGGACAGAGGCCCAACTGCGACGTACTTGGTCACAAAAAATAATACTACCCGCTCGCTGTCTGTCGAATTATCTCAGCAGCAGCTGCTGCGCCTTGCTGTCGTGTCTGTCTCTGTGGAGGCAGGTGCCTTTCAACCCCGTGGCTCTTTCTATTTTCGGATGCAGCTGTGCCGTCTCCTCCATCCACCGCCTTCTCTTTGTCTCTTTGTCTCTTTCATCGTTTGCCTCGTCTGAACAGCAAGACGGATCGCTCGCTTGTCCATTTCCGTCGTCCCGACCTTTGTCAGTAAGGTCCCCAGCTCGGCGTTTTTTGTTTTCTGTCCGTGCCCGAGCGAGCGCTGCGTCTTGAAATCATCGCCTTCTGCTTCAACCGCAATTCTGCGCGTCACCATGACTTGGCCGAACGATCGATGACCAAGAACGCACAGCACAGCACAGCCCGCCAGCCGTCCATGATGTCGAAGCGGTCCGTCTTTACGAGCGTCACGCCGCTGCCGGCCTCGGTCGGTCGTGCGGCCGTGCTCGCCTTTCTGCACGACTACGAGGCCATCATCGACGTCAACCCGCTGGTGACGGAACGTCACCGCATTCCGGCCCCGCCCAACGCCGATCCGGACGAGGCCCTGCGCGTGTGGTACAGCCTGACCGATGCCATCGTGATGCCGTGGTCGTCGGGCAAGGACAAGCGTCGCAGCAGCAGCAGCAGCAACAACAGCAGCAACAGCAACAGCAACAGCAACAGCACCACCACATCCACCCCTGGCACCACCGTCTCCTACACATGCGTGTTCCATCCCCTATCCGACGGCCTGCAGACGCACTGCCGCGCACCGCTCGGCGTCGACATCCGCGCGCGCTGGACCGTCGCTGGCACGCTGCCGGACGAACCCCGCCAGCCGGTCGAGCTCGGTCTCGCCCGCCTCGGCGCACCCGCTGTCGGTCTCTACCTGCGCGAAGACGTCGACCTGCACTGCAGCCCGCTGATGGCTGGCTTCGTCAAGAAGACGCTCCGGCGCTCGCACGCTGCGCTCGTCGCCCGCCTCGCCCGCCGCATAGCCGCTGCTGCTGAGACCGTCGACAGGCGGCGTGACAGCGGCATCATCCAAAACGCCCATGCCGCTGCGATACCGCCAACGACCGACTCGGACAGGCCGGATAGCACCATACCCTCGTCCCTCCGCTGTCCCCGACTTCTCTCGCCCGCCGCACCGCTGCCGCCGTCGACGGCTTTCCCCCTTCCCAACACCACGACTTCCTATCCGTCGCCACGCTACGTGCCAACACCACAGAACCCGCAACAACAGCAGCATCGCCCTCGCTTCCCCACTCGTCAACGTCAGGTCTCGCTGGGATCTTCACCATCCTCCACTGCTCCTCTGCCGGGAGTCCTCCACGCAGAGACGCAACCGCGTGGGATCATGGCTCCGGCTCTTCGGTCACAGCAGCAGCCGCCAGCAAAGCAAGACAAGGCAGCCCAGCCAGAATACCTGCTGCAGCCGCATACATACGACGCAAGCAACGGCCAAAAGGCCAAGAACACCAATGCCATGACCACCACCACCGCCCCTGCCACTATCGACTCCGTCCGCACAAACCCAGGCCTATACCCAGAACCACTGAGGGTCCCAAGGCTGCCGAATCTGCCACAGGCACCATCGCAGGCGCAGGCCCCAACGCGGACGCAGCCCATTCCAAAACATCCCGACTACCCCCCCATGAACCCGTACGACGATGGCGACGACTCGCCCGTTTTGGGTCACATTGTCGAAATAAATACCCAACACCCCATGCCCGTCTTCGTCGAGCTGGCCGCCGATTCCGAACTGCAGCTTGTTCCTGTCATGCTGGACACGGGAAGAAACAACAATCGGAGCCGAAGCTGAGACGCAGGCAGACTGCTCAGTTTGGTTGTTAGTGCTTTGCCATTCTTTGCGATGCTCGTAGCGTTTTAAAAAGCATCCGTCTTGGATCGCCGGTTTACTTTGAAACTTGATTTATGATAAAATTTATTGTTTTTTTATTGTGTTTTTTTATTGGTCTTTTTAGTCTCCCCGATCCTCCCTACGGTACCCTCCCATTCCATGCTGTCTTTCCGTGTAAGTTTGTCAGCTTCAACTCCTTCCTGTCCCCCTCGGGACCCCGGCCTCTTCCAATTCATGCCTGTTGCGGATTCCCGGCGTCATAAGCAGTAAGCTATCCATTCCCCATCGCTTGCACCAAAAATCGTTCTTCGCCCAATGCACTCTTTCCATCGCCATGGGTATCTGACCCGTATTCGACAGTACAAGGGTCACGAAAGTGGGACGTCCATGAGAGCGGCAAACTCCCTGCTGTCCCCCTTTTCACCCCAAACACCCGATACAACTTGCTCTGGAGTTCCTTCATCTTGTCGCCTGACACTGTCTCCCTCCGCCTCTCCCTCTATGCCGATGAGATCGTAAAACGCCACATTGCTGGACTTCGATATAGTCAAATGATAACGGTAAATAAAAGGGTGATAAACAAAATGGAAATTCGTGGCAAGCGCCGCAGGAATGTAGTGATCCATAATGTGATATCGGGTATGAATGACGAAAGCTGATGTTGTGCAAAGATATATTAGGGGTGTATATAGAACCCGAGCAAGAAAGGTGATCGTGGGCGGCCGTGCAGACACAGCGCCCACTCAAACATGCAGGTCGAGCCACACCTAGTTGTTGCGGTTGGACCGGCTCAAGCTGCGTTCTGGCACGCGAGTCGAGCCGACCACAATCGCATCGAAGTCGTAGTTTCTCAGCGTCTGCTCGTGCTTGGGGTGGCGCAGGAATTTCGGCACGGAGTCCTGATCGAGAAGTTAGCATTTGCCCCTGTCAATCTCAAAAGGGGGTGGAATCCCCCAAACAAGGGCACGTACACTAGCCATCAGCTTGAAGACGGCGTTCTGGGCGTCCTCAAAGAGCGCCGTGACTTCGCGCAGCGTGTCGATCATTGCGCCGTCCTGGCCTACTGCCTTGGTCATGCGCGAAGCCAGATTGCTGCGCAGCTGGTGGTCGATGTTCAGCTCACACGGCGATCCCGGAGCCAAGAATGCGTTGTAGATGCCGTACGCCTGCGCCATAATCTCCTTGATTCCTTCCATCGACGAGTTTCCCGGGTTCTTTTGCGCGTTGCGAATCGCCTGCCGGCAGTTGCGCACAAAGTCGTCGACGTCGAGATAGAACGACAGGTTCTCCTCGCAGTGGGTTTCGCGCAGGTTTTCGCGGAAGAGCAGCCGCAGCGCGGCATCACTCAAGATCTTGTCCAGCCGCTGCGTGTTGGAGTCGCGTGCAATGCCGCCTCCTCCTCGTGGCGCCGAGCCACCGTCGCTCTCGGACGATCGTCCACGTGGTAACACACCATTGATCAGGTCCTTGCCCTTGGCAGTCAGTTGGTAGATGGCCACCCGGGTTGGTTGGTACAAATGCACGCCCGGTAGCTGAACCTGAAACACCCGGTCTGGCACGACCGCCTCGATCAGTCCAAACTCGACAAACAGCGACGCGGTCTCGTTCGCCTCTCGTCGATCCACCATCGTCGAGCAGTCCATCAGCCAGTCGCTGCCAGCCTTGCCCGTAAACGTGTCCTTGTAGACCTTGCCATTCACTCTCCGCTCGCTAGCCATCTTCACTCCCGTCAGGCCGTCACGGTAGTCGCTCAGGGAGTCAGCGTCTGCAGCACCCAGACTGGACTTGACATTAAGGCCATTGACGCCGACAAAGCGCCGGAAGATAACCTCGATCGATCCGCGGTCACTGACAACCTTGTCGGTCGCCGAATCGCGCTCCAGGATGACCAGCTGAGCCACACTATTGCCGACGAGCTCGGTCACCTGCTTTTGCTGGATGCCGTTGCGGGAGCAGAACCGGTCCAGAATGCAGATGCCCTTGGGCGTGAGCTGCCATACGGAGCCCTTCATCGTGTAGAGCTGCTGGTACTTGCCGTCGGCCGACTCGATGAAGCGAGCGTCGAGAAAGCGCTGGCATATTGAACGAGCCATGTCCCGTGCCATGGAAAATGTCGTCGTCGTTGTTGTCGTCACGATGCGCGACGGGTCTTTCGGGTCGGGCATACGATTGGACTGGGAGAATTTGAGCGAGCCCAAGTTGTTGATTGCATCTTCTGACAAAAATGTGTGCTCGACCTTGGTCAGGCGAACACGGTGTGCTGAGAGCGGCAGGAGGCTGACAATCAGGGTAGAGAAGAGATCTTTAAAATCCTTGGGGGCGAATACTGTTAGCAAAACGCATCATACACCACACGCTCAGAGGCACACGGAGGTCCTCACCCTTGTGAACGGCCGATCGTCGTCGGTCATCCGTAGGAGACGGGATGACGTTTGATGCATCTTGCTGTCGCTACGCGGCATGCGAATGGGAGGAGGGAGGTTTGGGTTAGTCTGAGAATACGGCTGGGAGTAGGAGTAGGCCTGTTGAGCTGGCTGGGCCTGCGTGAAAGTCGGCTCTTTGTAAGCGACAGCAGTCTTGTCAGCGAACGGATGGCCGGGGCTCAGCAGAAATTCCAACGAAGGGCTGCCCAGAGGCGAGGCCGGGCTGGAAAAGTTGGACGATGTGCGGTCCAGCGGATAGGTCCCGAACGAAGGCGGAGGTGGAAGAGACAGGGAGAGGGCGTCGCCGCTGAGGGAAAGGCGACTGAGCGACTGCCGAGGGCGAATTTTCTGTTCAGCACTGGCAAGGGCACTCTGAGTGCGATCGATTGCGGCGGCAGCCAAGGCCAATAGAGAGCTGGATCTTGAGCCTCTGTTCGCCGACGTAGGCGCAGACAGGGAACTCGTCGATTGCGTGCTCAGATGGCCACGGGGACTGGGACTGGGAAAGCCGACAAGAGCAGGCAGAGGCGGAACGGACGCAGAGAGACCGACCGGCGGCTGAGAGGTGGAAGAAGACGCGGTGGAGGAAGCAAGCTGCTGCAGTTGGGGAGGGGAAAGCGTGGCGGTGGAATAGCGAAAGTTGGGGTTCAAGTGGTCCCTTCGACCCTCTCGATTGCTCGCAAAGGTGCTAGAAGCCGAGGTCGTGACCGTAGAGAGCGGCTGGGATATTGATGCAGGACGAGAAGACGTGGAAATAGCAGCCATCTAAGACCACAGGAGAAAAGGAAGGAAAGGGGAGGAGAATTAGTTAATAAGACCGGGCGCGGGCGAGTGTGTTAGGTCGTGAGCAGAAAGCATGGCCAGGAGAGCAAGGGGTGTGAGAAAAGAAGCAAGGACCAAGAGGAGAATATTAGCTGAACATGAGGTGCTCCATACAAGAAGTAGTTCGAACAAGCGGCACCGGCAGAGGAGTACCAAGGAGCAGGGCAAGGCGGTGGCAGCGGTGTGCTGGGCTAGGGTAGTGTGCGAGAGAGGGGAGAAGAGAAGATGGGGGGGGGGAGCATACTTAGAAGCCGAGAGGAGGTACGGAGTACGAAGTAGGTTTGAGGAAAACGTTGCGATTGAGTAGAGTGGAAAATGTGGTGTGGATACAGAGTAAGACGGTGTATAATGATTCACCAGCACCCAACTTCAGTCCTGGTTTGGCAGCGGCGACCTTCGCTAGTGTAGGCATGTACAGGTACCTCGGTGCGGTACAGGATAGACAGAGGCTGTTACCCCTCTCCGGGCAATTCCCGGCACCCACGCAGACAAGCAGCCAATCAGGAGTGACAGACTTGTCTAGGGACTCCACACGCCATGCAGACCAGGCAAATGGCAAGACAAAGGAGTCAGATGCCACTGTGATGCGGCCCTCTGGGTGGGGGAGGGTGATAGCAAGCAGACCCACCTGAACGAGACAGGCGTTTCTGAACCCCAGCGATGAATGGCCTGAATGGCCTAGGGCTCACCACAGCACAATGAGCAAGTAGTGGAGTATGTATGAACGGAAGGAACGACAGCTTGAGACAGACCGTAGGGCAGAGCAGGCAGGAACAAAGAAGGAGGGTGCGAAAGGCGAGCATGGGGAAAATGGCATTGTTTTTCCCCTTCTTTTCCTTCTCTTTTTTATTTTATTTTTTTTCGTCTTTCTCGTCTGTTTCGCTTCGGCCTGCACTACGACAGATAACGCGACAGAGACAAGAAGGCAGCGGTGGCTGGGCCAAGGAGCAGGAAAAGAGGCACGCACTACTCGCAGGCGCAAGGGCGCTGTGGGCGCCAGCGAGGAGGCCGGAAAATGGGAGCGCGAAAGTACCTGTACGGTCGTCTACTTTTGCTCGTTTGGGCGGGTAGAGGGTCTGCCCTCGTGGAAAACACGGCCTGGCAGCATGGCGGACAAGATCTGCGCGTGGCTCCAGGGATCTCCCATCCCCAGCCAGGCTGTTTTTGGACAGAAACCCCTGCAGGGCGTGCAGCCCACATTGTACAGAGCAGGCAACCAACAAAAATGCCCCACACCCCCTTGGCATTTCTGCTTGCTGACCTGAGCGGCCAGTGCAGTGCAGAGTACAACAGTACTCCGTACGGCGGGCATGCTGTGTACTACTCCGTATGTACTCCGTACGCCGTCTGTAGTGAAACCTTAGCCGCTGGCAAATGGATCAACACATCGGCAACCCGGGAACGAGAAGCGCGATAGAGACAACGGAAAATTAAAAACGTGCTCGCGCCGGGGGAAAAGAAACGAGCAGAGAGGGCCGTGTGGTGTGAACAAACCAGCTTTTTGCCGTGGTCGACGTGGCTCAGCCGGCCCACCGATGTGCTCCAATGTGCTAATGTGTCGCGCAGGCCGGGAACGGGGAATTTGTCAGATGGGTGGCACCGGCGGTCTCGTCTTTGTCGCTTGGCCGTCCGGTCGGCTGACCGCTGGCAGGACGCGTTCTACTGGTCGCACTCCGTCTCTACGACGTACCTGACAGTGTACGTACTCGCAACCAGCGCAGGCCCTCTCCTCTGACCGTCAAAATCGTACGAGAGAACCAGCAGCGATGACGGCATGGTGAATGGATGAGGCGATGTGCAGTTTTTGGAGCAGGTGTACAGACCCGCTTTTGCGTCCTGACCGCAAGGGTCCGCTAAAGGGGGGGATTGCTCCCAGGACTTCTAAAAAGGAAGGATCGAGATTCTGAAAAGAGTAATCCAATAAAGTAAAACAAAGTAGTCTAGGGACGAGGTAAGAGGTCAAAAAAGGAGTGCCCCAATGGCAACCAAGAAACGTCTCCGGACAGATCGTATTCTGGTGATCCTGGTTCCTTGACGTCTGGAGTTTCGGGAGTTTCCAGCAGAGACCAGACCATAAAACACACGTTACGTGCAAAGCAAAGTTACCTTGCCCCGCTCAAGCCCCTCTTTCACTAACTGGTAGTGAAATTAGCCTCGTTCCAGAAGCAAAATTAGAAGCAAGACGACGAGATTACAGCCATGACGACGGGAGGACGAGGCCAAAACAGCATGAAAAGGGGCCTAGTTTGTCGCAGTAGTCTCCGGGAAAAGAGGGTCCCCTGTTAATCCAGCCGAGGAACGGTCGCGTACTCCGACGTGAGATACACTTCTAGAAGGCCAGCAGGTGTCTCGGATTTCTCGTATGCCAGAAGCAGATGGGGATGTAAGGAGAAGGGGGAAAGTAAGAAAGAGAGGTCAGGAACTGCGAGTACAGCATGGGAGGGGGCCAGATACGGGCATACATATATGGTCACTAGGGCAGAGCTGCCCTGCATTATCTGCAAACCTCCTTCGCAACGTGTCACATTCTTCTCATCACAGGCTCCATATCGTGCATGAATCATCCAATGTGTGCTCGTGTATTCAAATGCTAGCAGACCTGCCCTGTGCAGTCCACAGTAGTATCTTATGCTTAGGCGCCGATCCTGTTTTCTTTCCTTCTTTTCTTTTTTTCTTTCTTTTTCTAATAGTGTGTTCTCTTGTTTGGTGTGCTTCCCTCCCATGCTGACCGACCGACTCGCCACAGTGGGAATGGTACCAGCTCGCGGCGCGTCTCTAGCCGCATTCAGACACGCTTTCCTCTCTGCGCAACACGTGGCTACCGTAATATTCGACCAGCAAAGTGTGACCTTGGCTTATCTGGGGCGGGGAGGTTTTTACAATTCGGCGGGTTTTGTTTCTTCCTGCTCGTTTCCCAACAAATCCAATGCAGCTATCGTAAGATGCTAGGCGCGGCCTAAGCAGCCGTTTAGTAATCGCAGTGGAAAAAGGCCCGCGAAGGGAGCACAAGCTGCACTCGTACGAGTACTATGTATGTACGTTTCTTCTATCCTCCCGATGTGAGATTCCGCAGTCTCGGACCAGCGGACACGAAGCTGCGCCGCATCGTGGGCGCTGTCGAGCGCAGGCCTCGAAAAGGGGCTTTTTTTGGGGGGGGCCACCTCGCCTGATTTTCCTTCCTCCTGCCCGGCCACCGGCTCTCGGCGGCTGCTATCGGCTCACTCTTGCGGCCCACGTGGCGACTAGCTGCTCGTGTCTGTCAGCAGCTCTGTAGTGTGGTAGATTCTTCCTTGCTACGGAGTGCATAGTATCTTAGCATGCATCTTAATAGCAAAACTGCATGGCTGATCGACAAAATAGACAAACGTGCGGTAAGCTCCAGTGTCGCAGGGGACCTGTTCGTAGATACGAGTCTTCGTCGCAGAAAGTGGACTCTGTTAGGTCTCTTTCCTTCGGCTGGCCCGGTGGATCCGTCACATGGTGGGATGCATACGGATTACGCATGGTTACATAGTACGAGTGCACTTGCTCCGTACAGATACCGCGGGGACAAATTTGTACAGAATATTTAAGCCAGCACTAGCGGAGACGAAGTGCAGGTATTACATAGTATGGATCCCTTTATCGTGGCAAAGCCGCACTACTACGCGTACATCCCGCCATTGATGTGCCTCGCAACCTGCTCCGTTACAGAGTGATGTACTCCGTATCTTATGTATCTTACATGCTATGTGCGTCGTACATACGCGATTCTGCTACAAGGTGGAGCGATGCAGCGGGCCTTGCCAGGCACAAATAGCATGTCTTTTGGCCGCTCCGGCAGAAGCCTTTTTTACCATTAAATCTTACGTCGTAATAAACAGCAATGAAATCAATCCGGTGGTGGGGAGCACGAGTGGGAAAGGACCACTCCAGCCGGCAATTCTCGTCCTGTGGTGCGAGAGATGAAGCAATTGGACTAGTACGAGCATTATTAATATTCACAAGTGTGGGAGAGAGAATGGGCGGAACGCGAGTGGGGCGTGCCACGTGGGATTTCAGAGCCACGCAGACAACCCGACAACCCGCATAACCGCATAGCCGCATCTCCATTGGCCGGATGGCTTGGTGGAAAGGCCGCAAGGGAACGCTGACGTCGACTCCGTACTCGTATCGTACTCCGTATCAACCAAGGAGATACGGCGGCGGTGGGCTGGAGAGTTTAGCGAGCTAATTGTGAGGCCGCATCTTCAAGCAGGGATATTGGTATCGCGTTTCATTTGCCACCGTCTTGAGAGAGACACAAAACACTATGGGGCACTCGGAATGCGACGGTCTGCAAAAAATATTTTCCTGCTTCACATGAGATGACAATAATATTATAACTCGTCATAAAAAGGGTCTTTCCGGCAGTCGCCAGGCAAACTGGCGGTCTGGAAGCACAAGCAAGGGCCGGGAAAAGTTCTGCTTATTTTTTACCGCCTCCTCGCCCGTTTTAGCCATAGGGTGAAAAGAGGGGACACAGCGCGAAAAAAAAGCGAGAGACGAAGGCGGAGAGAAAAGCGGTCCTGTCTGCCGACGGAGTACGAGGAGAGGGAGGTTGCAGCCAAATGTTGCCGAGAGGGGAAACAATAGTCGCATCTCTATCGTCAAGTCCCACGTGGCCGGCCATGTGGCAAGATAACCTACTATGTAAGACAACAGCCCAAGGGAAGCTGTATGATGGCTTGCTTTGACAGCAGGTGTTCGGCAGTCGTGCCCGAGCGAGAACGTGCTTCTGAGGCCACTTGAGGCAACCAGGCACGCGCACGTCGGCCCGGTTTCTGTCATCCTAGAGCGCCATGCGTCCAGCCTTGCGGCAGCTGCGAGCAGCCGGGCTTTCTCGAACGGTTGCCCAGCTTAGAAAACGCCCCGTCGCACGGCAGGACACATTTTCCTCCTTCTTTCCCTTCCTCGTGTCTCACCGTGATACCGGTCGTGTTGACGGTGGCGTTGTTCACCTGCCACTTTCCACCCTGCTCTTGTTGGTCAAGTCGCTGCGGTGAAACGGCCATCCTGCCGAAACCTCGCCATTGCTCCCTTGCTCTCGGCCGACGTGGCAATCTCTCTGGGCCACTGAATCCGATGTGCTCGTGTCCATTACAGTCACCATCACGTAAGACGTAAGAGGCAAATCCCTACGCAGACCACAGCAGTACTCCGTAACCTTGTAATACGAAGAAGTGACTGTCTACCGAAAATCTGCACTTTTTGCCCACTTGTCTCCCTATTCGTAATCAGAACTGATCAGCAACAGGTTGCCCGGCTTCATATCCCGATCTTTGGTCTTTTTTATGCCCAGATTACTATGTGAGATATACACGGTAGTTCTTTTCAGATCGCCCTGGCTAAATAATAACACCAACCCTTTTGAAACCCAATGACATCACTAAACATATTCGAGCACATATAGTGAAACATAGCCAGATACCGGACTCCCATCCTGTTCTTCCGTGTCATGACAGCCCTCACAGAGACTTCCTGACCGGTTTGGCTCACGCCAGTGTCGCGCCGGAATCCCGTTTCCAGCCTTTTTGCAGCATGGCGCCCTCAATCGCCTTCCAGATGCTCTCGGCCACCTCCCGGTCCCGCCAGCGGTGTGTCTCGGCACCCGGTACCACGGGCCCTGTCCACTTGTCCACGGCGCACGAGAGCACCCGGTGGCCCCAATCGCGCACTCCTGGCGGCGGGACCTCGCCGCGCCAGCCCACGTACACGCCCAGGACGTGCTTGAACAGCTCGGCCGGATTGTTCCACTTGTAGTTCTTGAACTGCCACGCCTGTCCGGTCGTGAACACGGCCACCACCCGGTTCCAGTATTCGGGCTTGAAGTGCTCCGGGCCTTCGACGAGGATGAACCGCAGCGGCCGCGCCGGGTCAACCTCCTTCATCGTGCGCATCAGGTGCAGCATCGTGGCCGTCGAGCTGTTATCTGGCGGCACGTAGTGACCCGTCTCCAGGAACACCTTGATGTTGGACATGCGCAGCAGGCTCGATGCCGACGGCGACAGCAGTATGATCGGGTCCGGCCGCCGCACCGCTCCCGACTTAGGGTTGAGTGGCAGCGCGGTCGGAATGACCGACTTCTTGTCGGCAGACGCCGCCGCTGCTGCCACCGCCTGCTGCTGTCTCTTGGGCATGAAAGGTACGGCCAGCTTGCGGACATGTGAGAAGTCCTGTAGACGAAGCGTGAGCAAGATGTGAAAGGGAAAGGGAAAGGGAAGGGAGAAAAAAAAAACGTACCGTCGGCTTGATACCGCGAAGGGCTGTGTTATGGTCACCCATACGCCGCTCGCCGCCGTAGATGACAGCCAGGCGCGGATCAAGGATGATGCCGCGTCCTGACCGGGCAGAAGGGACGGCGGCACCGGTGGCAGCCTTGGCGCCGGACACGCCGGTCCCCGCAACGCCGCCGGCCTTGTCGCCGCCGGCTGACTGGATGTACTCGCTCTCCTCGCTGGCACCCTCGAGCCAGGTGATGAGGTCGAGACGCTCGACAAAGGCAAACTTGTGGACCGTGGCAGACGAGCCGGCCGCGGCCAGCTCCTCGTTCAGACGCGTCGCGGCCGCATTGTAGTCGGGAATGGCCACCTCGCGATTGAGCCAGGCAAAGTAGATGGATCGCAGGTCGACCGGCGCGTCACTAGACAGGAACCGCGTCGGCGCATCCACCGGCAGCGCCGTGCTCCGCTGGCCGCCCTCGCCCGCAAACTGGAGGAATTTGGCCTGTGGCAGCGGCGTCTCGGTCGCGTCGGCTGTGTCTGTCGTCGTCGGTACGACCGCCGTGCCCGCTGCAATCGACTGTCGGAGGAAGAGCAGCGGGTCGGCCGTGGCTGTCGCGGACGCCATTCTATCTTTTCACTTTCTCTTCTGATGGAACGGGAACTGGGAAATAGGGGGATGGCGAGAGCTCTCGAGGACAACGCGACCGGAAAACGGAGAGGCGGACTGGCCCGCAGGCCTGGATTCGCTGCTGTAAGAGGCCCTCTTGCGGAATCGACGGCTGGAACTCAACTGGGACTGTCTCTGGCGGCGGCTTGTGTGCTGAGATCGAGATGTCTTGGGAACTACTGAAAAAGAATTGCTTCCAGAGAATTGTCATGACTTATGGTGCTTATCGATAAAGACGCGACGGGTCCACTTTTATATGGCATGCACCTTCCCACCTCCTGTCCTTCTCCGTCCTTCCTCGAGTCCTCTATTCTTCTACTCTCTTCTTCATGGTATTCGCCTTTGATTCTACCTAGAAGCCTAAATTCATAGCAAGATCGTGATGCCCTGACCCAAACACCGGACGTTTCCCAAGTCTCCCAACATAGCATGGAGAAGGAAAAGTCGAATACGCGTGAATGCACATATTTTTCCGAAAAGAAAGCCCTTCTAACCGCCGCAACTAGCCAGTGCCTCAGGCGTCTATCAGCATCGTGTCGTCTCCGTCAAAGTCGGCCCCCTTTGGCTCCAGGGGCACGCCGCGACCGCGTCCGGCCAGCAGCTCGCGGCGGATCTCTGGCCCGATGGCGGCGTGGGTGTGCGTCAGCAGCAGGTCCAGTAGTGCCTCGCGCTGGTCTTCGGTGATGGAGTCGTGGTACCGCTGTGCGAACAGCAGGAAGCTCTGGTGCCAGACGACCGGCATCGCATCAGCGGCCCGCGCGCGCAGAAAATGGATGACGAGCGCGTCAATGACCTGATCGAGGTTAGCTGCTGTGTCGTCTCACGGGGCTGGCTGTCTTCATACCTGGTACGGGAGAGCATAGCGCTTGTCCAGCAGCGCCTTGATGAAGATGCTGATGGCCGACTGGCCCTCGGTGTCGGGAGACAGCTCGGCCGAGATGTCGCAGAGACCCTTGAGCGCGGCACCCGAGTGCAGCACGGGAATGGACGTGCGCACGAGCGCAGCGCTGATGATCTGGGCCTCCCGCAGCGTCGTGGTGCCCGACAGCACGAGCGGGAAGAGGAAGCCCTTGAAAAAGGCGGCCGGCCGGAAGAGGCCCTTCTTGAGCGCCGCAAACAGATGCACGTTGAGCTTCTTGGTGTCGCGGATGTCGTCGCGCACCCGGTCCAGGATGACCATCTCCAGGAAGCGTCGACCAACCTCAGCCTTGGCGCTGATGAAGATCTTGGTCATCTCCTCACAGGCATTAGCAGTCCACTGCTCCGGTTGCGTGATCTCAATCAACGTCTCCCACTGTGGCACCGTCGGGAGGATCTTCAGCGGCTTCGGCAGCTTTCCCGACTTCCATCGCGACAGCAGGATGCCGCACTTGGCGTACACCTCCACCACCTTGGGGTTCAGGTCCAGCTCGCCCTCCTCGTCAAACGCCCCGCCAGCCACGGACCGCTGCTGCGGGCCGGCCTCGTGCTCGGCAATCTTGGCCAGGATGATGTCTGCCAGATTGCGGCCTGGCTGTGCCGACTGTTCCGCCTCGTCCATATGTTCTCCAACATCCTCCTCGGCCCCAGCTTTCTCCGACATCCGCAGGCTCAGGTGCTTCAGTATTGGGTCGTCCTCCTGGTGGCTGGGGAGGAACTTGTCAAACGTAGCCAGGTCGGCCGGATCGATCTCACCCGCTCCGTCGCCGGCGTCTCCGTCGTCTTCGTCTGCCCATTGCTCATCGTGATCGTCAAACGGAGCCTCCTCGTCCTCCTCTTCGAACCGTGTTCCAAACCCAAAGGCATCCAGCTGTTGCTTTCCTGTGCCGTTTGCAGCCTTTTCGTCGCCCTCGACTTCCAGCTCCCGGCCGAGCGCAAGAATCCGCTTCGACGCCTTCGAATCGATGTAGCCCTCGCCCTGCCCGTCCTTGTCCTCGCCTGCCTTTCGCTTTGGCGCCTTTTGCCGCAGGAGCCCTCTGGCTAAAAGGTCTTCGTCAAGGGGATTGTGCCGCCGCGCCGCCTGGCGCGATGCCATGGGGGAAATCGCTTTCGGCATGACTGCTGTGATCAATTCGAAACAGCCGTCAATCGTACGCGCTGTTTCTCGGCCGCTTCGTTCCGTTTCTTGCCCTTGGAACTGGCGCAACACTGGACCGAAATTCTGATTGCAGAAAAAGAAGGGCACAAAAAAAATTATCCGATAAGATAAGCTGCCCCGCCACAGTCACTCGCCACAACCTGACATTTACCGCTGTGATTACCCCACCACTTAAACAGAGTCTGCTCCTTCAGTGCGAATAGCTTCGTAAATCTGCGACAAGTCCAGGGTTCTTATTCATACAGGCATACAATTGAATAGTTCTTTCTTACATAAGTATCCTGTGACAACTAGTACTTCTTCTATCGTTCAAAATGCCGACTGAGTTGGAGGAGGTGAGCTCAACAGAGGCTATATAAGACGGCCTAGAACACTTATTTCCCCTTTTGATGCGATGGAGTTCACAAGAGGTTAACATACGGTATAGCTGGTCGGCTTCATTGTCCATCCAAACCCGCAGATAAGACTGCTGGCCACTGAGAATCTAGTGCCATACTCGAATTCACAGCCCTCGATATTCAAAACAGACAATTCACTCCCTTTGAAAAATCTCAAACTCCTTGTTGCAGACCACCCTGTAAGATTCTATGTCCAGTACTTTTCATTGCCACCAGACAGACAGCTAACGCTATTTCCAGAAAATCGCTGAACATGTCATCACAATACTCATCAACCTGTCTGGTGATCCGGAAGTATTGAATAACTTGGCCTCGGACCAGAAGTTTCTTGACCTCATCTTTGCCTGTGTGACGGTACGTACGCCTTTATATCGCCTTTATACGTAAGGGCAGGGAAAATAAATTTAGCCTGGAGCAAGATATCATGACTAGTTCTGACAGTGTGGTACCCCAGAATGAAGCCGAGCCCAATGCAAACTTGATGGCCATGCTACTGGCCAACTTGGCCAAGTCAGATGATCTGAAAGGGATATTGGAGCGAACACAAAAGCCATCAGAGAAGCTCAGCTCAGATGATCGTGTTATTAACCAGCTTATGGATCTCTTTGTGAAAGGCTTTGACGGATCATTCAACAAGAATGCGGATTACGACTATCTGGCGTACTTTTTTGCCGACATGGCCAAGCACGCCGAAGTGCGGCAACACCTGGTGACAAAGCAGCCTTACGACAACGTTGTTCCGATTACCAAGATTACGGTTTTTACGAACCACAAGTCCGATGTCCGGCGCAAAGGTGTGGCGAGCATGCTTAAGAATGTGGCTTTTGATGTACCCAGCCACCCGGCCTTCCTTTCGGATGACGAGATCAACCTGCTCCCATACCTGCTGCTACCATTGGCAGGGAATGAGACATACGACGAAGACGAGATGTTGGATATGCTGCCCGACCTCCAGTTCCTACCGCCCGACAAGCAGCGTGATCCAGACAGCAGCATCCTGCAGACGCATGTCGAGACACTGACGCTCCTCACAACAACCCGGGAGGGACGTGATTTGATGCGACGGATCCAGGTTTATCCACTTATCCGCGAGACGCACCTGCGGGTAGACGACGAGGATTTGCGGGAAGCCTGCGATCGGCTAGTGAACGTGCTTATGAGGGATGAGGCCGATACAGGGGCTGTCCCACTTGCCGAGGAGGAGGACGAAGATGAGCGGATAGTCGAAGTTTGAAGGCTGTTGACAGCAACTTTGGAGGCAGGAACGCCAATTGGCTGGTACCCGCTTGTCGGGAGATGAGACATAGAGGGTGCAAGATTGACCTCGGGGTTTTGGCGCATATATTGGATGAACACCGTCAGTTCCAACTGCACAATGGGACTGGATGCTGAGGGATATGTACGTTTATGGCAGAAGTGCAGACGGATCGGCATATCTACGTGCTCGGGACTGCACGCCCGGGTCCAAAGCCTGATGGGTTCTCTTCTGTATTTTTCACACTCTAGCGGCAGGACGTGTGCTGGTGGCACACGGGCCTATCAAAATCGAGCAAGTAGATCAAATTCACAAGACCTCTTGTTTGAGTCAAGCAATAAAGCCAAGAACAGGTTGGATGGTTGGATGGCGGCTTTGCCGACGGAAGAATGCCAAGCGTCCAAGCGGCAAAGTATCTCGTGAAAGCTTGTGGTGTTGAACCCAAGATGCTGGAGTGGAATCGAACTGAAATCCGAACAGCGTTCATGATGCCAAGATTTACTGTCGGCGAGTAGTATGGGCATGTGTATGGGCATGTACTCGGTACAGCAACACCTTGCCTACAGTACATCTAGCCATTGTCGCTAATGCCATCGGTCTTATTACGTATGCGTTTGATTTCTGGGACCATGTCATCTATGCTGTATCTCGAATGATACCTGCCAAAAGGAGTAAGAAGGCGGGCCAGTAAGCAAGTTCAGGCAACTGCAGCGGATCGGAAGCACTTGGCGAGAAGTCAGTTGTTATGCTGAGGCGGCCATTATCGGTGCTGGCTGAAAAGGCATTCTGAGACGTGGTATGACTTCCATATCGGAGACGGCCGCAGACGGCCTTTTGCACGCGCCAAGAAGAAGCCAAGAGGCTATCAAGCAGGGCCGACGAATTCATGCACACTCCGTGTAGCTCCTGGCCAGTGAGGCCAAAACTGTTGAACCGCGTGGTAGTATAAAGTCACCCCATTGGCCGGTTAGGGCGGCCAGTCGAGAAGGCTGTTGTGGGGGTCCAGGTCAGAAACATTCCGTATCACAGATGTATTGGTAGTGTGATTCGTATGCGAGAGCAGCGGTAGGAAAGAGCCTAAAAACATGGACAGATTCGTCTGGGGCGAGACTTTTTCGTGCTCGGAAAGAGCTGTCGTTGATTTTGATGTTCCAAATAAACACGAATCAGTGGGGCGTGGTTAGAAAGGCGGAGGGAAGCGTGGCAGAGGAAACCAATCAGGAGCGGATGGTGCGCAACGTGCTGCCATTCGTAGGGCTCTTGCGGAGAGCTGGTCTGTGCGCATGTAGCTCTCCCTGAAAGTGGGGCGAGAAGTGCATATGAAGGAAATGACATGGAGACGACGGAGACGACACAGGGACGAAGAAGGGAAGAGTAGCGGTGCTGCCTTCCGTTTCCAGCGAATTGCGAATGCACGAAATTGCAACGGGCCCAGCAGTGGGTTTGGTGCTAAACTCTAATGCCAAGACGCTATTGCCTGCTGATGAAGCTGCAGCATCTGCGAGTACTCGAGCTCTGCAACGTGCACATGGCCGGGGTCTAGACGACTGGCCTTTCCGATAGTGTTCTGCTGAGGCGGGCTAGAAGGATTCTCCAGGTGGATTCTTCATTGCCCACGAGACATGAGGTGAGGCCGTCGAGGCACGTGTCCGGCCACGATGCGAGACAGAGGGAAGCTCGAATGTTTCTGCAGCCACAAATGAACTCGACCGGCGAGCTAGCATATGCGAGAGATGCGACACACTTTGCCGTATCGACGGATGATGGGGCGGTCGTGGCCTCCAAGGAAAGACCGAAACATCTCACCGAGCACTGCCAACCATTACGGAAGAGGTGTGGGAGGTAGGCCTGGTCGTGCGAGAAGCTGCAGGCCACAACGTTGAATGAAGTAGGGGCTCAGTTCCTGAAGGATGCACGCAGCACTTGGTACAGGGTGCTCGGTCTCTGCATCTAGAAGCAAGCTGTGGCCCCTGGCAGAATATGCTCTGTATTTTTCAGCATTAGCAACCGTTGCTTGCTCGAAAAGGGGAATGTGGTGGAGGGGTGTCGTTATCTGACGAGAGCAATTGTCCACGTTAAGAGAGGGCAGAAACGGGACGGCCGACTGCCTTTTTCACCCTTTCCCTCCGATGGCTGCTGGGCCTTATAAGTCATTGCTATCTTCCCCCCTACCTCGCTTCTTTCTGATTCTCCCTCTCCTCAAGGCCTCTTGATCATCTTGTCTGCTCACCCACAATCGATCTTCGTTGATTGTGCGTGTCGACTTGCCCTTCCTTCATAAATCCCTTTTCCTTTTTTTATCCCCCCCCCCCTCCCTTCCAACAAGATGGTCGAGATCGAGCAGAAAACGGGCGGTGGCAACGCTGCCTACCACAACTTCCACAACGACTTTGTGCATATCCAGGACCCCAACGAGCGTCGTCGTCTCGCGCTCGCCGAGGTCGACAAGGCGCCCTTTGGCTGGTATCATGTGCGGGCGATTGTGGTGGCTGGCGTCGGTTTCTTCACCGACTCGTACGACATCTTCTGCGCCTCTCTGCTCACCACGATGCTGGGCATCGTCTACTTTCCCGGGAAGGGTGCCATGCCCGTCTCCTCGGACACGGCCATCAAGCTGGCCACGTCCGCTGGCACGGTCATCGGACAGGTCTCCTTCGGCGTGGCTGCCGACATTGTGAGTCGCGGGAGCCGCAGAACATCCAGAGGGACGGCAGCTGACCAGATGCACAGCTCGGTCGCAAGAAGATGTACGGTCTTGAGCTCATCATCATCATCTTCGCCACGCTCGCCCAGGCTCTGACGAGCAGCTCTGCGTCCATCAATATTGTCGGCGTCATCATCTTCTGGCGTGTAATTATGGGCATTGGTATCGGCGGCGACTACCCGTTGTCTTCGATCATCACGTCTGAGTATGTGGTCTTTCTTTCTTCTCTTTCTCTCTCTCCTTCTCCCTCTCCCCCACTAACTGTTCAGGTTTGCGACGACCAAGTGGCGAGGTGCCATGATGGGTGCCGTGTTTGCCATGCAGGGTCTCGGCCAGCTGACGGCTGCCTTTGTCATGCTCTTCGTCACGCTCGGCTTCAAGGAGTCGCTGGAGACGTCGACCAAGACGGCCAACTGCACGGGCGTCTGCGCCGTTGCCGTGGACAAGATGTGGCGCACGCTGATCGGCTTTGGTGCCGTGCCCGGCTGCATCGCGCTGTACTACCGCCTGACGATTCCGGAGACGCCTCGCTACACCTTTGACGTTGCGCGCGATGTGGAGAAGGCCGACGACGACGTCAAGGCCTACATGAGCGGCAAGCGTGAGGGCAACCCCGATGAGATCTCACGCATTGCCGCCCGACAGGCTGCGTCCGAGCAGCTCGTCGTCAACAAGGCTGGCTGGCGGGACTTCCTGGACCACTACTCGCAGTGGAAGAACGCCAAGACACTTGCTGGGTGAGTTTTTTTTCTTTGTTTCTTCTCTTCTTTCTTCCCTTCTCTTCTTTCTTCTCTTCTCTCTTCTCTCCTTTCTTCTCCGCCCTAACACTTCAAGTACTGCCCTCTCGTGGTGCTTCCTGGACATTGCCTACTACGGGCTATCGCTGAACAACGCCACCATCCTGAGCGTCATCGGCTACTCGACCTCGGGCACGCACAGCACGTACCAGTACCTGTACAACACGGCGGTCGGCAACCTGATCATCGTGCTGGCCGGCGCCGTGCCGGGCTACTGGTTCGCCGTGGCGACTATTGACACCGTCGGCCGCAAGCCGCTTCAGTTTGGCGGCTTCGCCATCCTGACTGTGCTCTTCATCGTCTTCGGCTTCGGCTACAACCATATCTCGTCGCACGGCAAGCTCGCCATCTACGTGCTGGCCCAGTTCTTCTTCAACTTCGGTCCCAACACGACTACGTTCATCGTGCCCGGCGAGTGCTTCCCGACACGCTACCGCTCGACCTCGCATGGCCTCTCGGCCGCGCTGGGCAAGATCGGCTCCATCATCGGCCAGGGCGCCATCGCGCCGCTGCGTACGCGCCATGCCACGGCCAAGAACAAGAACCCGTGGATGAACCACGTGATGGAGATCTACGCCCTCTTCATGCTGCTCGGCTGCTTCTCCACCCTGCTGATTCCCGAGACGAAGCGGAAGACGCTCGAGGAGCTGGCCGGCGAGGACATCCATGTGGCGCCCTCCGACGGCGGCGTCGTCTCCGAGGTCAAGACCGACTCCGAGACATAGAGTGGCGGGCTGGAAGAGAGCTTGTCGTGGCGTCACGTGTCGTTCCGCTCTTGTATTACAATATTCGTTTACATGCATACCATCGACTCGTTCCTTTATCTTTCCCTACCTATCCTAATATCACATATAGATTCATATTTGTCTGTGTCTTGTATGTTGCTCCTTTGTAGATATATGAGCAGCGGGACATCTCGGCCCCTTGTCTATGCACGTCTATCAAGCACCACGATCTACACGCAGAGGTCAGAAGGTGGGAAGAGGAGTAAAAAGAAAAGAGAAAATCAATAGTCCTATGCATGCTTTGTCCAGTGTTATACGCAGATGCCCAAAAGAAGCACGCACCACCCCGAGTCCTGAACGCCAGTGCAATATCCCAACAGCAGTAGCTCGCGCCCGTCCGGTTTAGACGCCAAGATGCCGTTTTAGCCGCTCGTACGTGTAAAAGGCTGCGGCAGCCATGGGCATGACCTTGACGTAGCCAATGGTCAGGCCGACGAAGAAGCCGCGCAGGCCGCGTTCGTGCATGATCAGCCGAGCGGTCTCGGCAATGTTGAAGCGATGGCCGTCGCCGACAGCGCCGCCGACCTGCATGCGGCGGCGGATGACCTCGAGAGGGTAGGACGCAGTCTGGGAAACGAGACCAGCGATGCCGCCGGCCAGCAGCTCGGCCCAAGCGCGCAAAGGAGCGGGCTTTCCGGGCGGCGCGTTGGTGGGCTGGGGGAGGGTGGTCCAGGCTGCTACCAGCGGTAGGCGCAGCAGGTCGCCGCAAGTGTCGTGGGTCAGGAAGGACATGCCGGCGTAGGGCAGCATGCCGAGGATGGTGGGGGAGAAGCCGCGGTAAAAATTGATGATACCGGAGCGGGGAGGCGCAAGAGATGGTGTTTTTGCCATTGACGAGGCGGTTGTGGCTGTGGTTGCAGTGGCGGTTGCGGTTGCGATCGCAGTCGCCGGATGCTCGACGTAGATGCGCCGACAGATGGAGAGGAGCGAAGAATGAGTGTCCCGACGGGTCTCAAAGGCGAGGCGTACGCGGATGAGCTCGAGCGGGTATGTGAAGAAGACGGAGGTGACGCCGGCCAGCGAGCCGCTCAGCAGGCGGCGCAGCGGGGTCTCGTGCTCCTTGCGGGGGATGATGAAGGAGCGAATCTGCTCGTAGGCGAGAAACTTGACGGCAGCGTAGGGAAAGACGCGCAGCAGAGTGGCGGAGTGGCCACGGAAGAGGCCGAGAGGGCCGTCCTGCTGGTAGATGAGGCGCATGGTCTGGGCGACACCGGCCCACGAGCCCGAGTACTTGACGTACTGCGGGTTGCTGGCCTGGAAGAGGATCTTGACGCGGTCGAGGGGAGCCACGATCGTTTTTGCCTAAAGGTTAGTGTACGCTGTATGGAGATATATGGGTGAAACAGAATCAACCTACTGCACATCCAGCCAGGCCGCCTGCGACACCAGTCCGCCAGACGTACGAGAAGCTCTGCTTGTCGATCTGTCCGTCGATGATGGCTACCGGCAGGGGTTCGGCCCCGGCAGCGGCGCCAGCCACCACGTTGCCATTGCTGTCGGCGAGTTGTCGGTCGGATGCAGCGGCCGTGGTGACCTTTGCGCCCGTGGCTGCCGTGGTCGAGTGCCCGCCTGGCCGCGGCTGATCGACAATCTCTAACATGGCGGAAGCGGAGATGGAGACGACAGACGGGGATGCATGGCTTGCGACAACCGGGCGAAGAGGAGGTGGAACAGCAAGGAGTTTTGTCTGCAGAGAAAAGAGGCCGGAGATATGCGGGGAGAAAGGCGAGTATCCGCGGCTAAAAGCTCCAATCCTGGGGAGGAAAGAGCGAGACGGCTTATGGGGAACAGCAGCGCTTTCGATGACGCAAGTAAAGCCGCCTGGCACAACGAGATGCCGGAGCAGGCGGCCTCTGTTCAAGACGGGCGACGAGCTAGAGGGCGTCTGTCTTTCAAGAGGGCGTCTGAAAAATAAGATCAAAATACGGAGTATAAAAAGATAAAAAAAAAAAGATTGGGCACGCGCAGGACGAAAAGACGGGGAAAATGTGTCCGGGCTTGCGGAGGTGGGGTTCTCTACCGGAACAGCCAATGACTAATGGTGGATACGCTGACCTCATCACATGTCTTCGTTCCCCCAGATTAACCCCGGCAAAGCAGCAGGGCAAGCCGACAGTTGCCGAGCCCAGAGGCCGAGACACAGCTACGACAGAAAGCGACCGTTCCGCGGCTGATGCCTCCATCGTCGGCCATCCTGTACGAGAATGCGGCCGGCACCATTGTCGTTGTCGACGTGCCCCGGTCGATTGAGGAGGCTCAGGACGTCGAGCCGGGCGCCGGACGAAGGTGGCGTCTGGTATCGGCACCACCGCCGACAGAGCCGTTTCCGGAACCGTTGCATGGCCGCGGACAGGACCGACCGGATGGACGCGGGTTGTCGGCACAGCTGGCCGAGCTGACGACGCGGGCGGCCGTCGAGGGAGCGCTGGCCGAGCTGAGCGAGAGCGGTTTCCAGGGGCCATGGTGTCTGGAGAGGATCGAAGGAGGAGGTGGAGATGGAGGTGAAGAGAGCAGCGCGTCGAAGCCGTCACCACCGCCATCCATACCGCCTGGCGCTCGCTGTCTGGCCGGCACCATTGCAGCCTATCGATCGATCTTTCTGGCCGAGGCCCCGACCTTTGACCTCGTCGTGCTGGACCCGCCGTGGCCCAACCGGTCAGCCCGTCGACGAAGACGGGGCCAGAAAAAACGGGCTGCCGATGCCGCCGATGCTGCCGATGTTGGCTATACGACCGTCGCCGACATGGACGCCATGCGGGCCCTCCTCGAGGCTGTGCCCGTCGGCGCCAAGCTGGCCAGCTCGCGTGGCACGTCTGCCGGCCTCGTGGCCGTCTGGGTGACGAACAAGTCGGCCTGTATTGACCTGCTGACGCACCCGCACAACGGCCTGTTCCGCGCCTGGGGCGTTGATCTCGTCGCCACCTGGACCTGGCTCAAGGTCACGACGGCTGGCGAGCCGGTTGTGTCGGCTGCGTCGCCGTGGCGCAAGCCGTGGGAACGTCTGCTGCTGGCACAGACACGTCCGGTGGCCGGGCTACCCCCAGTCCGCTGGCATCTCCCGCCCGATCGCGTCATCGTCGGCGTGCCCGACGTGCACTCGCGCAAGCCCAACCTGCGCCCGCTCCTCTGCCCGTTCTTGGTTGGCGGCGACACCCAGCGGCCGCTCGTCGGGCTCGAGGTCTTTGCCCGCAACCTGACTGCCGGCTGGTGGGCCTGGGGCGACGAGGCCTTGCTCTTCCAGCAGAGCGCTTGGTGGCGCCAGGACGACGTCGAGGATGTCGAGGATGCCGAGAACTCGATTTCCAGGGCCACCTAGTTTCGGGCACACAGAACCAAACAATATAACAAGAATCTTGATACGATAAATCATGCATGCTACATGAGTATTTTCCGCTTCTCCGTCCCCTCCTCCCTGGTATCGCAGACATGAATGCAAACCACCATCCGGCAGGGTGCATGGCCATCAAACAGTCACGTCGAGGGTCCGCTTCAGGTTGGCCTTGATCGCCTCGACGTCGCCGTCGTCCATGGAGAGAAAGTGGATCTGGTTATGGGTACAGGTCAGGTCTTGGTCTAGGTCTCTGGGTCGGTCTTTTATGTACTCACCACGTCGTCGGTCGCGACTGTGCCGCCGTAGAGTACCGCGTCCGACACGCTCACGTTGATGCCGTTCTTGACCCGCTCTTCCCAGACGTGTTCCCAGTTCCACTCGCCCGGCTCCCGGGCCGGAGCCGTCGTCGGGGCGGACTGTCGGCGATGTGCGCGCCACGCGTGCCACGCGCCCGGGTTGCCGGCAGATTCGAGCGGGATGGCGTCGAGGACAGTCGCGTCGTCAAAGGTGCTGCGGATGTAGCGCAGCACGTCGTACGTGGCCACGTCGTCGGCCCGCGGCTGCGTCTGCATGTAGGAGGGGGTGCTGGCGATCGAAGCCGAAGTCGAAGCCGTAGCAGCATCGGCAGCATCGGCAGCATCAGCTCGAGGAGGCGTCTGCACCAGCGACGCCGACTGCCGGCGGGCAGCACCCTGGCTGCTGAACCAAACCGGAAAGCCGTGGCGCAGACTGAAGCCACCCGGTGGCAGGTTCTCGTCGTCGGCCGCGCTCATCGTCAGCGGCGTCACGAGCGGGTGGAAGATGTCGGTGGCAAAGGTGATAAGCGGAGGCTGGGCTGGATACCGCTCGGGAAACACGATCTGGAAGCGCAGGATGGCCGGTGCATAGGGGCCTAGAGGAGAGGAAGAGAGGTGAGAAAAGAGAGAGAAAGAGAGAAGAGAGAGAGGGAAGAGAGAGAAGGAAGAAGAGAAGAACAGAAAGTAACAAAAAAGCTCCGGCCACCTACCATCTCGCACAAACAATACGCCCGTCCAGAGCGCCGGGTCGCCCGGCGTGAGACTGACAAACACTCCGGCCGGACAGGCTTGTCGAAATCCGACACTGTCATCGCGTCAGGGCTGATGAAAGGCGGTGGACAGCGGTGCAGACTTACAATTCGGCCAGCAGGTTCTGCCGTCGCAGCGAAGGTAAGCCGGTCAGCCTAGAAAGATCCATTTTTCAAAACAAGACACCATGTCCCGGAAACCAGACAGCACGGACAGTCACCGCGAGGCGGGAGAAGCACAGAGGACGACGGCGGATCCGAGACTCAGCCGTCCGTGCAGATGAGTTGCCCGAATAAGAAGGCGGTGAAGGTGGTTGGATGATTCTGCCACCGTGTCTGAGGGGCTAAATCGTAGTGGCGAAATGAAGCCGTAGCCTCGTCTCGGGATCGAGAGAGATCGACAGGTCATGGCAAGAGTGAAACCCGGTCTGTGCCGGTTGTGTCCTTTTTTCAATGGCTATGTATGTGCATGCGCAGCTAATCGTCCGAATTCTGCCATCCTTCTTTGTAGCTCTTTCTTGGCTGCTCCTCGTCGTCGCCCATTCCCTCAGGCTCCCAGCCGCCGCTCAATCTTGCCCTTCTCCTGCGCGTGAATCTGCGCCAGCTCCTCGCGCGTCGAGTCGAACCGACCGGTCACCTGGTTGAACGGGTTCTCCGGACTCTTCTCAAACTCCTTGCGCAGCCGCTCCTTGCGCTGGTTCAGCCGGAGGCCCTTGCCCGACCCGTCGTTGTCCATCTCCTCCAGCCGCCGCTCTTCAAAGGCTGCATACGCCGCCTTGAATCGCCGCTCCGGGTGCCGGTCAATCGCCCCGGCTCCCGATGCCGCGTCGTGGTCGAGCGACAGCGCGTCGAGCGCATTGTCGATGCCCGATGCGTTGACTGCCGCCAGGCTGCTGTCGTCGCCGTCTAGCTGCGACAGGTCTAGTTTCCGCGACGGAGCCGTCACCGCCGCTGCCGCGCTCGTCTTCTTGCCGGCTGACTTGGCATTCTTGGGCGCTGCCCGGCCAGGCAAGCTGCGCTCCTCCTCGGCTAGCAGCGCCTCGCGCTCGCTCTTCTTGCGGGCCTGTTCGGCCTTTTTTGCAGCCTCGGCCTCTCTATCGTCCTGGTCAGCAGGACAGACGCGAAAACGAAAGACGACAGAAGAAAGAGGGAAAAAAAGAAAGGAAAAAGAAAGGAAAACAATAAAATAAAATAAAAGAAGGAAAGAAGAAAAGAAGGAAAGAAGACGAAGAGTCAGGAATGACAACAAAATCACTCTCCAGCGGGGCCGCGGACTGTGCAGAATGCAAGGCGTCTGCCTGGTCTCACTTTTTCGCATTGCTCTTCGACCCCTTGGTCCACTCGGCAGACTCTGTCGCCTCCCGCTGGGCGTCTTCTGCAGCTGCTTTCTGCGAGGCCGCATCCGCCTTGCGTGCCTGTCCCTGCGCCTTCTTGCTCATGTCGCCGCCCTTCTTGCCACCAGCCATGACGATGTGTCGGATTAGGGAACAAGAGATGCTTGTGGGGGTGGGTTTCCTATCCTGTTGAAGCTGTTGTGCTGCGTTACGTTGTATGCGTCCCGGCCGCTCCGGCGGACAGATGGAGATGATGCGGTGGGGGGAAAGAGAAAGGAGGTTGCGGATGGCCTGTTGCGATTGCAGTTTGCTGGCTTTTCCGTGTCTTGGGACAGCCTCGAATTTTCTCCAGCTTGCCGCCCTCACCAAATGCCTTATTTCGTCACTCTTGCAGACAAAGCATAGAACAGGCTAAGTGGGGTGCGTCTTAGTGGGGCTGCTGCAAACCAGCTGTCGCCTAAACTTTGTGTTGTCCGTTGAAAAATCGATTGTCTGCCCTTTACGAGGTAGAACAGGGCCATGTTCTCGCTTACCGTCGCCCTGGCTTCCAGAAAGTACATAGAGGTCTGCAGTGCATAGCAAATGAAATAACGCAAAGCACTCAAGACCGCACTGCCTACCATTTATGTGTCCACCGAGTGTAGGGAGCTCTTGTTCCTGTAAGGTTGTGATTCGATGAGGTGATGAGATATGGATGATTGCCAGCCAATACTTCAGTCAGGCCTATACATCTCTTGTACCGGTGTCTGATTCTGTCGACTCTATCAGCAACCAAGGCTTCACAGGGTGGTCCTCGAGGCTGAGACTCGATCGATTACAATCCCATCATACGTGCTTGCTGTGCTATCTCAGCTTGAGAGTGGCTGTTTCGGAAATGTGGGAAGAACGAAGCTCACCATGCGCTGTGCAAAGATGTGTTGTGGCAACTTCCTATCAAGATGAGAGCATTTTTATTGATTACTGCAAGATTTCCCAGGCCTGATTCTTCAAGCTTACTTCCCTATTTCTTCTCAGTCTGTCCCGTCCCCTGTCAGCTGTAGGTCCATATTGCCCATTCACTAGCTGTCCGCCTGAATCGCTCACATTTCATTAGTTTCCCTGTTAGAAGCAATGCCAGCAGCGACGATGCCAACAACAGCACCGACAGCAAAGCAGCCAGGCGTATGCATACACTGACCATGCAATGTAGAAAATGAAACCCCCTCGCCCGGACAAATGCCGCCCCATTACAGGCACACCTGGGCTCGGCGCTCTTTCCCGTGCAGCGGGAGAGAAAAACAAATTGAAATAGAACAAACCAAATCACAGGCCAACCCTCAATCAGCGCATCATGCGGCTGGAACCCGTTCCGAGTCCGTTGCATGCTGCAGCAGAGCCGTACAAAGGAACGTCAGCCAATGAATTTTAACGACGCGCCCTGGTCGGCAAATCCGAAGCAGCGCAACGGCGTCGCTACTTCTTGATTGGCGGTCCCGTCAGTCGACCTTTTCACCTCTTCCTCCTCTCCATATGCAGATTACCCAAGGCGGTATACAACGAACTGCTGCCGTCACAGCGACATCGTCATGTGGGCCCTGCGGTGCACAACTGGCCGACTTGGCCCCCCAACAGCCATCCTGCTCGTCTGCTCATGTGCGAACAGACGCCTGGGCGGCCTGATGCGAACCGTTCTGCTCGACCCGTACCCACTTCCACTGCTGTTCGTCGACGCCGGCTGCTTCGACTGCCCCCTTTCCCTTGGTGCATGTACCTGATTTCAAGGCATGGACAATGTCCTATGTCGTGGAACGCTCGTCCTTAGGCATACTCCCCTCTTCCGCGTCTTCGTGAGCGCATCAATGTGATGAACTGCTTCCGTGCCATTGTCTGCGCTGGCAGATCTCGTCGTCTCCAATATGCCTCTTACCATGGGCCCCTCATGCAAGGCAGTGCTACCTGCACGACGCGGTCTTGTGCTCTGTTTTGCCACCTATTCCGGCCTTTTCCTGCTTTCTGCTTTCTTCTGCCTGCTCCTTCGCCTCGCACTCGTATGTTGCCCTGTCAGGACTCGTCGTTGTCCTTGGGTAGTGTCGCTTATTGAAATAAAATTATACACCGAGCTCGCTATTCCTGTTTCCAATCTCAGGCATGCTTTCTTCTTTCAGACCACTCTGGCTTTTTAGGTGCTGGGAACTCCTTGTCTTCTGGCCGGTATCATGCTGTGAAACGGCTTTCCTGCATCGGGGAGTGCTTCCGGAAATTAAACACACCAGAATCATCTGCGAGGCGTCGAATGTCAAGTCGGTGCTCCCAACACGACCGAATCGCTGTGAGAGACTAAAAAAAGCATGCAGAGCCAGCCGGTGCAAATGTTCGTGCCACATATTACCGACAACGAGCTGCAATGCAGCCCGTCCCAACAGCAGGTCTGTGATGTAGAAAAAACGGTTTCATCACACCCGCAAGCTGCCGTTTGAAACCATTTGACCACTTCGGCCGCCAAAAACAGAAAACGAGCGACAACACGCGGCACGAGCGGCACGGAGGACGACAGTGAACGGTGAGCCGACATGCATGATGTGAGAGGCTAGGGAAGTTACGGGACCCCGAGAAGCAGCACGACGTGCATGGAGGAAGTGGCCTGCTGGCAGTAAGAGCATGTTCCATTGCATGTACTCGTACTTTCGCATGGTTGCGGTGAGCAACGGCTGCGAAACATGGCCGATCAACTGGCCAGCGGAGTCGATGTAGCTCCTACTCTGGAGGTAACCGTGGTCAGCCTGTGGCCGAGACGACACATCCTCTCACATGTCCCTCTCCGGCTTCCTTCCTAGGAACAGCCTGAGCGATGCCAACGCTAGACAAGTAAGATCGCCGGCACCCAATCTGGCCCCAGCCGAGTGAAACGCCTCATGCTGGCAGAGGATCCTCTGATAAATTGCATAAGAGTGTCCGCACCGGTGTACAAGGCCTTGCATGGACCGGCTGCCCGGCCTAGCCGCCGACAGATCACATTGAGCGTGAGGTGGTCGCCAGCGCAAAGCGCGGCAATGCCCAAAATTCAAGAGAAAAGGACAAGGGGGGAGTGTTTCCAAGGTTGCGACGTGGGCCACTTGGGCACCGACATATCTAAATGAACCGCATATATTCCCGATATTGCCTGAGCAGGCTTGCTCAAGCCTGCTCAACGTGGCATCCTGTGGGCTGTAAGACCGATGTAGCTCAGACTGCTGCGGCCACATGGCCGCGTCTGGAGACCTGAATGAGACTCGTCAGAAAAAATCTCAGAGAGGGAGGGCAGCCGGAAGCCCCACCGGAACACTTCCTGTAAACAGGTTCTCTCACACGTCGTAAATCAAGGATGGAGGTGGAGCAGTTGACGGGCACAAGAAGGAAGTCGCGAGAAGCAGAAACGGACCCGTGACATGTATAAGTCGACCCTAAGCACCAGACAAGTGACGGAAGCCGGAAGCCGGCGGATATGCAGAGGAAGACATGCCATAACTCTGTTCTGTAGATGTTCCCCGAGCGCAATACACAGTACGAGTACAGCTTGCTCGTCACGATGCCAAATGGAGCGGCTTTCCCCGTCAACAAATCTCCATGGGCTCTTTCGTACTTAATTTCAACGGCAGTCCGTTTGATCCACCGGCCAGCTGAGCAAAAGCAAGCGAGTGACGCGAATGGACGGCCGTCCATTTGGTTTGGCTAAAGTAGCCCAGCCAGCCCGCGTCTGAAACGGCTCTGAGCTCGGGAGCTAATACTCCGTATGAGGATGATCCTGACAGTCTGGTTTTGCTCCGCTGTAGCGCCTACGCCGCAGAAAATCGAGACAGCACCAGCCTCGTCGGCAGACAGCGAGCCGGCCAGCAGTCGGTCGCCATGCTGCAATATCATAGGTGCACTGCCGCACTGCCGTATTCTGCTGCACTCTCCCAAAACGGCGAAGCAGTTTTGTGTGTGAACAGTAGCGCCAAGATTAGGCAGAAAAAGCACCGTATGGCTCGGGACGCTTTGCATAAGACGTCTTTAGGACGAACCGCCGATACGACATCCGTCTACGATCTGCATGCTGTCTGGTGAGTTTGGGGCGGGAAGGCGTCTGCCGTGTGGTTTCGGGGAAATGAAGAGGCAGGGATGTCTGCCAGCCTTCCAGTGATAGGCGGATTCGGGGTCTTACTCATGCTGCCATGGCCAATCCAGGTTAAGGATTGCACGAATAAAAGTACGACGTATTCCGTAGTCCGTATGAGTAGACGCTCGCGCAGCAGCGTGGAAAGAGAACGGGACCGACCTGTTGTCGACGCTCGACGATCCCTCGGGCTTTTAATCACGGTTGCAGTTGATCGTGTGATTTCCAGCTGTGCTCGTGTCACTTTATATCTTGCTCCATATTCCGTTGTTCGGTTTCCATGCTTCGAAGCAAGTTGTCCATGCGGATCTGCTGGGTGCCGATCGGTTGCAGCAGATTTTCTATTTGTGACTTGCCTGGCCGAACCGATGAAGCATCAATGTCCAGGCTCCCGGCACGCCCGAAATTGCCTCGTGGCAGTCTTGGGTTCCTTTGTCGAAAGTCGAAATAGCAGAGGGCGATGGATGGATGCGGAGTGGTATCACTCCACCCACAAATATTTCCACAGCCGCACTTATCGGCTCTCTCCCGTTGTTCCGGAGGGCTAGCCGGGCTTTTTTTCCCACCCTTTTACATACCGATGTCCCTAACACGCGTTCTTATCTCACCCTTTGCGAGCAAACCCGAGCCTATGCCTGGTTGGAGACGGGACATAACGCATCTCGGCTCCGCGGCTCGCACTCCGCAAACCAGCTGCAGGCTAGTCTTTTCGTCGGCGGAATAACTTGGCATGATCGGAAAAGGGTTGGTGTGTGCAGAGTACGGAGTACTGGGATAAGATGTGCACGAAGCTGTGCTCTGTGCTCTGTGCTCTGTGCTCTGTCCAGTGTCTTCGGTAGCTCTTGCATTGTTAACGAGGTGTCCATAGCAGAGCGGCACCTTCCGGGTTAACAAAAGCACCACCGGGGAAGGAACGACTCGCCCGTGCGCTTATTCTACTCCGTATATCTTACTATGTACGGAGTACAACAATTGTGATTACCGAGTACGAATTACGAGCTCGTGCACTAATTAGGTATAT